TGTGTATCGGATTGGTGTGGCGTAGTGTAACTCAAACCCCTATCCGATATGAAAGTTACTCCGCTCCGATAGCAATCCGGTATAGTGTAACTGGCACCTCATTTACAATATCGCATTGCACATCCATGTATCCAATGTATGACTGTGTTTATTCAAATTGTCTTATTGATCTTAAAGCTTCAAGTGACTTGACCCGGATTTCACTGTGGTTTACGAGTGTACCTTGCAACTGCGATTAGTAAAATTCTGTTTTCTACGGACTTACAACTCCTCTACATACAGGTACGAAAAAGCTATTTTGTACCAAAGGAACTAATCGAATGGCTCAAAAATTTGCACACGGCCTGGACAGATGTCGGGTAAGCAAAGTGTGTCTCAAATTTGTGTAGCAGGGAATCAGTTTACTGCAAACTATGTCATAATTCAATTAAACTAGAAAATATACTTGGGAGAATCAACAAATTAATAAACGACGTTTCGAGCATAGCCCGTTATCAAATTAGTATATTTATGTCATAATTCATTCTTAAAACTCCATTCAATGCATGACGGAATGGGGAATTAGATTGCATGCAAAGCGGGGGCTTGTCCCCGGAAAGATATTTTAAATCACGCTATTTGGAAATTCAGAAAATACCGAAATTTAATGTCTTTTCTTTTCACAATTTGCTTTGGGCAGAAGATTCTCAGTCAAATTGACTGTATTTGAAACTCTGAAAGGGTTGCAAAATATTTAGCTGTCAAATGATGTAAAGTGGTTTGTAGATTTTGAAAGTTAAACTAAAGCCCAAAGCCTAAAGCCATTTTTCAGTTAGCGCGACACTATCTTCTAAGATTTTACAGAGAAAGCAACTTTTCTTTCCAGCGTAGGAGACGAGATTTTTTTCGATTAAACACGCAATCTTCTGAAATTTAGCAAAATAATGACTTTATTCTCATCAAATGGTAATTTATGAATTTTTGAAAGTTTTAAAGCGTTTTTTTGAAAAAAAATAGAGAGGGGCTTCAGCTCCTACTAGCCTAGTATGATGCCCGTACAATTATGCATAATTGTGGTCAGGCATTGAACTACCCTGGGTGCCAGAGCCTCAGAGAGTCAAAGGATGAAGAACGGGGAAGGGTAGCATTGAAAAATGGGTTCTAAGGGATCCTCCTGCCAACCGTTTGTGCAAATTGATAATTTTGCATATTGATGGCTCCTTCTGTATGAGAAAGACATGGTAAAAAGGACAAAGAATCTCTTAAGAAAAAACACAGATATTATTCAGTAACGAAAATATTATTAAGTTTGAGAAAAGATTGGAATACTTTAATAAGTTATTTTCAAAACATACGGTTTTATCTTCCATTAGTACTTGCAGGAGTTTCATATTTCCCAGGCTCTTTCTGTAGAATTCCAGGTTTGAGGTGTTTCTGCCAAGTTCGAAACAAGGAGAAGGGAGGGGGGGGGGTACGGCTGGCCATTAGTCAGGGGATAAAAAGCCCCGTTTGTCACTAGACACGACTTTTGAATAAAGTTGGAAAAAATTTTTATTTAAGTAAAAAACGCAGGGGTTTTAGCGCTTCAAATACAAAATCAAGATGCCATTGAGTTCTTAGTTGAAATTCAAAATTAAATAGCCTGTCACAGGACGTTTAAAAAATTTTATCCTTTATCATTCCTAGAACAGACTTAACTATTAAGGGATATTTGATGGTCCAAGGAAAGAGCCAGGGCCTATTTTAAGAAATTTTCAATACTGCACATTTATAATCATATTTTTTTATATGAAATTTTTTTGTTGCAATCTGTACTGAATGTTTTATCTTGGACAAGATCAAATTACGAAATTAACAGCAATAATGACGTTAACAGGAGATGTTTTGTTTTTGGTTCTGGGAATTTCGCTTTGTTTTAAGTTTTGATAAGAGAGTCTTTCCGGTGGTTATACGAGAATTACAATACATGAACTCTATATCGAAGTGACGAGGAAAATTCACATTTCGTGAACAAAGCAGGAATCTGGGATAGCCGCAAATAGACATTTTCACAAATCCCGAAATTCAATACTGCACATTTTCGAAATCAATACTGCACGTTTTTAAATTTATGCTGAACAAAGTGTGTAATACTTCACACTAAAATAGGCCCTGGAAAGAGCATTATCATTCAAGAAAGGAATATGCACAAATTACAAAACAAAATATAGGCAACATTGGAAAAATCCTCTTCCCCCTAAATTATCATCTAATTTGCATCATTTATTGATCATTATGACCGTAAACATTTGTGTGAACTCTCTATCTTTGATTAGGTAATATGTGAACATTCCCAAACCCAAATGCCAACGCATCGATAATCTTTATCCAGATACAACCATTCTGAATGAAAAGAACATAGGATAGTACTCACATAAAAGTGAGAACCCTCTCAGCTATTCGATATCAGGCATTTGAAATAATTCGCATTAGTCATAAGTGAAGAAACTAATTTGCGCTGGTCATAAGTCTTGGTTAATCACAAGTCTTGGGCGTTTTTGAAGATTTCGGAAAACTATTCAATAAATTGTACAATTATGAGGAATTGGCAAAAAAACTGGTGGAAATTTGATACATCATTGATATCAATTAGATGCATCAATTAATCATCAATTAATTCATCAATTAAATGGTGAAGCTGACTAAGCTGTAAAATCTATGATGCCAAAACAATAACCACGGCGAACTTTATATGCAAACGTTCTTTCGAGAGGTCAATTGATGGTTGTAATCGATTTTAGTTCTGTGCGAATATTAATAATTGCCTTTCGAAAGTTTTCAAGTTTTTTTGAAAAATATAACTCGAAGCAAGGGCGTACCGGGAAATTACGAAGGTGGACCGAGAAGCGATGGGTGGAGAAAAACTGTGGATAATTTTTCGCAGGTAGAAATGCCAAAATTTCATGTATCCTGCAGAGCAATGTTGGATCGCTTACAGAATATTTTCACCAACAAAGAGTCCAAAAATAGAAGAGAAGAAAGCGCAAGTGGAATTAACCCTTAGCACACAGAAAAAAATGTTCTCCTTGCAAGATAAGGGAGCTTTTTGATGCAGCAATTGCTGATCAGCAAGCAGCATCCCAGCAAGTTAAAGAAAAACAGCAGAAATGGAAAAAGCTGAGGAAATGAGAAGGAAATAAGTAGAAACAATGAGAGAAAGCAGGAAGAGAAAGGAAAGGGAGGTAAAATATGTAAGTGGAAAGAAACGTAAAGTTCGGCAGAAAATCTTTCAAATTATTCAAAAAAGAATCAGTATTGACAGCTGACTCAATCCGGGCTGACTCAAAATTGCGTTTGGAAACCAAGTTTAGACCCATTTTCCGTTTAGAATACAAATTGAAAGGAGTTTACCCTGGGTGAACTTAACACAGGTGTTTAACCCGGGTAGCTTTTTGTAGTCTAAACCGGGCTTTCGGATGGAAATAATTTCACTCGCTTTCATTATTAAGAGTCAGACGAAGAGTTGAAGTTAATTTTGTTCCACTTTTTCGAGCTATTTGAACATTATTTCTTCCCGGTACTCATATTGTAATTTTCTAGAGGTAGTATCAGAGATTCTAACAGGATTTTGAAAGATAATTAGTAGAGAGTGCGGGAAAACAACCGACCCGAGCGAGGCTCGAACTCACGACCCTTAACTTTGTACGTCAAGTGCTCTAGCGCTGGGCCATCTCAGCTTCGATGGCTCCCCTGTGTAACTGGTAAAAGAGAGGGGCAATGCGGGTGAATGAATTGGCCGTTGCAATCAGTGCAAACCCCAGGTATCTTAGCCATGAAATTGTAGCGAGGAAATGGCCCGAATTTTGAGCACGTGTATAGGCCATGACGCAGAAATCACAAACAGACAGACGATAATATACACAATCAACAATAACATTTCAATACAGCAACAAAAGAAACAGTAGCTACAAAACCTGAATAGAAACATAGTTTTGTGTTGGGGAATTTATTAACTTTGTAGGAATCCCTTCAAGTTTCTTTTAAACATGGAAATTGTAGGGCTCATTCTGATGTTTCTTGGAATATCCTTCCATGTTTTGGTCCCATAGTGAAAGAAACTTCCTTTTGAGGATTCCAAACTTTTTCTTGGGATGTCAATATTAAGCTGCCTCCTTGTCGAATACCTGGATATCTCTGATCTAGTAATAAATTTACCTTTAAGGCTGTCAGGGCAAAGACCATTCATCATTTTGTACGTCACTATGGCCCTGTCATATTTAATTAGATTCGAAACTGAAAGCCATTTACAAATACACCCGTCCTCAAATTTAGCACTTTCAATTAATGTTTGAGCCCTGTCTTGAAGACGCTGAAGATGTTCAAGTTTTGTAGCGGACAGACTTTAATTCATCACCCTATCTTAGATGGCTCTCGAAAAGTGCCCTGTAAACCTGGTCCAATTTCGACTGTGGGAGTATGTTTCTAAGTTTCCTCAACGAAGAAAGACCACTTTTAAGTTTGCACTTAAGCTTCTTGTACTGCTTGTTCCAAGATAGGTTTTCATCGATAGTGACCCCGAGATATTTTACTTCATGGGCTCGTTGGATTTTTTCTCCATTCATTTCCACGTTTATCTCCCCCTGGATATGGTTAATTCGTCTTTTATGACCAATGACCATATATTCAGTTTTATTGGTGTTCAATTCAGACTAAGCTTATTTTGCCGCATCCACTCTGCAATGTTCTTACCCTCAGTTTTTAAGTCGTTGCACAGTTCCTCAATATCTTTTGCAGAGCATATTATGCTATAGAAAAACAAAAGAATTGGACCCAACCATGAAGCCTGGAAAGCACCACTGTCGGTGGCGGACATGAAGATAGTTATATCATGTTTTGCTGGTTGTCATATTCTTAGGAGAGCTTTCCCTGATCCTAGGCGATCTGTGATTCGTTAATGCAGTCAAAAAACTCCTCGTCTTGTCAGGCCGAATGTTCAGTATACGTGCGCACATATGTATAGTCTGGCCGTGAAAGGGGTCTATTCTGTTATAGGGGAAATTCAGAGCATCGCCTTTTTTTTCTTGTTGTAGGGATACTTGCGCTGTTGTTTTTTCAAGAAAACTTGATGTTAAGCAGCCATTGAATGGCGATAAATATGCTGAACTAGATGAAAATTGAGGACGACAGGCGGCAGGTACTCCTTTCTGTTTGGTATTGTTTTGGAAAGCCATGGCTACAAGACTGGTAACGAGGCTGCAAGGAAAGCATTAGGCCAACATTGAAAATATACAGGCGCGTTGAAAAAATTGTTTTTAAGTAATGGATTCTGTGTTTTATCAGAAATAAAACTATTGTTTTGAAAGATAGAATAGTCCTTTAGTCTTTGGACTCAATTGATAAAGCAAAGAGAGTTAAACGTTCAGCCTGGAATAGCGGAAAAGTCCAATAGCCTGGCCTGTTCGCTTTTGGTCTTCTAGTACTTCAAATTCAAAAAGTGGCTTGGAGCATCGCACCCAACATACTGGCATTACTAAGGAAGGAAAAGAATTCTAAACTATGCAGCTGAAATATTTAAAAACACTGGTTTCCCCACAGGTATGTCTCAAGTCTATTGATTTTTTGCATTTTATATTAGTGCTACTTTTTCGCCAATTTTATTTTGTTTTGCCTCTTTAGATAACCTCGGCCTAATTATAACCTTCCTTCGGTTATGTTGGAGGGAAATTTCATTCTTGTCTAGGCCATGGGTGGTAAAAGTTTCAAAACATAATCTCTAAAATTATTTTGGTTTATTTTACAGTACTACATTTTTCAACTTTTTTAAGCCATTTCAAATCACTCTATGGTTGGTTTTATTTTGAACCAAAAAATACACGCGTATATAAAGATGCCATAGGCCTACTTCAGATGAGCTCAGCTACTCTCTTAAAGTACGTAGTGATATGTGAATGCTGTAAAAATACAATAATGATGGTGAATTACAATGTTAAAAGCTTAACAGCCTTTACTTAAATGTGTCCTATGCAAACATACTTTTTTAAACCTACTTTCATCAATTTTAAACTTTAAAATCACCTTCAACCTTTAAGTTTTATCTGTGATTGTGAATTTTGACCAGGATTGGTAGAAAGCTAGGATGTTTTCCAAATTATCCATAAAAAAGTTTTTGCCAAGGATATCTTAGTATTGCATAATTTATTTATTTTTGAAGGATGGAGCTGCAAAAGTTACTGCCATGTCATGGTCACCAACAAACAACAAATTTGCAGTTGTTACCACAGACAGAGTTGTAATTTTATTTGATGACACAGGTGAAAGGAGAGATAAATTTTCAACAAAGCCTGGAGATCCAAAAGTAAGCTATTTTAGTCATCATGAAAAAATCTTTCTTTTATTCTCATGGGTATGTTGGTCTGTTTTCAAATGACACGAATAAAGTTGAAACATACAGAATAGATTCAGTTTCTAAAGGTATGAATGTATCCTTTTATTGGTTAATAGTATACTATGTTTTATTATTACAGACAGGCAAGAAAGGCTACATTGTGAAAGGGCTTGCTTTCTCTCCTGAAGGAACTAAAATTGCTGTTGGACAAACTGACAATATTCTTTTTGTGTACAAAATTGGTGAAGATTGGTAAGCATTTAATTTTTCTATTTATTTCTAAAAATAATTCTTATAATCAATAGATTCTAGTGAATTATATTAGCCTCTTTAATTTTGCTTTTTTGGATTGGATTTGTATTGCTGGTGCAAAATTGATGTTTTGTTTTCATGTGAAATTGAATCATGAATGACATAAAGTTTTGCAAATGAAATTTTCATTACATATATGATCTCAAAGATCAGCTGATAAAATATTATATTTTGACAGAATGTTGGTGGATAATTGTTTATGATATAGCAGTGTGATAGACAATATAGTTAAATGAATAGATAATGAAAGATAATGAGATCCAGTGGTTATGGAAAACCAATTTTCATGATTTTTTCAGTTTTTCCCTACAACTAATATTTTTCTAGCCTACGCCATAGACACCCCCCCCCCTCCAAATAAATCAAGGGTCTATGGATTAACGAGGCAATGCCTGCTACAGGCTTACTTTTTGCAAGAGCATTAATACTTGCAAAGGGTGGGGGGTCTACGGCATAGGCTAATATTTTTCTAACAGTTGTTGCTAAGTTGAGTAATGATTTGATGGTTTTTGGGTTTTGATTTCCAGGGGAGAAAAGAAAGTGATCTGCAATAAATTTATTCAACAGGTAGGCATTTTTATCTACAAAAAGAGACAGAGCTTTTTATCTTAAGGATTTGCTTATGAGAGGCTTTGAGATTAATTCTTTTCCTCAAAAGTTTTGACTGTAAGAATCAGAGACAAGTTGTAAAATTTGCCATTTAAATTCAAATCTTTAAAATTTTTGAGGACATTTTCCTGTTGTAACATTGGCCTGAAATTATGAAAAATCAGCAGACTAACTTTGATTTGGCTAAGTTATAAAATAACTTAGCCAAGTCATTGTAGTTCAAGTACTCAAAAATTAATTTGATACTTTGCATTTGTTTTAGAGTTCTTTAACATGCTTGATTTGGCCTCCAGAGCAGCAATCTGTCATATTTGGACTTGCTGATGGAAAGGTAATTGTCCAGTATGAAACCCAAATTAAGCCAAGTTAATTTGTTACATTTAACTCATCATAGATAAAAAAAATTATTCTGCAAAAACAAGAGATATTGTTTGCCATTGTCAATGTGTTTTTTCAGAATACATTGGTTTTTTAACGTGAAAGAAAACAGTTCTTTCATATAAAGGATAAAAACCGAACTTACTCAGGGTCTTAGTCTATGCTATGACTCATCCGATGGCTGATGAATGTTATTGAAAACAAGCCATTCTTTTGAAAGTAATTTTTAGCAAAATTTGCATTAGATGTAAATGAGGTGTACAACTTAGGTTGACAAAGCTTTGTTTGTAAGATAACTGTTCTTTAGAGCACATGCCTTGTTCTTCTCAACCATTGAGCATCACACTCTCACTAAGACATAGCTTGTAATTCATGTATGCGTCATTTGACATGTTTGTGAGAAAAGGGGATCTTTTCACATGTGCCATCATTTTGCAGGTTCGACTTGCGAATCTCAAGTCAAACAAATCACAAACAATCTATGGAACAGATGTTTTTGTCACATCCTTATGTTCAAAGTAAGTGTATGGGCTTTTCGTGTCATTGCAGACTGAGACAAGTATATTTCATAATTAAGGGAAGATGCTGCTCATAGTTTTAGGCATAAATGATGGGGTGTGGGATTTGGGTGGGTTAATATGAAGAGAATAACAAATTATAAGATCCATCAAGTAATAACTAAAAGTAGGCTGTGTCTGCTAATCTGGAGGGCTCGGGTACACCACTTCTGGTATTTGTGATGTGGACAATGCACCTTGTCAAGGGTCTTACTTGATCATGCACGGTATATAGACCACAAATGTAGTTATCAGGGTCACTGGTCCAGTGATCTAAGGTTCAAGTTTCGACCATGACCAAATTTAGAGTGAGGAGAGTCAGCTGCTCTTAGTTATTCCTGGCGTAGGAAATATGGGATGTGGTCACATTAAAGCATGGTCCAGAATACTACCAGATTTTCATAACTTCTCTTTTTCCTTAAAACGAAACTTCATTCTAATGTTAGTAGGAAATAAGAACAAAAATACAGTCATGGTATTCAAAAGGTAGTCAGGAAATGAGGAATAGTCTTTTTATTGAAAATGACCCTTTGAGCTGAGGTGCTGCCCTATGGAATGCTGGCTACAGTCTGTTTAATTTTGGATGTCTCTCTATGTAATATCATAATGAGATTTTATGTTTAAGCTATGTAAGGTTAGAAATTAGATTTTTAAAGCTTCTAAGAGCAGTTTCTCTAAGTACAACAAACGACGGTGAAACCTCCGAAATAATCCCGTATTCGTTATACGACTGTTAATTTTTGAAGTTTCCCATAAACTTTGGTATTGATGAAAAATATTATTGTCTTTTCAGTCCATCAGGAAAAGGTATTCTCTCTGGCCATATTGATGGTGCTATAGTCAGGTATTTCTTTGATGACGAAGGCACTGGCTTGTCACAGGTGCGTTTTTGTTTCTTATGTTTCTAGTGAATGGTGGGCGTTTATCAGGGCTGGTACCAATAATACTTTTTTGATGCTGACGGCGTTTTAATTTGTACATGATTTGATCAGTATAACACAATCTTTGTCTTTGTTGTTGTTAATCAACACAATCATTGATCAGCGGTGATCACTGCTTTTGAAATTTACAACCAAGTGATAGTTCATTGCATTCCATACAAGACTTCATGTAGCAAAATTGATGAGGGTAAAACAAAGACATGTAATATAAAGATTTCAATAAGATTATATTATTTATGTTACTTCGTCAAGTGGAATTCCGGGAGAATTTCGGTGATAGTGGCTTTCTAATGCTGTTTTCTAGGGCCAATTGATTCGACATTCTTGTGCTCCTTATGCATTGTGTTGGGGGTCGACAATCGTAGCTGCTGGCTGCGATAAAAGAATTGTTGCCTATGGAAATGAAGGTAAAGTAAATAATTTTTCGCTGATACAGTTCTAAAATGCATATTACTTAACCCAATTTCTAGGTCCTTCCTCTCGATGTGACCACACCTTTGGCTTCCAACGCTTGGAATTCCAACGAATGTGTGACCCTTCACTAAAAGGGGACGGTTGTTCATGTAAGGGACTCGAACCCCAGACCCTTGAATCTGTTGTCTGTGACCCCAACCACAATCTGCGACCACAACATCTTAGCATCTTAGTAGTCTTTCTTTTTAAACTTAGATGCTTTCTTTAGGTGTTGAGGTTTTTCATCGGTAGAAACATTGTTCTTTTTGTAGGTCGGGTTCTTCAGCATTTTGATTACTCCAAAGAAGATGAAAAAGAATTTACAACCGCCGTATGCAGCCCAAGTGGCCAGTCGTTTGTTGTTGGTAGTTTCGATAGGTGAGTTTGAGAAGCTGTTTATAAACCGCCTGCGTGTTTACGTTGATTTTTCTTAGGGGCGACAAATTGAAGAGTTTCGTCTAATCTGTCCACCACTAAGAATTGTTTACAACATTCACCACCCAAAGATTTGGCAATCTTAACACATCTTTGTATTTGACACAAGGTAAACTTTTAGAACTTTGGGGATAATTTTGATTCTTTGTGCCCAATAGATGATGATTGTATCTATTGAACATCAAAAAAGCTGAAATGAAAGATTTGTAGTTTTCTAACGGATTACTTTTGTTTTGGCTTGGTTCTCAAGTTTAGAACAGTGATGGCGATTCGATGAGGAAAAGTTCAATTTTCCTTCGCCAATTTCAATTCGAAGACATGAAAAGGAGAGCCGTTCTCCATTTTTGTGCGCTGTTCATTAGGGATATGTTTTGTTCCCTTTTATTGCTCATCAATTGTGTCTACATGGAAACATAGAATACTAAAGTTCTTTCGCTCGTCACTTCTCTGATTACAAACGCCCGGGGATGGCTAAAAGTAAGCAGAAATTTCTTGTCTAGATGCGGATCAAACTTAACATGTGAGGAAGAATGAGGCCTTTGATTTTTTCCTTGTTTTTGAAAAATCAGCGAACTCTAATCTATTTTGCTCATAATATTTGGTATCTGGTCGGTTGCCTATTTATTGCTTTCTCGTAGATTTAAAGTTCAGTTTTGCAATTCATAGCGTACAGAACTTTGTCGTTAGTCTTCTAAACTGGTAAGCAATTATTACCACCATATTCTCACTTGTTTTTTCAGATTGCGGGTGTTTAATTGGACACCAAGGAGAGGTGCATGGGAAGAGGGAAAGTCTAAAGAAATTGCAAATTTGTACACCATTTCGACCCTTGCGTGGAAGCGGGATGGTTCACGACTCTGTGCTGTAATTATAGTTTGTCTTTCATTTTTAAAAGAAAATAATCAGTAAACAGGCAACGTCCTGGCTGGTCCAAGATCTTTTTTTCTCCTTCAATTATTATAAGTCCAAACTTTTAAAGATCGGTGAGACCAACTGTATTGGGCTGTTGTTTTCCATAGAACCTACCTCCCTCCACCTCAAAGATTATTACTCCAAAGCCCCTCGACCTCAAAACATTTGGACCTTACGAGCCCAGGCCCTTTGATCACACTGTTCCAGGACCTCAACCCCTTTGAGCAACCCCAGGACCTCAACCCCAGGACCACATAACCTGCGAGACCATAAAAGTTTGCTAGAAAGCAAATTTTCTTGCTGTTTACCATTAACACGTATAAGAAATCCATACTAAATTATTCATAAGAATCTGTATTCATCCTTATTGCTCATTGGTCTTAAAATTCTTGTTATTTTCCATAGGGAACTCTCTGTGGAAGTGTGGAGCTTTTCGACTGCGCTCTCAAGCGAACTGTATACAAGAATAAATTTGAAATGACTTACGTTGGACTCAGCCAGGTACATAATTTACAATGTATTTTCCTTCGTAGTATTAATTGGCCTTAATATCATAAATACTTCTTCCTCTCTGTTTTCATGCTACAACCGTGAAGTCTCTTCTAACTCGGTGTGTATAGAAACTTAGTAACTGCTGCAATATCGCACGAACTTATCCGCATTTCAGCTGTTGTTTTTCCACTTTCTACGCTGTGTTTTTAGTATTCTCTTGCTGTAGTATTTAAGTCTCTGGATGACACTGTAACCAGACCTTTTTTATGTTAGCACATTTTCTCACGTTTAGAATAATTAGAATAATTAGAATAATCATCGCTGATACTGATTAAACAAGTGTATTCTCCACACACTACTTCGATCTGCCTATTAAGGCCGCCTAAGTATAAAGTATTAAACATTACACGTGCCATGTTATTTGCACAGACTAAAACTCAAGTGGTTATCTAGGTTTCTATCGACTTGTGTGACGTAACAATCTTAAAATGAACAAAAAAACATACAGATAAATAAAATTTAACCTGTATAGATTCAGAAGCTAATTGGTGTTTACAGCAGCATGGTTCTACGCTGCTAATCCGGGTTTTACGCTAAATGCGATCATCAGACGAGAATGCGAAAAGTGATTACATGTTTGACACACTATGCGCTCTCTTATTCAGGTCATTGTCAAGAATTTGTCTTCCGGTGCACGAGTTGTGCTTAAATCTCACTATGGATACGAGGTAGGCATCTCAATCAGGAGTTTGTGGCAGTTTAAAAGGCTTTCGTGTTTCTCTGGGTATTAAGGATTTTAACATTTTTAGATCATTGCCTTGCCTTGACACAGAATTTGAAAGACAGGAACTAGTGTAAGCCTGGTACCAATATTTTGCTGAGATCTTTTCTAAAATGTCTAAATTGTGCCCGAGTTACTATAGGTCTCGGTTAAACGTGAATCCATACCATTGTGAATTTTTTGTAATTTTGAATCCAGTTATATGCAAATACGCGTTCATGATTATAATGCCCATGTTGACACATTCTTGAATCAATGTATACTAAATCAAAAACTGTTACAGTAGACTTAATACAATTTATTTTAAGAGATGTGCTACTTATGTATCTTCGTCACTTTTTATTATCATACTTGAACGAAATATTTTAAATATTATTAGTACTGGATAAATTGTTGAACAAATTCTAAAATCATTGCAAGATTTATTGAATCCATCGAGTTGCCTCTAACCAGCGTCGCTTTCTTATGGAATACCATTAAGCATTGTCTATTGCTTAGTTAAGTTTCTGTTTTCGTTAAAAACAATTCGGCAGTGTAGCAGACAGTAATGTTTGGTCGCTTTTCAGATCGATAAAGTCAGTGTTATGGGCAAGGACAGATATCTTGTTGCCCATACATCCGATACTGTTCTTCTTGGTGACTTGCAAACAAACAAGCTTAGCGAGGTAAGCAATTTTCTGCAGAATACACTCTTTTTTATAAGAACACAAGCCTCAAATTAGCTAAGAAATTAAGAGAAGATTGAGTGCAAGATGAGGTTGAGGATCTATCAAATTTACGAATGTACAATATACGAATGAAATATACGAATATAAATTATTTATTTATCTTTTATGACTGAACATGTCTTTTTATAATATTATTAAATATTCATACTTGCATATATACGTCCAATCATATTGTTTTTGCTTGTAAATTTTCTGACAAAATAATGTCTAAAAATTTATAAGGGATTTGACTGTAAAATCTTTCCGGGTAAAACTTTTCACCTCCAGTTGCTAATCATGGTTAAAATTCCATATGGAATTATTATCTTTGTACTTTCGTAAAAATCAATAATACTAGCTCTCTAGGTATTAGACCCTCGTACCATGGAACTAACATCCTCCTTTTCCAGGTACCATGGCAAGTTACTGGCGGAAATGAAAAATTCTTTTTTGAAAATGAAAACGTAAGTTATTTATTTTTCTAACGATTTTTTATTGATATCTCTGGTTTCTGTTATTTTTCACCAACGAAAATGTTTTTGTGTCCTGCCCTTTTTTTGCCATTGGCTACGGGCAATGAAGCAACAGGATCTGTGTTATTTTAAGTCCTTGTGTATAACTACTACCATAAGCCTGTTTGTGAATCTGATTGATCAGGGGAACTTGTCAGAGAGCCTCTGAAATATGAAACAAAAAATTGCAATCAGAATTCTTTTTATGATGAAAGTACAAGAAAAATAGAAATTAAAAATGGCTTTGAAAAAAACAAACATTTGAGTATTTTAAAGCTTTTTGTCTGACACTCTTCAGAGTATAAAACGCCAGAACATAGACCGAAAACTCTACGCTAGGAAATATATATACCCAGTTGTGGATCGAAATAGGCCAATCAGAAACGCAAGCACATGTATTGTTGTCCAATCATGATTGGGCTATAGGTTGCCCAATCAGTGCCGCTTGCCTATAGAAAATGTTACCAATAGAGTCCTTCTAAGATGAAAAGGAATCCCTTCTGTCTACACAAAAAGGAGTTTTTTTGGCTTTATTTTCATGAAGATAGATTCCAAAACTAGAATACAATAGAAATAGAAATATAGCCTTTTTGGGCGTTCATTTTCGATCGCGACTGCCACGGACGCTGAAACTATCATTTTTAAAAAATGAAGTGGTAGAGAGCAAATGCTGATAAGATTTATTAATGAATTGACTAATTTTTTGATTGACTTGAGTATTTATTGACGTGATTCCTTTTAATTGATTGAAAATCCACGTATTACAATGATATAAACTAAATCACCGGAAAAGTCTATCAAAGATGATCGAAAATACGAATCATTTTACCAATAATGATAATAATTTTCTAATAAACTAAACACAAAATATCAAAAAATAAAAAAATCTACGCATAAGCAGAATAATTCGAATATGATCAAAACAAGAGGCCATAATGAACAGTATTAAATAAATGATAAAATTATATTGCTAATTTGATCAAAGTAATCAAGAGATAATCAAACCAATCATAGAATTACCAACTGTGATTACTGATGGCGATCATTCTTACGGGGACGAATCTCCAATCAAGTATTTTTTGTATGCGAATGATGCCGATGAAGTCCAAGCTTCTGACCCACTTCTTTTTTGTTAGGTATGCATGATCTTCAATGCTGGCGAGCTGACATTGATTGAATATGGAAGCAATGAAGTGCTTGCAACAGTCAGAACAGAATTTATGAATCCGCATCTCATCAGGTCAGCAATAGGTTATATACGATTTTTAATTGATACAGTTGGCTTTCATTCTTTGTACTTTGAAAAAGAAAGTCTACAATATGAAATATATGAGTAGGTACTGTACCAACTTTTAAGCTCAGTATTTTTTGTAAACTGGGCCTACCGGTACTGTTTATTTTCAATTTTTACATTTATATGCTTATATAATGCTATTTTTCATCAAGACAAGACAAGTTATGAAAGTGTTTTCGAAAGGGATGGAGATTTAAACAGGTTCATATTGTCGCTATCACAACTGCAACTTGCATTTTCCCATTGCTCATAAAACTGATGTGACAAGTGAATATGTTACGGAGAGACATTTCCTACCGTAGATTATAACCCTTATTGTAGTTAGGGTGGTTTGTAGCAATTTTGTAAACCCATTTATATGTTTAGGGGTATTGGTGTGGTGAAACATTTCTTAACTAGTATAACATTGCTCTTTTCAGTGTTCGTCTAAACGAGCGGAAGCTAAAGGATCAAGGAGACAATAAGAAAATGGCTTATCTTATTGACCTGAAAACAGTCTGTGTTGGTGCGTTCTTGATTATTTTCCTACTATGATATATTTGTGACATTGTCTTTGGTTTGATTTTAGTGTTTCCATTATTGGGATTTCAATTCCAGTGTTGCTTTAGAACCATTAATATCTGGTTCATTTCTTTATTTTAGTTGACCTTGTTTCTGGGTTTACTGCAGCCACTGTGTCTCATGATGGGAAGATCGATTGGTTAGAGGTGAATGTTTGTTAACGATGCGGGTTTTTGTATTTTCTAAGTAACTGGTCTTTGCAATGATTTGTAGAATAAAGTTTGAAGCCCATTTTTGTATTCATTTTCTTTGAAAACAGCACTCCTATGGATAAAAGCTGAGCTTATAATTGGAGCTAAATTGATCTTATGCGATTTTTGCTGCAATCATAACTGGCTGAATTGTCCACTATATGAAGTTTCAACCGTACTTCATTGCTGTGGGATATTTGTAACATCGTTTACTTTTGAATGTTATAGTAAGCAATTAGGGCTTTTTTTGGCCAGTTAAGTCCACTAAACATGCCTTTGGTATTTTTTCTTTATTTTAGTTGAGTGAAACCGGTAAAAAGCTTCTTTTCAGAGACAAGAAACTCAAAGTATGTTGGCAATGAACGATATTTTTACATTATTCTGAATAAGGACTTTTCAGTAACCTTTTGTTTGATAAAACTTTCTCACTAATAAGGTGTGAATGATGTCTGATGATCTTTATGCCCTTTTCAAATATCCCCCGTTGTGTTTTCGTGGTTTTGCTTTTCCAAGTAAATTTTTGTCGTTTATTGGTTTCCCTGAATGTTTAGAGCCAGTAATGCTGTTTTTTGGTCCGGTGTTCGATATCGAACGTCGGGGAATGCACTGTTAGGGGCGCATCGTACTGGGCCACGGCATTGTGTGGTAGGGTGGCCAGTTCCTTTCCATGCCGCGTTTACCTCCCTAGTATGTTTCAACTAGGTACTCATTTTCAGCTGAGTGAACTGAGGCCGTCCGCGAGCCGGGATCGAACCCGGAGTGCTGGCATGGCAGTCGAGCGCCTTAACCACTCGGCTACCGCAGCACTCGTAATGCTGTTAGAAAAGTTGTTTGAGCAAGCTCTTTGATATCATTGCATTCTTTCACGTGTTGTTGTTCCAGGCCATGTGGTCGCTTATTCTGCTATAAATCTGCTATTGTTTAATTTCTCTATGTTCACTTGTCACTTCCTTCTAGTTGCATTTGCTGGACGTCGCAAGCCAGGTTAAGACAACCATACTCAACTACTGCAGTTATGTGCAGGTGAGTATTCATGTCATTGTTGCACGCGTTAGTCATTTTCTAAGCAGTCATTACTTTAAAGGGCTCTTTGAAAAATGTTTGTTGTTGAGGTCATGTCGAAAAAGAATTATTATAATCATGATAATTACTTGAAAGTGCTACAGTACAGTTCTTACTTGTAGATGAGTCTGAAAAAAAATTTAGAACTGATGCTTTTAAATAATAGAATGACTGCATTTATAGTAAATGTATAGTAATGACTGTTTTATAGAATGACTGTTATTTTTAGCATTAAATGTATAGTAATGTAGAATCAGCATTAAAGACCACACCAAAATCTTGTTCAAATTTTATCTTCTTTTCAAGTTGTAGCCTCTTTGTCTTTTGATCCAACCAGCTATCCGCACGGACTAAACAGGATTTTGGTATAGCCTTTGGTGCTACTGTATTGTTTTTTGTTGAGGTCAATATGGGTAGCCATGCCTATCATGCTCCCATTGGCATCGTCTTTGTAATCTTGTTCTTGTAGAATGTACTTTTTTAGACTGTGTAAAAAATAGCAAATCCTGCAGAGAGGAACGAAAAACCTGCAAAGTTTCTTTTATCAAAGAGTTGCAAGAACCTATCTCGACTTAAAAGCCAAAGGGTTTTACTTAAAACTCCATTATCTCCTGAATAGACAAAAAATCTAATGTAAGACTCTTATATCCTTACAAAATTGTCATGTGAGTCTTTTAACACAAGACTTGAAATCATCCTGACTCTTGCAAAACTTGGCTCTGCTTTATGGGTGTTAACTGTATAGATTTGCCACACTGAAGCACAACTCAATCAGCTAGAATCATTTGATACATCTTTGTCTCTTTAATACCTTTATAGTGGGTACCCATGAGTGATGTTGTTGTTGCACAAGACAGAGGAAATTTATGCATTTGGTATAACATTGATTCACCCGAGCGTGTTACAATGTTTCCAATCAAGGTATGTAACAACAAGATATGGAAACTTAGCTTGTACTTAAAGGCATTCGACAAGGTAAAAGTGGCTTACAGCCACTTGATCCCCAGCAGTTGACCAATCAAATTGCGCACAGAGAAAATCATGTGAACAGTGTCCGCCTTTCTGCAAATCGGCGAAACCCTAGAGTGGTTTCACGTGAGTAGTTTCAAATCCCTTTCAAGCGCGCATGCTCTGATCGAGTCATTTTTTGATTCCCTGTACTTATGCATGTCAAATGCCTTCAAGTATGACAGATCCTTCTATTGTGCATTCGGTCACATGTCTTATTTTCTAACAGGGTTTACTTTGTTACCGAACTCTGCAGCTGGTTTTCTTCAGCGTTGATTTCTGACTTTATGTTTGGCGTATCTTGTTTAAACATTTAAGTTAATACGTCAGTAGGGTCTTTATTTAGTTACTTCTTCGTGTTCCCAATCGCTTCCATTTCGGACAGGTTATACTTTGTTATTATCTCGGTACAGCTACTCGTGAAATCGGGTCATTACTTTGAAACCCGCAACTTCTTTGTTTTACCATATCCTATCTGCTTTCTACTCGAAAAAAGTGTCACAAAATATCATTGCATGAGCTGTTGCTTTTTTAATTTTGAACTGATTGTAACACGGTAAGGGCTACTTACAAGTGACAGTGTGATTTACAAAGTAAACAGGTCAAAACTTTGCAATGATTCACCCAATAACGACGGAATTTGTTGATCGTCTTTTCCTTTCCGTCATATTGTATGGCATGTTATCTCTAGCCCAATGCGCACAGTTGAGGTTCAGTTAAGCGTATTTTCTTTTAGGGCGATATAGTTGACCTGGAGAGAAACGATGGAAAGACGGATGTCATCGTTAATGAGGGCGTCTCTACTGTTTCCTACACTTTGGATGAGGGTCTAATCGAATTTGGAACGGCCATTGATGATGGTGACTTTGGGAGGTATGCACACTCGCTAGAGGTTGATCTCACTGTGTTGCAAGATTATGGGACCTCTGAGCATTGCCCTTGCATATTTATCTGTGTATAATTCATATAGTTTATCCATAAGAGCATCCCTTCAGTGATAAATGCAACGAACAGGGAACACTTTTCGATCATAATTCATACTAATAGAATGACATAGGTAAAGCTGATCTTCAAGGTAGTTGTTCTGTAGAAAGCTTGGGTTAATTGTCAAGGCTCGTGCCTTTTTAAATTCGCATTGTGAAGCATTGCGATGACAGATCTTTGATGTTATTTTGAGAATCAATGCCTGAGTATCAATGCCTGAGTATCGAATCCTTTTATTGGCAGATATTTGTAGGTACTCCCAGATACTAACACAGGATGATTCCTACGACGCTTGTTGTTGCACTGTCGAGTCCCCGAAGCTATTCGTAATAGCCATTTCCTAAGCTTAACCTCTTGGCTATTGGTTCTCAGAATACAGTTGCTGCTGTCGTACCACAATGCTCATGTTTGGCACCTTTAATGTTTATGATTAAGTTTACCATTAAGATTTCCCTTCCGACTCACCCGCTAACGAGCAGACAAAGATATTTACATATTACCACTGTACCACAGCTTACCTCCTTTGTGTTTTATGAGTGGGCATTCAGAAAACATACCTATTTGTTTCAGGGCTATCACGTTCTTGGAATCGCTGGACATGACACCCGAAACAGAAGCCATGTGGAAAACCCTTAGTAAGCTGGCTGTGCAGGAAGGAAACCTGCCAGTTGCAGAAAGGTTGGTTGCTTAGGAAATTCTGTTCTTGTGTAGCCTACAATATAATTTTTGAATAACAATAATCTGTGGCCTTAATGCAATCTTGACTTGATTTGATGCAGTGCATAACGATATACTGTGATACACGAATCTGTGATACACTACGATATACAAATCCAGAGTCATATGTCGAAGCGGTGTTGTATATTCATTTTGATTGTCTGCTTGAGCCAGTAGCTGACTTATGCTGCCCCAGTGAAATCGGACTGATCAGTACTGGCATGGTGTTTGACATTTTAAGCCCTAATATTGTAATCTTGTTAATCTTGTAAGCCAATCAGTATTAGCCAATCAATAAGCGTGTGAATGGAATCACAGGCACTGATTGGTCAGTTTTTCATTGAAAGAAGGCTTAAGCCCCTTTAGTATTTGTCGATTGCCTTTGACGCTCTTTTTCAATTACACAATGATCATCATCAGTTGAAGAGCTTAGAACTAAAGTATCCCTTTTGCAGAATTGTAGATCTGAACTTTAAAATCACTGCAATGAGAAGATCTTTCAACTGATCATGATCATTGTGCGATGAAAAATGTGGAAATATAGGGTATCATTTTATCCTTAAACTTAAATTCCCGATTATTCTATCTTAGTACTATTCAGAATCATTAAGCTACGGGCCTTTGCTGACAATGAGTCCAGTCAAAGTTTTGTTGGCTAAGCAAATCTGTCTTTTTCAGATGCTATGCTGCCCTTGGGGACGTTTCAAAAGCTCGTTTTCTTCATCAAGTCAATGACCTTGTGGACGACATCGAATCGAAAACAGGGGTGGATGGATCTAGACACCCACTTGTGCAAGCAAAACTAGCTGTTCTTAATAAGCAATTCAAAAAAGCAGAGGGAATTTATTTAGAACAGGGAATGATCGACCAAGCCATGGAGATGTACCAAGAGTTGCACAAGTGGGATGACTCACTTGAAATTGCAGCAAGAAAGGTAGGTGTCCTTTAATTAATCCTTTGTCACTGTGGGCTTTCTATATGTTACCATTAATGTTAGTCTTTTTTATAAAAATATCCCTGACGATCTTTTCTCGAATGTGCCTGCATCATACATCATTTTCACCCATCAACAATGGATTTGATTGATTTATTAATTCTACTTTTTTTGTACCCATTCGAATATTATGCTTGATTTGTTTGATCAAACATTTACTTAATTTTCTGAAGATACTTTGCCCAAGTGCTCGTTATAGAATCTATTGAAGGTAGTGAGTTCTTATAGATTGTATCTAAGTGCAGGACCATTTAACATGCCGATGAAATGCTGACAGAAATTCAGCTTTTATGTGATTTGATTTGTTTATGCGAAGCTGCCTGTACGTATGTTGGTTTAGACCGTGCAACACCCCTTCGAAGTCCTGCTCTGGCAAAGACACATTGTTTGGGCAAATTATCATGTAGTAAATATAAATGAGACCCCTTACCTCTTGATGGTAAAGAAATGAAAAGTCGGCTGCTCCACCATATAGTATTTTATGGGGTCTTTCCATTTTAAATTTACCTATTTTTGATGCTCATAGAAATTTACAATACACTACTACAAACTACGGTACAATAACGATACAATAACGATACAATAACGAAGGGGGCATGAATCTTCATAACAACCCTGTTTCCAGTCACAATTATCTCAAAGTCTGTTCCAAAAAATAATGTTAGGCAAGCCACCCAGGGAGGGTGAATATATTATTTACCTATATTCATTCTTGATCCTTTAATCCCTGATGTTCATTTTCTTTTCGAAACTGTATTATTTGACGAATTTTACTTTCATGGCAAGCTTGAATGTGCACATGTTCAAATGAATTTCGGTATAAATCATGATGCTTGCATTTTTTGTTTACATATTTTTTTCTATACATTTTTATTAAATTTTTCTAATTTGCCATTATTTTTCTAATTTTTTCAAGGGCCACCCTGAACTTGAAAATCTGCGTTCAAATTACCTTCAATACCTTTCAACCTCAGGGCAAGAGGAAAAGGCTGGAGAAGTATGACTTATTCGAAGTATATTCTTACCGTATTGATCCCCTCAAACATTTAACTATATACCAATGAGCTCTTCTTTAAGTCATGGATGTCAAGAAATGGATTTACATAAGATGATATCGGATTCAATAAGACGACTGCAACATCTTGAATATGTTTGTTAAAGATCATTTCCAAGCATTAAGAACATAATTGAAATGTGTTTATGTATCATTTCAATAGTGAAAAAAATCTGGGTTGAATCTTCAATAAATCTGAGTGCCTCATCAACACAATCAGAAACGCTTTATCTTATTTTGTTACTAATGTTTATCTTTTCAAGTTTGTAAAATCTCTGCCTTTGCTAGGAGATGTAACTTTTCACAAAAGGTGAAAGTGATACTCAATGACAAACAAGTTTATTTTTATCTTCTGTTTCATAATGTTAATATTTTCTCTTAGACCTTCGAGTAGAGAAATATTTTGTGGATTTTTCTATTAGATCTTATTATTTGTTCAGTTATCTTTTTCTGGTATTCGTTGCCTTAGGTTTGCAGCAATTTTTTACTATTGGTTGTAAATTCCCCCCTCAGAAGCTATTTTTAATTAAGCCGCCACCTTAGATAGGCTCCCTTTGTTAAATCAAAACTTGAGAGAACTCTATCTTATTGGGCCTCCGTCCAACTTGTATTAAAAAACCGTTTAAGCGAAACACAAAAAATTGAAATCCCTTCCTATGATACTCCACTATTCTTTCAGGCCCCCTCTAAATTTCAAAAAGAGCTTATGCAAAATTCATTTAAATTTAGCAGTATTCTAGATTTTAGAAATACGAAGAAAAAGGAAGACCTAGCTTTCAGACTTGCCCTAAAATTCAAATCTCTAATTTCTTACGTCCTCTCTCTCTCTTTTTACTCTCAGGTTAAAGAGTCACAAGGAGAATACATGGAGGCAATCAATTTGTACATGAAGGCTGGACTGCCTGCCAGAGCAGCTCGCTTAGCGTTAAGCCATGATGTGTGTAATGTTTTGTAGATTTTTTATTTTTGTTTCTGTACATATATCGGCGACATATCTGCAATATATAAAGCTTGACGAAAGTCCCTCTAACGTTCCTCTCTTTATCAGTTGTTTAGAAATTGCAATAGGACTATCTGCCAATAATCTATCTGAAGCCTGTCGAATGGCTACATTTTTTATCCCAATTTCCTTTCTTTTTTCAGTTTTCTCGTCAACATGTTACAAAAATCTCTAAAATAAGTAATATTAGTGATCCCTGCTGAAAAGCGTTACGGTTGCCTTTGTTTCTGCTTTATTGCGAAATATATGATAATTTTCCTCATTTGGTTGCATTTTTCGAGCTTTCAAGATAACCAATCTGAGCTAGCTTCTTGAGCGAGCTAAGTTATATAGCTTCTTGTATCAATTTCAAAGCCAATCATTTTTCAAATTCTAGAATTTGGCAATGAATTCTGAGTTGCTTGAGAGAATTGCTCTAGCATTGATGAAAGGTGGATTCTACGAAAGGGTGTGTAATTTTCTTTTCTCTTGTTATTGCCTTGTTTTACCATGGATTGCTACCTTGAGGTCTGCAGTTTAATATCTGACCGATAAACCTTGTTAACTCGTTCGAGATATACAGTTTTGTATGTATTTTGCATTGCTGTTCTAAAGCTTATGGAAATTAGGTTTTATGTAGAGAAATTTGATCGTTGTATGCCATTTTTTTATAAAAAAAGTGTCCTTGCGCTTGGATAAAATTAGATTTGAGAAGCATCACCTCGGCTTAAATAGATAAATGAAAGCATGATTTGATTGCTTTTACTGATAATCGATACAAAGAAGCAAATTGCTAGTTCTTCAAGCACGTTGGCAGCTCTGTAAGAATAGTATATTGTGCCTTTTGTTGATAAATGCTGCATATGTAGTTAGTAAAAGGATAATTTCTATCTTTATTCCTAAATCGACAGTCTTGTTTTAAGAATACTTTGCCAAAAGTTACAAATGGCGCTTTAGTGCTCTTTTCTCTCTAATAATTCATATTAATTCTATCAAGTTTGTAGTAATAAATCTTCTAATTTGTGCACGATAATTATCCTTAGCTTAGTTTGTCCTGATTCCAATGCTCGTTATTTGCTCTAGGCTGGTGATCTTTTTGAGAAAATTGGAGACAACGATCGGGCGTTGTCTGCTTTCAGAAAGGGAAAGACATACCGAAGGGCTGTTGAGCTTGCTCGTATGTCATTTCCAAACGAAGTCATTCGTCTCGAGGAGGAATGGGGAGACTATTTGGTGTCTCAGAAGCAATTGGATGCTGCTATCAATCATTTCATCGAAGCTGGGTACGAGTATTTTTCCTGTTTTTTTATTTAAATGGTTGATGATGGATATGAAATCTACAGTCCCCCCCTTTTCTTTCCAAGCCGTAGCTCTAGGTATCCCTTAATTACTGTATGGGTATAGAAGCAACTAAAAATTCAAGGTCTTATCAGGGGTCAAGTCAGGGTCACAGAATATAAAGATGTTTTTAAAGACTGGCTTTTTAAAAGGCACACATCTTGAATTGCCATTGCAGTGTTTTTGCTGGTTATTCCTGCATTTCAGTAGCGATATATTGGTATTAATCGAATCTTTCAATCGAATTGAATATAAAATGCTGATTTGTTCCTCCCCGTTTCTGCAGTTCGTCAGTTAAAGCAATCGAGGCTGCTATCAATGCGAGGCAGTGGAACAAAGCTGTTCAAATTGTTGAGATCCAAGATGACAGTGTGGCGCAAAAGTAAGCTGCAATAGCACTTAGTTAAAATGTGCATAAATTTTAGTACATTTATAGGCAAAGATTATTCAGTTGCAAAACTTTCTTAGCTCGCTTGACTGAGGAATTATTTAGAGTTCCTTTGACTGAAGAAGTTTCTAATATTGCAACCGGTTACGTTTTCTTATGTTTCAAAGACTCAAAGTTAAAGCAGCAGAATTGAGTATTTTATTGTTCTATACCCTCAAATTCTGAGGACATGTGAGAATATTTTTAACTTATAAGATTTTTCACATTTTTGTGTTTTTAATTGTATGCTTAACTTGTATTTCAACATTATAGACTTTGAACGAATGAAAGTGAGCATAGCTGCAAATAATAATTGAGACCAGCTCATTGAAATTCACGTGCTTCTTGATATCAATGGGAGTTTTTGTGTAAGAAGCAAAGTAGTAGAAACTTGCCTATTTTAAGCATATTATTGAAATCTTTCATTTTCAGGTACTATCTGATACTTGCTCGACATTATGCACAAGTTATGGAATATTCTGTGAGTTTTACTATTCTTTTTATTTTATCTAGACCTGAATTGCTATTAAGTCTTCAATTTTTTTTTAATTACTGAAGTCGCATAAAATTTGTTTCAAAGAAACTAAGAAAGTATGCCTTTAATCTCGTTTTTTCCATGATCGTAATAAAATTACCCAATATTATCCGCAGTGTTCAATTTTGTAAATGATTTCCATTGGTATTAAATTTTTGTGAACCCCGATGAGAAAATACCAACTCACCCCAATGATACAGTTTTCCTACAGAATGTTTATAATCTTCAAGAACAAAATTCGAAATAATGTGGCATTTGAACAAATTCCACCACTTCCTGCTCGCATTGAATCACAAGCTGCTTCAATGTTTTTTCTGATAGGTTGCTGAACGTTTCTTCGTGCGCGCTGGTGAACCAAGAGAGGCTGTTGATATGTATACGAGAGCAAATATGTACGAAGCAGCCCACAAAGTAGGTGCATTTGATTACCTAAGTATTATTTTAACATCCAAACATAAGTCAACAGAATACTGGTTGTATATTTTTTAATTAGCCCAGGACTCTTGAAACTACAAAGCAGTTTGTTTATACAGCAAGGTAGGTATAAGAAAACGAAGCTGAAGTTTAATGTTAAAAAGGAGAAACACCGCAACGTGCCGAAAACAAACGACAACACAAATAATCACAGATAAATTATCGATTTTCGCTGCAAATATACCACATGAGTCTGTCCAGCAGGTTGCCACCGTGGCTTTTTAATTATTAACATACTGACAACAAAGAAATTTTTCCTGCAAAAGATAGGTGCCATTACAAGATAGTTCATTCTTATAAATTGTTGTATTTTTGAATGATAATCAAGTAGCTAGTGAAAACAATATATTGTTGCTTCGTTATCCACGTTACGTGAAAAAGTTTGCCGAAAATGGATGGTAATCATGCTTTTAGAATCCAAAGGTTAAAAAATCGTGGGCAGTTGATTCACCGCCCCCCCCCCAAACCCCCCAGGCCCCGGAGGACTTCTTCTTGTTAAACGTTGTTGTTAAACGGGTGATCGCCTTCGTACGCTTATCCCGTTCGTTATTGTGGGAATTTCTTTATGAAACGGCCTGGTTGAGAACCGATTAATTATTTTTAGGTACGCCCAGAGTTAATTCTTGACCATAACTGTGTAACTCCTTGACCTAAGAATGATATTCTCTTTGTTTCTAGCATCCTATCCACCCAAGGTATCCTTTGAATTTTACTTTTTGTTTTAGCTTGCTGTTAGATGCATGCCTGCGGAGGAGGTCTCGTCCTTGTATACAAAGCAAGCTAAAGAGTTTGAATCACAGGGAAGGTACAAAGAGGCTGAAAGGTAGAATATTGTTTATTGTAGCCTTCCAGATACCTCTGTCTATTATTTATTATCCTCTGTCTGTATATCCCTAAAACCTCAAGTAGGGAGCCTAATCGGCACTTGAATGAAGGCATGGTGCAAAGGCCCATAAGGTTTGTTGAGAGCTTGGGGTATATGCACCCTTGTGTTCACTGAATGCACTTCTGCTTTCCAACATTCAACACAAGTGAAACAACATTGGTCCTATTATAAAAATATCAAGTAATCTAGTCGAGCAAACACTATTGGCGTAAAGCTGATTTGTTCAAAAGTTGCTCCATTGATAAATCGTTCTATGACAACTGATAACATGAAATCATATGTAACCATACTACAAGTAATCTTATACCCCCTCTCCCTTATCGTGTTTAAGGGTTACCTATTGTCAAGTGAATAATTTACCAAGAGAACACACTAAAACTACACAAATAATCGCATGAATTTTCTGTCAATTTTAAACCTTCCAAGGCACCTAGATTCAGTTGTGTCTCCTGATATCCGTTGCGTGTCTGTAAGGATTTTTCCTTGTCAGAATCTATTCATGTTGAGTTTTCGTAGCAAATTTACATTTAAATGAATATTGTCAATTGTTTCTCCTATTCATTAGACTATAATCTTTTGAACTAAACTGGCAACTTTTGCAATATGCAAATCGATAATCATAAATACTAGCAGTTATTATCTCAATGTGTCATTTCTAAAGTTGTTCTTTTGCCTTTATCTTCAAATTAATTTTCTAAACTCGAAATTTTTTTCTTTCTAGATTATTTATCACGGTTGACGAGCCCGATCACGCGATCAACATGTATAAAAAACTGAAGATGGTAACAATTGCTTGAATTTCAGCTAAAGATTTTTATTACTTTAAATTTGCTAATTCACTTCAATAGCTAAACTTGCTGATTCACGATCTATAGAGTTCGTCAAAGAACTTTTAAACATTTCTATGTTTTGAATATTTCCTACCCATCTGCTCCTTTTCATGTTTTTTTCATGTTATAAGTATTTTGTTCATTAAGTATTTGATAATGAGGTTCCTTATTCTGTTCTTTAGTACGACAAAATGATAAAACTGGTTACGCAATTTCATCCTGATCTGCTTCAAGACACGCACTTACATCTCGCTAAGGTTTGTATTAATGCTATCAATGTTAATTAATTTATTTTGTTATTTTGAGGATCTTCTTTATGTTTTTATTGACTTAGAGTAATATTAGCGTTTCGAATGCACAACTACTTTCAAATTTTATAGCCTTATTAAAACTTTCTACTTGTTTCTTTTGGCATCTGTCTTCGAATGGATAGAAGACCCAATTTGAAGGATATTTTTTGTATTTTGGACTTTGTAGTCATTTGAGACGTTAGGGGGCTGTGACTGGTGAAAAGAACCCCCAAGGTGCAGCTTCTTTCTTTCTGGTTTATTTTTGACAATTCGCTCCAAAGTTAAGCATATTTTTTTACATACAAAAAGCATCGAATTTAGGCAAGAAGATTTCCCGCTGCTTTGGCAGCATTGGTCACTTGTCTACTTAAGTTGACATTTTTGTCTCCTTAATCAATTCTTCGTTCTCTTTTAAGGAGCTGGAGGCCGAGGGCCAGTACAGTCAAGCTGAGCACCATTATACAGAGGCACAGGACTGGAAAGCAGCCGTTAATATGTATAGAAATAATGACCTTTGGGAGGATTCATACAGAGTAATAAGTCGCTTCTATTTCCTTCTCTTTTATAACAATATATTGTAGTGTTTAACTACATTGAAATTTCTTAGTGTAATTCTCTCACTAATAACATTTTAACAAGATTAGACAGGTCGATTATTGCATATGTAAGGATTGCTGACATTTCTACGCATTTCATAAGTCTACTTCGTGCTACAGAAAGCAGCCAATGTTTGTTCTGGTTTGGTCATCAAATGCTGTCTCAGACACAAAAAGTGCTTCTAGACTTCTGGAGCATTTCTAGACTTTTACTGTCGGTATGAAGTGACCCGATCGGAGATATGTGGTAGAATTCGTAAGAAAGTCAAATAGCCAGCCTCATTGTTAGGGAAATCAGGTTAAATGGGGACTTTTGTCTGATTGATAACTTAACACAATTATCTTTGTTGCCTTGTAAACTGCATACTTGCTAGCTGACTGATCCTTTTATGGGTTGGATTTTGAGGAGCTTTTTGTGTAAATGTGAAATGTTACTTTCCATGGTGCAGCATTAGGCTTATCCCGCTCATCCCCCTACCCCCCCCCCCCCTATTCTGCTATTCTGCTATTTTGCGAAGCCCATTTTCGAATTAAAAGATATCATCAGAGCTATATTTTTACTGGTGAAACTTGACGAGATCATATTCTCAATCAATCGTTAAGGTTATTTTCAATACTGTTAGTCCATGATGTAATCATGTAGTCTTCGTCTTCATTGCTTTAGGTTGCCAAGCACTACGGTGGTGTGACCCCTGCGAAGCAAGTTGCCTACTTATGGGCAAAGAGTCTAGGTACGTGTCTCGTTTTGATTTCATCAAATGTCACGCATTCCTGTTGCCTTTGAGGTTTGTTCTTATGCCAATTTTGCAAATCTCTCACTATTATTAAAGTGTATTGCAAGAAAGTTTTCATCTGAGAAAGGAATTGTTTTTTTGTTACCATTTGCAAAACCCATTGCTATCTATTTTCATGATCTCTAAATTTTCATTTAGGTTTTGTCCTTTTCTGTTTATCTTATACTATTTATCTTATGCTATTTATTTTATGCTATTTATCTTTAGGTTACTGTACCTGAAGCTTTGATATTTTTTTCATATTACACCAACACTTGCTGCTCCTTAGTTTCATTGATTTATTGAACATCTTATTTGCGTAGCCTAGAAATTTCTTTTTAAGAGCTTTATTTTTTGAAGTCAAAGGAAAACCTTAGCCTTGACATCGAATGAGTAAATTAGCAGAAAGTGAGTAAATGGAGTAATTTGTTTTGCTTTTGCTCTGTGACAGGTGGGGATTCTGCCGTGAAACTGCTCACAAAGTTCAATCTTTTGGAGACTGCAATCGAGTATGCTGCAGAAAATGGGTATGTTTCAATTCAACCGTTCTGCTCATTATAAGCATAATGCTGCTAATCGTTTTTATGGATAGTTGATGTACATGATAATTTCAGGGCAGAATTATGAACTGCAGAGGTCTGTTGTCTTGCTATGTGAAATATGTGACCTGCTTCTGCGAGCCAATTATTCGCATGAAGAAAAGATTGCTCTCCATTGAGGCCATGGAGCTCATAATGTGCCGCCAGCTCTGATAGACGCTGGTCTGTCTTAGACATAACTTTTGTGATAAATCTAAGACAGGAGAGAGTCTTTCAGAATATACTTAATAGACAACGTGTAATTTTCAGGCTTGCCTGCGCTTTTATAGATTTTGAGCAGAAATGTGTATGAACCTGTGGAACAATCACCAACTCATCGCATTAAGCGTGAAACTTGCTGTAGCAACTTATAACCGAAGCTGTGGAAATGCATTCATTTATGAAAATTTGATATTTTGATTTTCGGAACAGCCTCCTTCTCTAAGTGGGATTTTCCCGCAATATCACCAACCAGTTATGTATTCTAGATTTTTCACCTTTTTTGCAGGTCATTTGAATTTGCCTTCGATTTAGCACGAACTGGTATGAAGAGCAAACTACCAGACGTTCATTTGAAGCACGCAATGTATTTGGAAGACGAAGGAGACTTTAAGAAAGCTGAGGATGAATTCATTAAAGCTTCAAAACCTAGAGAAGCCGTTCTAATGTAAGTATGATGTGTCAATGTATCCGGAGAAAGAGATACTGGTGAGGCCGTCTGCAGGATTTTATGAATATTGCGATGATCAGGGTCGTCGCTACGGAGGATGTGGGTGCGTGACTCCCCCTTGGAAGAAAATTTCATTGTGAAAACGAGTAGTTTTTTGGCATTAAGGGGTGCAAATTTCGTCGGCAAATTTTCAGATATGTCGGCAAAAAAGGATGGCAAATGGGATTGGGCACCTGCCCTTGTGAACAGAAGCTAGCGATGGCCCTGGTCATGATATTGTGAATGTAATAAACGATAGACAGAAGCATAAAAGCAAAACGGCAAGGAATGATCGAATAAAAATAAAATACGTGTTGAAAACATGATCCAAAAATACTTTTGAAGAAGTAAATGTTTATATTTTCGTCCCTGTCATCTTGTTTCTTCCAGCCTATACTCAATGTGTTGAATCTGTTGCTTTGTGCGCGCAATATGTTGTCAGTACGCCTTGAAGTGATCAGAAATTATTACTAATTACTAAGAGCTAAGCTACAGGTATATGTAAGCATGTTCGAGTTAGATGAAGATGGAAATCAAGGTGTTGGTGATTGTGTTGCCGTCTTATCTAGATCTTCTTTAATGCTGGGTCGAATCAGACAATCATTAGTGGTTTTTTGTAATTGTTTATCAGACTATGTCAATGAAAATGTACAAAATTTTTATCATTATCGATTCTAAATCCCTTCCAAATTACCAAGCAACTCATCACAAGCTTAGAGTTTGGATACCTTTGTAGATTGTGTCTGTTTTTGGATCATAATTCAATGAATGAATACATCTAGCAATATTTGTTTTGTGGTATTGCAATATGAAGTTTATTATGGTATTTTGTACAGGTACGTGCACACGCAGGACTGGGACAGTGCACAGAGAATTGCAGAAGACCATGACCCTGAAAGTGTTGCTGATGTTCTAGTAGGCCAGGTAAAGATTCAGGTTTTCCGTTTCAATAAGAAATCATGGTCGTCCATAAATGAATGCAACATTTTTCCCCTGGAATTTTTCTCGTTCTAAAATCTTCATGATTTCGAACATTGAAAAATACATCACCTCACTGCAAGATAAAAACTTATGTTTCGTAGTATCCCATTCCTCTTCGTATCATTATAAATTATGTTGAATAATTTACTATTTGACAAGTGGTAAACAAGTGTACCATTCAATTTTTTATGAATATTAAAGATCTATATTTTACCGTTTTGAAATGAGCATGGCTCCTGGTCATGCTTCGGGTTTTTTTTAGCCAGAACCATTCTGTTTCAAAGCATTTTATGTTGGCTAAGCTTTGAAATCGTACCTTTTAATATTTCAAAATCAAATGTTTCAAAATTGCAGTTATTCTCGAATATGTGTTGAAAATGTTGTCTCAACTGAATTTTAGCAGTGATAGATATTACATGCATCTCTTTTAGGCTCGTCAAGCCTTTGGGAAAAAAGAATATCCGAAGTCGGAGTCATATTTCTTACGTGCACAGCGTCCGGAGCTTATTATTCGGCTATATAAAGTAGGTTGGCCCTCTTATATTGTCATTTGTTATAGTCAGTATTATCAATAGTTAATAGGCTGCACAGTTGCAATAGTCAATATTATCAGTAGTCAATATTTTTCACAGTTGTAATAATCAATATTATCAATAGACAGTAGTTGTCACAGTTGTAATAGTTAATGTTATCAATTGTCAATATTTGTCACAGTTGCAATATTCAATATTATCAATTGTCAATATTTGTCACAGTTGTAATAGTCAATATTAACAATAGTCAGTAATTGTCACAGTTGTAACAGTCAATATTATCAATTGTCAATATTTGTCACAGTTGCAATATTCAATATTATCAATAGACAGTAGTTGTCACAGTTGTAATAGTTAATGTCATCAATTGTCAATATTTGTCACAGTTGCAATATTCAATATTATCAATTGTCAATATTTGTCACAGTTGTAATAGTCAATATTAACAATAGTCAGTAATTGTCAAAGTTGTAACAGTCAATATTATCAATTGTCAATATTTGTCACAGTTGCAATATTCAATATTATCAATAGACAGTAGTTGTCACAGTTGTAATAGTTAATGTTATCAATTGTCAATATTTGTCACAGTTGCAATATTCAATATTATCAATTGTCAATATTTGTCACAGTTGTAATAGTCAATATTAACAATAGTCAGTAATTGTCACAGTTGTAACAGTCAATATTATCAATTGTCAATATTTGTCACAGTTGTAATATTCAATATTATCAATAGACAGTAGTTGTCACAGTTGTAATAGTTAATGTTATCAATTGTCAATATTTGTCACAGTTGCAATATTCAATATTATCAATTGTCAATATTTGTCACAGTTGTAATAGTCAATATTAACAATAGTCAGTAATTGTCACAGTTGTAACAGTCAATATTATCAATTGTCAATATTTGTCACAGTTGTAATAGTCAATATTATCAATAGACAGTAGTTGTCACAGTTGTAATAGTTAATGTTTTCAATTGTCAATATTTGTCACAGTTGTAATAGTCAATATTATCAATAGTCAGTAATTGTCACAGTTGTTATAGTCAATATTATCAATAGTCAATATTTGTCACAGTTGTAATAGTCAATATTATCAATAGACAGTAGTTGTCACAGTTGTAATAGTCAATATTATCAAGCACTAAATAAAGGTTAATTCTCCACACGAAGACAGTGATTTCCATTACAGCTCAATACAGTGCAACCATTGAGCACTATTTTCGCATTCTACTTTCACCTAGAATCTTCCATCTATTTTGTTCTATTTGATATTTGCAAGGTCAAAATGACCCTCAATTCTTAATAAATCCTCATATCAGTTAGCATTTTCACTTTCAAGTTCAACTTTATAAGTATCAAAAACAAACAAATACAGAGTTCTGTTGCAACCTCGTGTGATTCATTTGCTTCGATACTAATATCAATCCTTCCTTTTATTGGGTATTTCAAGCAGCATTTAATTAGCAGGCTCAAAGTAGCTGCACTTCAGATGCAATTTGTCCAGTTACAATTCTCGATGTTGTGAAACTCTAATCACTGAGTTCAAAGCAGCTAGCTGTCACAAATTAGCAATTTAAAGATTTATATTTCCTTTATAATTTTTCTCTTGGTGGATGGTAAGATCCGTAAGCAAGTATTGTTGCCAATACAAATGCCTTGATCTTATAGTTTTTGCCTTTGCAGTTGGTCAAACCTTTCAATGATTACTACAAAGTACAAAGATGTTTGGTCGTTATGAGAAGTGCAAATTTCTATATTTTGTAGGAAGAAGGAATGTGGGCAGATGCTTTGAGAATTGCCAAAGAATATGCCCCACATAAACTGGATCAACTTCAGAATGAGTATGACAGAGAAAACAACCGTGATGACAAGTATGTTTTGATTATTCCTGTTTGGACAAAGTTTTTGCTGAGGGTATAGATATATGCTGTATATCAATGCTGTACTGTATTAAAGTAGATTTCCCGAGGCATTCTCAGAGTTTTATTGCTAATTCATTCTCAGAGTCTATTCTCAATTCTAACCAATTCTTCGTTTCCTCTTTACTTTGGAGGTCAGATCATCATCCCCGTATTGTTTTTTCCATCAATTTAAAATCATTAAATTTATGGAGTTAAATTATTTTGAAAGATTAACTCAAAACTTCTGCTTTTGTTATCAATTAATTTTATAATTTCATTCTTTCCGTATATAGTATTCAGAATAAAGTTAAAATGTGAAACTATAAGTGTTTTTTAAAATTGAATTCTCATATCATCAAAAGTTCATGGTTCTTTTTTCATATACATGGAATCTGGTAAAGATTACCTTTTTTGCTGTTTGCCTTCCGTCTGACGATTATCATTAGAAATATTTAATGACCTGGTGATACGAGTATCGATCTCTTTTTTAAATCATTTTAGGGGACTAGACTCATTGTTGGCACAAGCAAAGGACTGGGAATCTCGCGCTGAATATGGAAGAGCAATTGACGTTTATCTCAAACTAAGCAAGTCGATGACTCAAAATTTCGACATTCTTGAGGATGCATGGACAAAGGTGCTGCGGATTATATGTCTTGATTTTGCCTTTTCTCAAATATTGCGTCAATGTCGTTTCAATGTAATTTTGATTAACTTTTGGTTATGCAAAACTCTAAGATAGAGCAATCATGATGTGTCTGCAAATATTGTCAATGTCGTTTCAGTGTAATTTTGATTAGCTTTTGGTAACGAAAAACGCGAAGATAGAGCAATCATGATGTGTCTGCAGAAATGAGAAGGCCAAAATATATTTGATACGGTTATATGTCAACCTTTATTCACAAGCCCAGAGTGCTTCAAAATATATAGTGAAAAATTATTCAATATCATTGGACAAGCAAGGTCGTCCTTATAGGTAGGTGTTTTGGAATCGGTTTACATAAAAAAGGAGCCCGACTTGTGTAGACAAAAGAGTTGGTTTTCTCTCTTGGGCATTTCAATAGGGTGTGAGGTTAGTGGCCGCTGATTGGTCAAAAGCACGGAACCAATCAAACGTGCCATTCTACTTATCATGTTACTTTCTATCTTAATCTGAATATAAATTTTATGCTTACCTTTGGTCGCTAACCGACGCGGGGTGTAAGATAAAAAGTACTTGAATATGCTATGTTCTACTATGCATATGCTATGTTTCCAATTTACATATGCTACAGTATGTTGGTTAGGCTTGTTGCTCTACTGCCTAAGGCTAAGATTGTAGTGTGTTTTCGACATGAATGACAATGTGCGTGAAGATGCTGTATATCTAAAAGATTCCGTTCAGTTGAAAAAATAAGTCTGAAGCTTTAAAATATAGATTTTGGGCAGATGCTGCCTACTGACATATTTGTAGACCTGTTGCTGGATATGTATTTACAAATCAAAGCCTTTCCACAACGCCAGCTTCGGAGTCGTATCCTATCATCTTTGAAAATGTATTCGTTTATGTGTTGTATCTATGCCGTTATCTTTATCACATGTAAATAACTCTTTCTGAAGAAGCCTTAGTGTTTTGCTGGCTTTTTCATTGAGATCCTTCTTGAAGAATCCTTTTATAGTCATAATAATTTATCAAATGCTTGAAGATTGGATTTAAGTGTTTGTGAACGTAGTAATTTGTTTTGCAGGCCGTTGAACTGGCAGTGAAATTTGTAAAAGACAGAGCCGTTGATGTTACTGACAAAGCCTGCAAAAAACTCTGTGAAATCGAAGCTTATGAGCAGGTATGAAGTATCTTGCGTGTATATGGTCATTTTATGTGTATAAAAAGGCTATGCTTTGCTCTATTGTTGTTTTCAACTTGATTCACATTACCCTAATCTGCATTAGCCACCCGATTAGCCACTTGGCTGAACTTGTAAAAAGCTATGGTTTTGAACATGTGGTTAAGCAATATTGCCTCAAAACGTATTTTTATTGTATATAAATTTGGAAGACTATTCGGAATACCATTGAAGATGCACAATCATTTAGATGTGCTGCATCTTTATTGTCTTGCCTTGTCTTGTCTCGTCTCGTCTCGTCTCGTCTCGTCTTGTCTTGTCTTGTCTCGTCTCGTCTTGTCTTGTCTTGTCTTGTCTTGTCTTGTCTTGTCTTGTCTTGTCTTGTCTTGTCTTGCCTTGTCTTGTCTCGTCTCGTCTCGTCTCGTCTTGTCTTGTCTTGTCTCGTCTCGTCTCGTCTTGTCTTGTCTTGTCTTGTCTTGTCTTGTCTTGTCTTGTCTTGTCTTGTCTTGTCTTGTCTTGTCTTTTCTTGTCTTTTCTTGTCTTGTCTTTTCTCGTCTATGTCTTGTCTTGTCTTGTCTTGTCTTGTCTTGTCTTGTCTTGTCTTGTCTTGTCTTGTCTTGTCTTGTCTTGTCTTTTCTTGTCTTGTCTTTTCTCGTCTATTCTTGTCTTGTCTTGTCTTGTCTTGTCTTGTCTTGTCTTGTCTTGTCTTGTCTTGTCTTGTCTTGTCTTGTCTTGTCTTGTCTTGTCTTGTCTTGTCTTGTCTTGTCTTGTCTTGTCTTGTCTCGATGCTTTATATATTCAGTACCTCTGATCGTTTAACGTACCTTTTTGTAGGCTGCAGAGTTATATCAGTCAGTAAAACTTTTCAAAGAAGCTATCGACACTTATATAATGGGACAGCTATGGCCACTGGCAAAACGCTTAGCGGCCGATGCAGCACCAAAGTAAGAAAGCCACATTTGAACTTTATTGTTCTGTGCTCAGTTTTATTTATGAGATGTTTTGCTTCTCTATGTGTTCACTCGCCAGCAGAACACACCAGCCGTATACATTGCTGTAATAATTGCTAAATCTGAGTATCTGTGCTTGTCAATTGATATAACAGACGCTTTGAAGGATTAACCACTTCTCTTAATTCCTTGAACACCTGCGAACAGCGAACAGATGCCCGTTCAAATATTCACATACCCTACTTTATATTGGCTTGCCTAAAGCACTAGTAAGCATTTTCACATTGCATCCAGCATAAATTTGTTCAGGTTTAGTATATTTTCCTTTTGGCTTTTATTCTTATTGGTAGGTCTACCTATTGTATGCAGTAGATAAATTTCCTTTTTTCACTTCAGATACGAGCAGTATGTTGAAGAAAAGTACATCAACTTTTTAAAATCCAAGCAAATGCCAGATAAGGTAAGTCTGTTAAGAATTTTAGAGACGTCATATTCAATGACGAAAAGGTATCAATCCGGTAATTGGGTTTGAACTGCATCAGGTGGACATGATTTTAGTATGATTTTCTTAATCCCGATCTAGATTGATCTAGATTTATCTAGTTTACGTTTTCCTTGGAAATTTGTTTTAATTCCTGGATATTTATTGCAAAAAGAACGGGAATGGAAGATTTTTTCAAAATTTAGGAACATAGTGACATCACAGCGCTTTTCATCACTAGGTGATACTCTTTTTTATCCTGTGTTAGAAGCACAATATGTATTTCTCAATGAACAATATTGGCTGAATCTATGTTTCTTGAATGTTTTTGTTTTTTCCTTTAATCATTCCTTCACTGACCTTTGCCAGCTTATGGATGTTGATGTTATCGGAGCTCTCGACATGTACGTTGAGCAAGGCCAATGGGAACGCTGCATTCAAGAGGCTGAACAGCAGGTAATCTATGTATAGACTCTAAGCCATTTATCAGAAGAGTATACAGTAATCTTTGCAATGAAGATGCATGGCAATGGGCAGTATCCTCGTGCCGATAGACAGTTCAGGGGCAATGCATTCAAAATGAAACCATGCGTTTTACAAACTAAGAAGGTTCTTGAAAACATGTTGCCTAATCAAGGAAATACATCCTGCAGGTCATCATTATATAGTTTCGGAGATTTTGTTTATGGTTTTTCTGCTTTTTTTCGTGGTTCTAATAATTGTATATATAACAGACGGTAGACAGAAAATATGAGAGCTCGGTAAAGAAACAGATATCATTTTCGCTCTATTTCTTATTTTTTTATATTTATCATGTTTTGAAATAACAGGTTAAGTGTAGAACATAGTTGTTTATCTATGTTCTGAAAAGCGTACCAGATAAAAACTTCAGTATGTTTCAAAATGTTTGCTTTTTTACAAAGCCAGACCTACATGGCCTCGAAAAATCTAACTTTTTTAAGATCTGGCTTAAATCAACCCAGCTCTTATGATGATTGTAGCTTTATAAGCACGATTCAAATTCAATTTCATTTGAACATTTGACTGTCATGCCACCACGTGTTTGTGGAATATTTTAAAGCCATTAGTTTCAATTTGATATTTCATTACACTTTAAACTTTTCAATCACAGAGCAGTGATGTCTTGAACAAATACGTTGCTTTATATGCTGCCAACTTAATCAAGGAAGACAACCTTATGAAGGGGTTGGATCTATTTTTGCAATATGGTGCACCTCCAAATCCACAGGTATTTATTTTCCTCTGATCGATATTTAATTACAGTCTGTCCAATTCCTGTCCGTCTACAGGCTTATTAAACTGGGGAAACTTTTATAAGTGTGTAAAAATATTTTACAAAACAGAAAGCTTTTAATTCATTTTCACATAGCTATACTATACTTTACTCGATCTATAACTATACTTTCCAAATCTATAGCCCTCGACAAATTTATACCGATTGTTGAGTCAACCCCACCATGCCTCTCTTATGGGATCAATCGAGCAAGAAGAATTCTAAGCATTATGTAAGATAAAGTTTTTTTGAGGTGGAGATAGGGCTCCTATTAACCCGGGGCAAAATGTTAATTTAGCATTTTAGCATGTTATGTAAGTAGCACCATTTGTTACGGTTTTATCCCTGCCTTTCACGGGTGTTTGTTGATATCAGACATTGTCAGATGAAAGGAAACAGCATTTTGTTAAATTGTGTTATGGTTTTCACTTGCTAAACTACGATGGTCCGGTTTTTTTTGCAGAATTTCAATATTTACAAACGTCTGGCATATAGCATTTTCTCGATGCCTGGAAAAGCCGGGCCGGAATCCTACAAGTTGTGGGCAGACACGCGAAACATGCTGGCTGATGTTGTAAGCAGTTTCTACTTACAAAATTACACCTAATTGCAGATCTCTATAGATGTTCATTTGGCTTACTTATAGTTTTCTAAGCATTTCCTGTCTCATCTTTTTTCTGGCCATTGAAAGCTAATTTTACAAATAGCAAGTCTCATTCATTTAGAACTATGAGAGTTTCCAAGTATGAATGTCCTTTTAGTGTTTTGAACTGGAAACTAAATATTGCTCATTATAAAAGTGTTACGACAATCCCGGGAAATAAATGCTTCCATGTGTTAGTGTTTTCTGATAGAAATATTTGATATTGTGGGCTAAAAAAAGATTTTGCGTTGTTTTGTTTGGAACCTTGCAGAGTTGATGACCGAATGATAAAGGGAACTTTAGCTGAGAATGCAATGATCTCATTATCTAAGAATTTTTTTGATTGATATGAATCTATCCAATGACTAACATTTTCACCCTGCTCTGCACCAATTTTACAGAAAATACTTTTAAATCATTAAAATTTTTATATTTTTGGAGCTTTTAACGTCAACCGAATAAAAATTCATCTTTTTTAGCACCTACCTCTCCACGCTAATTTTCGCCTCTTTGTAAAATATTGTGTGCCACCAACAGGTTTTTTTAAATAGACTTGCTGCTTGCATCGCAATTTGTATAACGACATAGTAATCGCATTATTAGTGAATTTCCAGGTACCCTTAATGAAATATCAGTAGAGAGCTTCTAAAGTATTTTCTATCTATAATTTCAGTGTGAAGGTTTTGAAAGGAAGCCATCTGATGCTGTTACCATGGAGACCTTTAGTCGCATGCTGATTATATCCCATTACTACGCAACACGAGCCGCTGCGAAGTCACAGAAAGCTCTGGTTTGTCTTTTAAATGATTATTTTTAACAAAAAATGATTTTTGCGTCACAATAATCTGCATTAAATCTTTTATTCCAGCCTTCTAATCTGATACCATAATTGCAACAATAAACGGTGGACCAAGATTGACGCGTTCTTAGGTTCTGTTCGAACATTGAATTTGAAGAACAACAAAATGAACAATCTTGCTTCCTCTATTTTGCAGGAGAGTATTGCTGCGAAGCTTTCGGTGTCCCTGCTCAGGCACTCTGACATCATTCCATGTGATAAAGCTTTCTTCGAAGCAGGAATGGATTGCAAGGTTTGCTCTTGTTGTGAATTTAGATTCAGTAATAATTTTGTTGCCACCCATGGTAATATTTGGTTCCATGAATGCTCTTTCATAAATGCGATATTGATCTACGTGATAAAAAGCAAATACATAATCGAACGTTTGGTTGAAACAACGAAATGTTTTGCACGAGGAAGCTCATTGACAAGGCCATTGCTACAAGAGTTTCGAGGGTTTGCACCCTCCTTGAAAGACCTTCTGTTGCAAAAACGACCTTGCCACCTTTGGGTTACCTGTTCCGCAAATTCTAACTTGTCGGCAAATGGGACCTGAAACCTCCCTTGATCACCAAAGCTAGAGACAGGCCACTGAAATTAACAGAAATAAAAAACTTCATGCATTTTCCTTTTCTTTTGAAGAAGATTCCAAGGGTATCGTCTTGAGGCATCGGGGAAACTTTCGTTGAACTTCAAGTGTAGTGAGCCCAAGAAAAAGTGTTTCACGGCTTGTTTCTAGAATTCTTTATTCTTGGCAATCGTGAATTGACAGTTGGCTGTCCACTCATTTAGATGTGAAAGAGGCATTCTGGGTCGTTTTTTCATTCGTAGGATTTAGAATATTGGAAAATGCCATTTTCTTGATTCAGTCCCCATTTCTACAAACACAAGGCTCTAAATCTGATGTCGAAGAGATAGCAAAGCACACAATTGAAATGTTTGTCAAGATATCCAGTAGCCTTATGTAATATCTGTTTTTGCTACCTACTGGAGTTTTTGAGACGCCCAATTTTTCTTTAAATTGTTTTTTATCTTTCTTCTAGAAAATTGGTTGGGAAAATATGGCATTTGTGTTTCTTAACAGATTTTTGGATCTTAGTGAGGTAAATTTCCCTTTCTTACTTAACCACTGTAAGTTCTTAGTAAAATCTAACACTTAATTTACTTTCAATATGCTGTCCTTCTGTCGATCTGAACTAACCAACTGCCAAAAAAGGTTCATTTTATTTACAAGGTAGATAGCTCTCCACATTGGAACATTGCAGAAAACCAAAAATATTCTCATCCACCTTTCGCTGTTAAACCCCCGTCACATATTTATCTGACTTTATTTCATAGGGCATCGAGGAAGGCAATCTAGACATGATTGATAACAGCGATTTCATGGAGACTGATATTCCGCTTGAGGTGACTGTACCGGAGAATCAGTTCCTACCGGTAAGTCTGTCTTTTAAGGCTTTGTACCTGCGATGGTTGCCAAAAGGTCATTGGACTAGACGAAAACCTTGCTCCAGCTCGGTATCCTCTCTCCCCTCTCAGTTATTATGCCAAACCCCTTTCTCCTATAATATTTGTTATTTGGACAATGCGTGTGTTCAAGCCATCGGAATGTGTAAAAATTAGCACTTCCATATTGCAGGGGACGACTGCAATTTAGCTAATCAATCTTATTACTTTTGGATACAATTGTAGAAACTGAACAGAGAAATGTTTGTTTATGACCCCTCTAATTGTCCGTTTAAACTGTCGATAATATTTCATATGCATTTGTGATATATTTCAATGATTTTGTTTTGTTAATAAGTAATTTTAATATATGCAAGTGAAGATTGCATATGCAAGTGGAATTCACGGCGTTTTATTTCGTTTAATGGTTCTCAAGGGCTTATTTGCTTCATTGAGCACCGAAATTGAACAGTAAAAGAGGCAAAAGAGTATTTTTAGTTCGACATGCTAATACTGTGAAACAAACATACGCATCTATCTTTGTTTCGTAACCTAAAATGTGTCCTGCTATCTTTGATTTCATGTGTCTGCTTATATCTCCCACTAGAGCTTGTAATCTTTGAAAGGCTTGCCCTCTTTTTACTTCTTAGACACTTATAACTAACCTTTTTTACAAATAAAATCAACATACTTCTCAACGTCCTCTGCTTTCCCTTACTTAGCCTCTTCTTTCCTTTTCTAATAACTGTTTGGCTATAGGTCTCCAGGCCTCTCCTTAACATTACCGACTGAAAAGTTAATAGTTATATGGAGTTTGTTTGCACATCTATAGCGTTTAAAATTGCTATTATTTCTGTAGACTACTTATATTAATGATATACTCAATGTTCTTATATTCATTATCTGATTTGAAGATGTCGTTAAGAAATGTTTGTTATATTCTGTGGTCTGATTCTCTTTGTCGTTACTTCATGAGATTTACTTACAGGAAGACAAAAGGGAAGAAGTTAAAGAGTGGGTGCTGGCTGTTTCAATGGACCAAAAAGTTGAACAGGTTTTGCCTTTAGATGAAAGAGATACTTACGAGGGATCGCTGATAGCAGTAAACACTGAAATCAAGTCATTACCTTGTGTTATATCAGGTAATTACCACTGTGATCAGTTCGTGATCTGTTCACTGATTGCTTTGCTTGAGATGCATGGCTGCCCCTCATTGCTTTCCATCTGTCCACGTATTACTATGTTTCCTTCCTTGAAATGATGCAGCTGTGTTTTACCATCTTTGTGTTCTTATTTCTTCTAAATCTTGCCTTTTAATTCTTCCCCCTTAACATCTCTTCAATGCTATTAATGCTTACCTCATTTGCCTTCTATTTAATACTAAGGTTCAAGGTTTTTTGCTTTCGACTAACCTCTGCACCTATCTTCTATATTTTAAATTGTTCGACCAATGTTATTATATCTTGTCAATGTTTCTTTCTATTTTTAATCTTATTGCAAAATTTCTTGACCGTTTGCTTTCCAATGGCTTCATTATTGATTGTTTGGAGGAAGACTTTTGAGCAATTTTAAAAATACGTCGACAATTTTTTTTCCTAGGCTCTTTAACGTCCATTGAAAATTTGAAAGCCTTTTTCACTTTCAAAGAGCCATTCAACTTCTCATTTTGCGTCAGATAAAATAAAACGCTGGCTTTTTCAGATACGTTTAAACCCTACGTCACTAAGCCAAAGCTGGTTCTTTTTTAAAGGGTACCCTGTTCTAAGAAGCAAGCTTGAGTTTAAAAAGCCTGGACGTGCTGCAAATAAAGAAGACTGGAACAAGTTCCTCATGGCAACAAAGGTTTGCCCAGATAATTTTTTTAAAACATAAACATGCATTTTTAACTTTTAACGTCGTTTTCTTTTTGCTGATATGAAATTTCATTGATTATTTGTAAATTTGTGCTTTTGTGAAGGAACAACAATTTGCATTAAACATCTTAAAAATGAGTTTGAATTTAAGTTTGGGAGTTGTTAGCAAACGGCGTTGACTCTGGTTACGACATATGTCATGTATTTGATCCTGTGCGCTATCCATCTATGACGTAACAAGACAGGATTAGAATATAGGCAACCTCTCAAGTCTACTTGAGCACGTGACCGTTGCGCTTTTCATTGTCATGCACAAAAATTTACTTTATCCCAACGTTATTATCTTTGCCTCATTTTCACTAAAGACAACGAGGCATACTCCTCCCCTATAGCAGTACAATACCCTTCTAGAGCCTTTTGAGTCGCGATTAAATTAAATCATGTACAAATCTCTACCTTAGGTATCACACAGCCCTGAGTGCCAAGATGTGCTGCGTTTTCTCACTCACTGGTGTGGTGCCCCGCAGAATCCAAGCTATTCATTCCAATAGGATTGCAAGTACTTTCGTGTTCATTGTAGCGTTATAATATGGTTAGATAGAAAGGTATTAAAAGTTATTAATGTAAATATCTGCATTGTAAGATAAAGAAATGGAGACAGAGCAAAATCTTCTCTTTTGGTTCAATGCTTCTCTGTTTGGCTTTTTAAGACCAACTTTATATAAGATATTGGTCAGCACTTGGAATCTAAAGACGAGGTGAATATTTGAGAACATTACTTCTGAAATAGGTTCCTTTTGCTTTGAAACTACCAAACGTAAATGGTAAGTACCCTGTTTTATTCTTCCTAAATTCTGAAAAATTTCATTGAGAATCCCAACATATCCGTGTTGCTAATTGTGCAGGGCTATCAAAAGGTTCCTTTTCCCTTTTCTGTAACTTCGCAGGCCATTTTCAAAAACTTTAAAAAATAATCAAAATAATCAAAGAATTAACAGAAATATTAGTTAAAACGTGTTATTTGTTTTATAAAGAACAATTTCTGTTGCTTTAGTTCCAATGGTTCTTGGTCAAAAAGTAAGGTAATAGGCTTGTAGAAAATGGTGAATATTTTGACAGGCAATTTTATCTAAAAAACTTAAAAAACGATCAAAATAATCAAAGAAATTAACAGAAATATTAGTTAAGAGGTGTTATTTCTTTTATAAAGAACAATTTCTGTTGCTTTTGTTCCAATGGTTCTTGGTCAAAAAGTAAGGTAATAGGTTTGTAGAAAATGGTGAATATTTTGACAGGCAATTTCATCTAAAAAACTTAAAAAAACGATCAAAATAATCAAAGAAATTAACAGAAATATTAGTTAAAAGGTGTTATTTCTTTTATAAAGGGCAATTTCTGTTGCTTTTATTCCAATGGTTCTTGGTCAAAAAGTAAGGTAATAGGCTTGTAGAAAATGGTGAATATTTAGACAGGCAATTTCATCTAAAAAACTTTAAAAAATGATCAAAATAATCAAAGAAATTAACAGAAATATTAGTTAAAAGGTGTTATTTCTTTTATAAAGAACAATTTCTGTTGCTTTAGTTCCAACGGTTCTTGGTCAAAAAGTAAGGTAATAGGCTTGTAGAAAATGGTGAATATTTAGACAGGCAATTTCATCTAAAAAACTTAAAAAAACGATCAAAATAATCAAAGAAATTGACAGAAATATTAGTTAAAAGGTGTTATTTCTTTTATAAAAAACAATTTCTGTTGCTTTAGTTCCAACGGTTCTTGGTCAAAAAGTAAGGTAATAGGCTTGTAGAAAATGGTGAATATTTTGACAGGCAATTTCATCTAAAAAACTTAAAAAAACGATCAAAATAATCAAGGAATTAACAGAAATATTAGTTAAAAGGTGTTATTTCTTTTATAAAGAACAATTTCTGTTGCTTTAGTTCCAACGGTTCTTGGTCAAAAAGTAAGGTAATAGGCTTGTAGAAAATGGTGAATATTTTGACAGGCAATTTCATCTAAAAAACTTAAAAAAACGATCAAAATAATCAAAGAAATTAACAGAAATATTAGTTAAGAGGTGTTATTTCTTTTATTAAGAGCAATTTCTGTTGCTTTAGTTCCAACGGTTCTTGGTCAAAAAGTAAGGTAATGAGCTTGTAGAAAATGGTGAATATTTTGTCAGGCAATTTCATCTAAAAAACTTTAAAAAACTATCAAAATAATCAAAGAAATTAACAGAAATATTAGTTAAGAGGTGTTATTTCTTTTATAAAGAACAATTTCTGTTGCTTTAGTTCCAACGGTTCTTGGTCAAAAAGTAAGGTAATAGGCTTGTAGAAAATGGTGAATATTTAGACAGGCAATTTCATCTAAAAAACTTAAAAAAACGATCAAAATAATCAAAGAAATTAACAGAAATATTAGTTAAAAGGTGTTATTTCTTTTATAAAGAACAATTTCTGTTGCTTTAGTTCCAACTGTTCTTGGTCAAAAAGTAAGGTAAAAGGCTTGTAGAAAATGGTGAATATTTAGACAGGCAATTTCATCTAAAAAACTTAAAAAAACGATCAAAATAATCAAGGAATCAACAGAAATATTAGTTAAAACGTGTTATTTCTTTTATAAAGAACAATTTCTGTTGCTTTAGTTCCAACTGTTCTTGGTCAAAAAGTAAGGTAATAGGCTTGTAGAAAATGGTGAATATTTGACAGGCAATTTCATCTAAAAAACTTAAAAAACGATCAAAATAATCAAAGAAATTAACAGAAATATCAGTTAAGAGGTGTTATTTCTTTTATAAAGAACAATTTCTGTTGCTTTTGTTCCAATGGTTCTTGATTAAAAAGTAAGGTAATAGGCTTGTAGAAAATGGTGAATATTTAGACAGGCAATTTCATCTAAAAAACTTTAAAAAACGATCAAAATAATCAAAGAAATTAACAGAAATATAAGTTAAAAGGTGCTATTTGTTCTATTAAAAACAATTTCCGTTGCTTTAGTTCCAACGGTTCTTGGTCAAAAAGTAAGGTAATAGGCTTGTAGAAAATGGTGAATATTTTGACAGGCAATTTCATCTAAAAAACTTTAAAAAACTATCAAAATAATCAAAGAAATTAACATAAATATTAGTTAAAAGGTGTTATTTCTTTTATAAAGAACAATTTCTGTTGCTTTAGTTCCAACGGTTCTTGTAGTCAGGGCTGTTAGCCTCAGATTTTGAGAGAGTTATGCAAAATTGCATACCAGCATGAAACTTCGTCCACAAGGGTAGTTTTGGGCGCTGAACAAGATAAGATGCAGACCCCAGCTGAGAAATGCCCCAAATTGCTATTTTTAGACTGTTGTACTTGGTCCCAGGCCCCAAAAGCGTTAATTGTAAAAATACTGCCGCTAGTTGTGATAACAACATGAAAGTTAGAAGAAAAAGGCAGTTTGATATGCTCGAAAAGATAGGATGCAAACCCCAGCTGAGGAATGCCCCCAAATGCTATTTTTAGACTGTTGTACTTGGTCCCAGGCCCCAAAAGCGTTAATTGTAAAAATACTGCCGCTAGTTGTGATAACGACATGAAAGTTAGAAGAAAAAGGCAGTTTGATATGCTCGAAAAGATAGGATGCAGACCCCAGCCGAGAACTGCCCCTGTATGCTATTTTTAGACCGCTGTCCTAGGTCCAAGTCCGCGGAAGTGGTTATCCTTATTACTTTGATAAACTCTTTCATTTTGGTTTTCGAAGGAAATTTACATAGGGAATTAAGAATCTTTTTTCATTCTCCTGCAGAATATTGATAAAGGTTTTGTGCAGTCTAGCTTAAATAATTTAAAAAAGTAATCGAACAGAATTTTAGTGGAAGAAATCTGATACCTTCCTTTTCAAACCCAGTAAATGAACCGGATGTTGTAATGGTTGCATTCCATTTCCTTCAAAAGTTTACCTTAGTGATAGGATCTATTGTCTTGTTTAACAATAGCGATGGGGCCATCGAAATTGCAAACAATTCATATACGTTTTTTTGAGAAATAAGACAATGATACGTGGAAATGTCTAAGAAAATATTTCAACTGGTTAACCCCCATAGCGAGTTGACCAGACCTAGTTCAATGAGCAAAGAAATACTGGAGACAAATTGGGAAAGTTGTTTTTTTTGCCAAGAAACGACATCAGAGGTACTAGAATGTCCAGCAAGGAAAGGCACTCACTCCGATAAAGGTTCAGGATACAAAAGCATTGCAGAACAGCTTAAAAGGTTTCAGGGCATTGGTGAGCTTCCTTCTTTCCTTGATACAAGGACAGGCTTAACAAGCAACGAGGTATTAGCTGGCAATCTTTTGCAAAATGAGGCAAAATTTCATAAGCGTTGCAAAAATAAATATGACGACTACCATTACCAAAGGGTATGTAGGAAAAAAAGAAAGAAACAGCTGATGTTGAAATCGCTCAGGCCCCACCTAGCACACGCCAAAGGTACAGCGCAGATAATTTTAAAGTTAGGTGTTTTTTTGTGAAAAGGATGATTTGGAAGTGAATTTGACAAACGCTCAAACACTCGTGACGCGGTAAAGGAGCTCTTTGATGAAAAACTCTTAGCCAAGTTAAGCGAAGGTGACATGGTAGCAGTTGAGGCCCGATATCACAAGCAATGCCTTGCCGCTCTTTACAACCGTCTGAAAAGCTTTCATCGAACAAAATCTGTTCACAAAACAGAGGACGCTATTAGAAAAGGGGCAGTGTTGGCTGAGATTATTGATTATCTTAGGGACATGGTAGAATATTCCAAGAATATTTCCGTATTCAAGTTAAGCTGTATCAAAAAGCTCTTTTGCGATCGTCTTGTGGCGCATGGTGCTACTGCAGAAAGTGTAAAGAATGTGCACAGTACTCGTTTGAAGAATGACATCTTACATCACATCCCAGAGCTCGACGAAGAAAAGCAAGGAAACAATGTTCTCCTAACACCCAAAGAAGAAACCGGTACCGCGATTTATCAGGCATGTCTAGAGAATGACCAGGATGATGGAATTTGCCTTTCTAAAGCTGCCAATATCATTAGAAAACATGTATTTTCGCATAAGATTGAGGACCCTTCCCAATTTCTTGCATCTCAAAAAGCTTAAGTACCCCCATCTCTTGTCACTTTCATCAGTATGCTCATTAGCGGAACACGCATAACTGATTCATTACCTACTTCAGCACATAAGGCTTCACTCATGCTGGTATCACAACTAGCGGCAGTATTATTAGGATAAACGCTCTTGGGGCCTGGGACCAAGTATCACAGTCTAAAAATAGCATTTGGGTGCTTTTTTCAGCTGGGGTATGCATCCTATCTTTTCGAGCATATCAAACTGTCAATTTCTTCTAATTTTCATGCTGGTATCATAGCTAGCAACAGTATTATTAAGAGAAACGCTTTTGAGGCCTGAGACCAAGTATCACAGTCTAAAAATAGCATTTGGGGGCATTTCTCAGCTGGGGTATGCATCCTATCTTTTTAAGCATACCAAACTGCCCCATTTCTTCTAATTTTCATGCTGGTATCACAACTAGCAGCAGTATTTTTACAAAAAACACTTTTGGGGCCTGGGAACAAGTACAACAGTCTAAAAATAGCATTTTGGGGCATTTCTCAGCTGGGGTCTGCATCCTATCTTGTTCAGCGCCCAAAACTACCCTTGTGGACGAAGTTTCATGCTGGTATGCGATCTTGCACAACATTTTGGCTAACAGCCCTGACTATTGGTCAAAAAGTAAGGTAATAGGCTTGTAGAAAATGGTGAATATTTTGACAGGCAATTTCATCTAAAAACTTAAAAAAACGATCAAAATAATCAAAGAAATTAACAGAAATATTAGTTAAAAGGTGTTATTTCTTTTATAAAGAACAATTTCTGTTGCTTTAGTTCCAACGGTTCTTGGTCAAAAAGTAAGGTAATAGGCTTGTAGAAAATGGTGAATATTTTGACAGGCAATTTCATCTAAAAAACTTAAAAAACGATCAAAATAATCAAAGAAATTAACAGAAATATTAGTTAAGAGGTGTTATTTGTTTATTAAAAAGGGCAATTTCTGTTGCTTTTGTTCCAATGGTTCTTGATTAAAAAGTAAGGTAATAGGCTTGTAGAAAATGGTGAATATTTTGACAGGCAATTTCATCTAAAAAACTTTAAAAAACTATCAAAATAATCAAAGAAATTAACATAAATATTAGTTAAAAGGTGTTATTTCTTTTATAAAGAACAATTTCTGTTGCTTTTATTCCAATGGTTCTTGGTCAAAAAGTAAGGTAATAGGCTTGTAGAAAATGGTGAATATTTTGACAGGCAATTTCATCTAAAAAACTTAAAAAACGATCAAAATAATCAAAGAAATTAACAGAAATATTAGTTAAAAGGTGTTATTTCTTTTATAAAGAACAATTTCCGTTGCTTTAGTTCCAATGATTCTTGGTCAAAAAGTAAGGTAATAGGCTTGTAGAAAATGGTGAATATTTAGACAGGCAATTTCATCTAAAAAACTTAAAAAAACGATCAAAATAATCAAAGAAATTAACAGAAATATTAGTTAAGAGGTGTTATTTCTTTTATAAAGGGCAATTTCTGTTGCTTTTGTTCCAATGGTTCTTGGTCAAAAAGTAAGGTAATAGGCTTGTAGAAAATGGTGAATATTTTGACAGGCAATTTCATCTAAAAAACTTAAAAAACGATCAAATTAATCAAAGAAATTAACAGAAATATTAGTCAAGAGGTGTTATTTCTTTTATAAAGGGCAATTTCTGTTGCTTTTGTTCCAATGGTTCTTGGTTAAAAAGTAAGGTAATAGGCTTGTAGAAAATGGTGAATATTTAGACAGGCAATTTCATCTAAAAAACTTTAAAAAACGATCAAAATAATCAAAGAATTAACAGAAATATAAGTTAAAAGGTGCTATTTGTTTTATTAAAAACAATTTCCGTTGCTTTAGTTCCAATGGTTCTTGGTCAAAAAGTAAAAAAATTTAAAACGAGTAAAGTTTTGTTTAAAAGTTAGTTAATAGTCCGGTAAAATATGGTGATTTTTTGACTTGTATTTTCATCCTAACGAACTTGAATAGCGACCATAATCATAACAAAAGAACCTAAACGGAACCAAATAGTTCAACCGGAACGGAACCAAATAGTTCAACCGGAACGGAACCAAATAGTTCAACCGGAAGGGAACCAAATGGTTCAACCGGAACGGAACCAAATGGTTCAACCGGAACGGAACCAAATAGTTCAACCGGAACGGAAACAAATAGTTCAACCGGAACGGAACCAAACACTTTTCAGCAAAACAAATGGGAACGGTAAAACTCCCAAAGCAAAAGAGGAAGCAACAAAGAAGAACTTTCATCTTTCTTCGGGCATAGTATCGTTTGGTTTTTCTCTTTTCCTGGTACAAGTGGTGTTAAGCATGATTTGATTTCATTTAAACAACGAAAGTCAGCTCCACATATACCCAATAGACGAAAACATTGTGAAAGAAGGTTCAAACAAAAACAGAGGTACATACAAGAATAGCGGGGATATTGATATGAATGCTCTGTGCATAACAAATTTGAAGATACCGATGTGCAAACTAGATTTTACTTGACAACTAGGGCCTAACTATTCTTTAATCATACATCTGTACCTCTTGAAAATCTTCTATGTAATAATTATTGTTTGATGATCGAGTAAGAATTAACATTTGGTAAGAATAATCTCGAGAACGCAAATATGAATATAAAGAACAGATCGAGTTTGAATATCGAGAGTTCCAAACCTACTAGAACAAAATTCTACAAAGTGTTTCATTCTATTCTCCCTAAACATTGATACTGAAACCAGCGGCGTAATTCAGGGGCCTGGGTCCTTGAGACAAAAACTGATTCGTTGTGGAAGAGACCGCAAGAAAGCTGCATCCAGTTATGTAGAGCAAGACAGACAACTAGTAGGGCTTTAGCAAAGGGCCTCTTAAGAATATGTGTGTGTCAAATGCAGGATGTAAATTATTTTTTTTGCGTTTACTAAGGTAGAGAAGGGGGGAGGGGGATGAGGTTGACGGTTGAGTAAGATGCTTCTATAATATAGCTTCTATTGATTTGGAAAACTGGTTGAACGGAGTGAAATCTTGAAAGCATGGATTTCAAAAAACTTTTAGGTGTCGCTTTGTTTAGGGGCCTTCAGTTATCGAACTAAGGAGCTAAATTCTGCGTTACACCACTGGTTCAAACTATGCTATGGATAACTCTTCGATATATCTAAGCTGGTTATAAAAATTTATAGGAAACTTTAGTTGAGATCTTTACTAGACTATTTTGACATTTTTTAACCTTAAAACAGTTGGAATTTGAAGTTTCTCGAACTGAACAGCAGACGGCGAAAAAGGAAAGTTTACCGGAGATGTGAATTGGATGTTCATCATCAGTGAACTGGGGTCTGGGCTCTGTTTTGTTGCCTTGGCAACTACCGCTTGAATGACCTTACTAGGGACACGTGGCTCATATTCGTTGGCTGGTGTATACATGGTTAGAATCTTCTGTACCTTGGGTGGAAAGAAAATGAAGATGTAACAGACGAAGAAATTAGAACTTCATTGCTGATTGCATACAACTCACACAATTTTTTAGCACTGAACATGAAATACGATGAAATGACTTTGCTTAAAGTGGATGAACATAAACTTCGTAAACAAAATATGACAAGTCTTACACCAGTGGTAAGGGAAGTTTCTCGATTGCATTGACATCAGATGAACTACGAGATCATTACGAAATAATCCAGTTTGTTTGAGAGAACTCCACTGTTTGACGTATAGCCCTTTCATGGCATTATGATGGAGACTCTGGCATAACCATTATGTAGAAGCTAAACACCCAATCACAGCATCTCGCAGCCATCAAGACTGTGCAGCCCCTTTAAGCCCATGTTTACGTTCAACAAACCACAAGTCCATAAAACCAGCCACAAGTTTAAGTAACCACTAATCACTAGGTAGCAAAATTCAATCAGTGATCATTGATCAGCGATCATAGGCAATCACATTAAACAGTAATCATTTATCGTAAAGGATCAATATCTAATCTGTAATCACTAATTACTAATCAGTTATCATGAATCGATGATCATTCAAGACTTACTTGCAACGGATTCAGTGTAGCGCAAACACTAAGAATCGAATCGACGTCATCTAAAGATTTTTTGTTAACTTGCAGCAACTGCGTCGCTTCTTTGATCGGCTCCAAAGGTTTCGTGATTTCAAGCGATTCTAACTGATTAGTACGACACCATTCTTCCAGCTGCGTTAAATTGAATCTAAAATCGCATAAATTAAGGTACACATTTAATAGACAGGCAGGAAAGGTGAGCGAGGAAACGATCAGGGCAGGACGCGAACCCGTGAACAGCGACTTATGATGAATCCCCCCTTGTCTTATCACGCGCTCACAATTTCTCCCCGTATTATTTCCCAAATCCTGCTCTCCTAACACTTACATATTGAATACGGCATTGCCGAGAAACGACAACAAATTGTTGCCTTGAGCCACCCTTAGGACCAGTGAAATCCAGGGAACTTTCTTTAATTTTTGTTAAGGAAACAGTAGAGAGAAACATAACTAAACCATTCTGTAATCTATTGTGCTGAATAGGTCCATTACCTTTGAGATCGTTGATATGGGTTAATTATTTAGATGTTTAAAAAACATCTAAATAACATGAAAGTTTCTCAAGTCTAGAGACGTTTCTAAAACTTTATATTCCCACAAAATTTTAAATCACATTAAACAAAATTATACCCTTCCTTTACATATTTTGAGTTCAAGTAGTTGTTCTCTTGATATTCTTAGCTGACGTTTTATTGTTTCAAACGTGTTTTATTTATCTTATTTTGGTCTCTTATTTATTTAAAAATGATCGTTGAAATAAAAAGTTACTCTTAAATTGTACTAGAACTCTCCTCTTCAAAAAGATGAATAATGGGGTATTGTGATGAAAAAAGCTTAAAAACATTGCCTCGGACCATCCCTAGAACCATATTCCACATTGTTTCCAGCCGCCAACCATTGTGGTGGCCTTTACTAAACCTTTCCAGAACCTTAATAATTTGGCCCCTCTAATTTTCATTATGTTTTGCCGGCCCTTAAAATCCTATAGCTACTTCACTCCCCGGATTAGAATTTCAACAAGCAGAAAAAATCCCACCTGATTTGCATACCACGTGACCAGTGACACATGTCTTTGCGCAGAAGAACATTATTCAACATAATTGCACATATGAAATAATTTATCTGAAAAATAAAACAAGACATGTTATGAAATAAGGGCACGTGTCAGTCCGGAATGGAAAAAAGCAATACTGTAAAACGTTTGCTGTCAACGAATGGACTGTTGAATGGAAATTTGGCGTTTTATACTCTAAAGAGTGCCTGCCATTTTTATTTTTTGTGAAATGTTTGACTGGGGATTTAATCATTCAAATACCGTAGAATAACATGATGTCATTAGAATTTAGTTAAAGACCAAGTAAAATGGGGCAGAAAGGCATGTGAAATCATTTAATACTCTACAAAAAGTACAATTGTAATAAAGACACAAACGACGCTCCGTATTCTACAAAAACATTTGGCATTTCATAAACGATTATATTCTTCACTTTGCCATAGTATTGCCCATCATATGATGTTTCACCTCTCTGCCCCATACTCTTTGCAGCCGTCAATGTTGAAAGAGGAACTGATAGCCTGATAAAAATTAAGGAGTTTAAAAAGTTAAAAAAGCCATAGATTTGATGCGTTACCTGTGTGAATATCTGCTTGATCAGAACCAGATCGACACAATGAGCGTTTAGGACTGCCAGGATTGCAGAGAGCTGAAAGCAAACAGAGAAAAATACGTTTAGGTTTTACGTTAATCACTCTTAGAGCAAGGTTCTTAACTAGGGCTGCTAGGGCTGCCCTCGTATGTTCCGGCTGGCTATACCGGCAGCTCCAAAATTGGTAATTTCCAAATGAAATTAGAAATTTAAGAAGGGTGCATCTTGCATTTTGTATTTCCCATAAAGTATCTGTTATGGTCTTGGTCGAAATTATGGCATAGTTTTTAGGGTAAGTTTACACAAGACATAAATCTGAATCCGACTTATAAAACCTCTTTCCTCATTGGGCAACGTATAGATGTTCTTGGCACGTGCATCCGACGATCATGCTCATAAGACACACAGTCAGAGGAACAGTGCTTTCTGGTGATAAACAAATAACAATACGATTGTCCATACCTTATTGGTGACGTCTTTGACCGTGATAATATCCTCAGTTTCATGACTCGTTGATTTGCCTCTTGACTTAGGCCCGCGCCCAAATGGCTTAGAACTTAGAACGCCCGGAATCGACTCGTATTCTAGTAAACCAGGTACTGAAATCGAAACAGAATATTCATAAATTGATACGACATATCAGGGGGATAAATATTTCAGATTCAAAATAAAAAAGACCGGACCGCAAATGAATGTCCTTCTAGTTTACAGCAATTTTGGGCTAACAGCCAATTGAAAAAAAATTATCCGCGTCTGGTCACTTGTCTCCCAAACATGAATCGATACCATTAACATATAGCTACTTTAATAAATTCACATGCGACGTACCAACAAGTTCGGATATCTTGTCCTGGATTGTTTTTAATAGTTGTTGGTAAATATGAACTGCCACGTCGGTGAGAACTTGACGATACTCGGTCAGATCGAAATTCTGCAAGCACTGACTGTTCTGTTCCGGAGTATTGTGTGTCTGAAAATTCTGCAAAATGGAGGGAGATCTATTTTTGTTTTAATGATTCAAGGTTGCTTATTATGCTTAATACCAAAGTAGTTTAAAAAAGAATATGCAGTTGATCTTTAAAATCACTTAAGACAGTTAAAAGCGGCTTCAATCGCACGACAACTAATGGTTGACCAATTAAATTGCGCAGAGGGAAAAACATTTGAACAGTTTCCACCTTTCTACGAAATGGTGAAATCCTAGAGCAGCGCACAGTGTTTCAAGATGGCGGACGAAGCTATAGCTTTGCCCCTACTAAAAGCTACGAATCGATCAATGGTTTCAAAATCATCGAGATCGGTTATCGGGAGTCTACGCGCAGCCATTTTCTTAATTAGTGTCTTCGGCAATGGTCCGAGTTTTTCCTGTAAACAGTTTCATAGGAGCAGTCTCTGATCAATTTGGCCTAAGCTATATCTAGATTAACTTTACTTGTGCATGTCAAATGCACGGAATCATGAAAGATCTCGTACCAGCTTTGTCTGTTTTAATTTTAGCTTTCGACATTTGTCGAGCGATTCGAGTCTCTGAAAGACACTACTGAGATCATCTTGCAATATTACCATGAAATTATAGATAGAGAATGCTATTTACTGATATTTTGAGCGCTCGTGACTCAAACTGCTGAATCATTATTGTGGTCTATTTACCTTATCCCCGCTGTACTGTTTCATGTTATATAGAAGTCGACAAGTGTTGGTCAACCAAAATGCTTGCAGTTCCATGTTCCCTTCTCCGCGCTAATGGAGCAAAACATCATTAGTGACAAATGTGAAAACAAACCAATCTAAAATGCATATTACATATTAATGACGGAGATACTGAAACTCGACTTTCATAGACAGTCTTCACTGTGGCTATTGAAAATATATGAGGATCAGACCTCATTTTAGATTAGGCCAAAAGGAAGTTGAGCCAAACGGCTATAATCACCTTTCACTTAGGCCTATATGATCAAAAATCAAATTCACCTCTATAAAAACAAGCCTACACGTAACGTTCCGAAGACGATGTCCATTACCTTGACAGTTGTACGAATTCCCTTGATTGCACTTGCTAACAAACGTTGCATCCATCTTTCGTCATTAATGTGATCAGCAAACCTTACAGCCATAAAGATCAAATGGGCTGGTAGACCCGGAACTTCCTTTTCGACGCTTGAAGGGTCTAATTCCATGATCAGTTTGTTGATCACTTCCGGTTCAATTTCCTGCTTGTATTCTAAGAATCCTCTTTGCTTTCTGGCTGATTTTAAGATTTCCACCTTTGGCTGTTTCTCTTCACTTGGTGACTCGGCCTAAAATGAAGAAAATTTGATACAAGTCACGCCATTTTACAAGAAATTAGCCATATGTGGAGTAGACTTCTAGATGAAATGAATCGTCCGACAGTTGAGATTGCTTCAGACATGTGACGTTGGCAAATTATGTGATGCTTCTCAAAACGCACAGGCATAATTCATTCATCGATTTGGATTTGCTTATACTGTACATATATAAATAAACACAAGAAAGATCAAAATGAGTGTCTATCAAAGCATTGTAAAGTTCAAAACAATACACAAGAGTCTGCCTGTTGATGTCTTAAGAAGCCTTAAGGAAATTTTTCTAATCTCTTTTAATATCCAATTAGACTTTCGGTACACTGAAAGGTGAAAGACAGGCCCAAATAAGAATTTCAACCCTATATTAAATAGTCAAAATATGATTGCGTGGTGGGGATTGTGTAAAAGAGATTAACTCGGGAAAAAAATTGGGAAAACACCCAAATTATATCGAATGAATTTGAAAATGGAGATAACTCTGGAACTTTCCAGATCGCCTAGTTTTCTAGGACGTATTCAGAAATCAAACTTAAGTATGAGACTGATTTCATACAAACTCTATACAAGAAGTGAATGAAATTGATAAAGACGATATATTATTTCGAAAAGCGTACACTCAAAAATTCATACAAAAAATGATGAGAATTTGAACTTCATTCCAAAGAAGAGATGGATGAGTACAAGAAAAGCTACAACAAAATTCATGTACTTATACCTGTCCAGGTTTTCTAAATAAACCTGCATATGTCATCACCTGAAAAATAAGAGTCATGCTCAGATTTTGTGAAGAGCTAAACAGTAAAGGTCCAACGCCATATTTAGATATCATTATAGGATCGAATGGTGAAAAAAACATAAAGAAACGTAATGAACGACTTTCTATACCTATCATGATCGTTAAGATGTCATTTGCATAAAGAAAAGAATATATACTTCTTTAAAAGAATAGTGGATTACATCAAAGCAATGAAACGTGTCCCAAAGGCAGGACCATATGCCCATGAAGACAACCATTATGGCTTCTCGCCACTGCAAATTTCAGAGTGAAAATTGAAAATTTCAGACTCGATTCTCGTCTGTACTCAAACAACGGATGAAGATTTATATTCTGTCGTTTCGTAGCCAAACATATACATTACAAGATTGCATACATAAATGATTGCCTCACAAAATAAATTTGGTGACTAAGAAAATTAAATGCCTTTGAGCAGGTATTTACAATCAAAGAATAAAGTAAATCAATGGTAGAAGACTTACCAACTTGCCAGCAGTCAGTTCTTCCGAATATTTAACACCAATTGTGTTTGATCTTTGTCGCATACCAGTTGTCCCCAAAGATGAGCCTGAAACATTTCGGAATGATTAAGTATTAATTGATAAAATTTACATAATAAAGCACCCTTCGATGTAAGTAACACAGGGACGGCACAAGCAAATTGCCGATGCTCAAATGGAGTACACGGCTAAAATGCTCAAATGCAGAACTGCATCTCAGTCTTGTACTCCGTTACCCCCGTGTAACATTTGAGTTGAGAAAATGCTTCATGCTAGACAGTCGAAGATGGTAGGGTAAAGCCTAGCAGCATCTAGCAAAGCCCTAACAAAGAAAAGTAGGGAGGAATTTAGCAAGGGGGGAAAGTCATAGTACAATATTAATCTTTGAAAGTTTCGGCTTGTCTCCAGTTTATAAGGCAATCTTTACGCTAGTACTGAATACCAATCAATAAAGGTCAATATACGAATGAGATTTCGATGAAACAGACAATTTTCTTCACATAAATAGTCTGAATGATAGTAGGCCTCAGCATATTTTGTTAGTTCGCGTTATTTTCGTAGCCTAAAAACCTGCAAAGGGGATAAAAAACTTTTCGATACTAGAAGAACAGATGGAAAATAAAATTTCAAGAATTGAACTTTTAATATATATCTATCTGAGAAAAAGAGGAAGCTTTTATCAAAGATAAGCTTAGAGTGAAGACACGGATTTGAGAAATGCGTGTTTAAAACCGCATATAATTGTTTAACGCCTTGAACCTTACATCTCTGGAGCCGTTTATCCAACTACCTTTACCAGCTAGTAACAATATGTATTGAACTGCCATTTCAAATTTACATACAGATAGCTCTCTAGAGTGGCATAAAGGTAAAGAAGAAATCATAAATTGTCAAAACCCTGAAAACCCACGTTATAATACCTTTTCGCTCAAAAATACGAATCATATTCGTCACAGAAGCAAAATTCTCTTCATCACTGTCCTCCGTTGCCATTATCAACAAGCACGAGTCATAAGCTCAAAGAAATGTTTAGGATAAGGAGTCTTACCAGGATTGTCCACGCGAGTTGAGAATGCCCCTGCAGTGAAAATCTCTCAAAAACTAGTATGTCTTAACGATCATGGTGGGCTATAAACACTGCTTTGTTTGTGTACAAGTCAGATAATGTTTTCCTACAAACCCAGCCAACTACAACCGTACGATCAAGGAAGGAAGTCAATGAGGTAAGATTTCAGCTTCCTTCTCGAATTATTTGCAATACTAGAACTTCAAAGATCAGTTACGTGAACTTGGCCTTGATTTATGATTCCTGATTGGATTGGAGATTTGTGATTCTTGACCGGTTAATTTTGATTCTTGATCGGAGATTTGTGATTCTTGATTAGTGATTTGTAACTTGTGACTTTTGATTCTTGCGTTGTGATTATTGGTTTGCGATTCTTGGTTGGAGATTTGTTATTCTTGATCAGAGATTTGTGATTCTTGATTAGTGATTTGTAACTTATGACTTGTGATTCTTGCGTTGTGATTATTGGTTTTGCGATTCTTGGTTGGAGATTTGTAATTCTTGATTGGTGATTCTTCATAAGCGATTTCTAACTTATTATTTGTGATTCTAGAGTTATGATTATTGATTTGTGATTCTTGATTTGTGATTCTTGATTTGTGACCTGAAATTCTTGGTTCGAGATTCGCAATTTAATACATGATCATCATTCATAGTTTATGTTTTCAATTCATCATCATCATCATCACCAAAAGTTCCTCAAGAAAATAGTTTTATCGCATCCTCCATTTTACCTCACTCATAGGAACCAATGATAAAAATGAAGGGCTGGGACAGGAATCTCATTAGTGCTCGTAACAAAATTGTAACCATGCCCACAACTATTTTAATAAAGCCGTTAATATATTGTTCGAAGGACAACTTGCACCAACATCATTATATTAAAATTAGCTTGATCGAAAAGACTACTATCATATCATCATCAAATTTGCAACATTATTTTGCGATCCAAAACAACTTTGCCTACACCACTCGAAAACAACAGACAACAGTTGTCAAAACCGAAGCAGCCATCATAGGTTGTCATGACTGTAACCATAGATATAAGATGATCATAACCATAGCAATAAATAGTGAGGAAGACGGTAACCAATCGTAACCATTCATAACCAATCGTAACCATTCATAACCAATCGTAAACACTAGTAACCTTCCATAACCACTCGTGAGCCTTGAAGCTCTATAAGATACAGTTTTCTAGGTTGAAGAAAAAGGTCACTTTTTCTAAGAAGAATTAAATAAAACGAAACGATAGATAAAAACAGAGGCCAAAAAAGAAATGGGAAAGAAATTAAGTAAAGGGGTAAGGGAAGAAAATAAAGAAAGTGGGTTTGCAGAGATAAATAATATTTGGAACTATAGAAGGATCATGAGTTTTGGCATGGTACGGAAAATATTCTGGGGAAGGCTACGGAGATAGAGAAAGTTTTGTCATCAACAATGGATTTTGAGAAAAAGATTTTCCTACCACTGGATGAGCGCCGTGTTCTTGTTCGTGGAGGTGATGCTACTCCATTCGTTTTGATTTCCTTGGCTTGCTTCTCCAATGACTCGACTTTTTCACGCAAATCCTGTAACGATAAAAAGAAACACATAGGATGAATAAGACTGGCGGATATTCAATAAGCAAGAGCCTAGATGTAACCAGTTCGAATTTAGCATGATTTTGTATTTAGGCTTGTAACACATAGAACAGCTTCTTGTAAAATATTGAATAGAAATCGCATCCAACCATTCAAAACCATTCAAGCATTCTATTGCTAAATATGATTTCTTGATTCAAGTTTAATTGGTATTAATACAATGCACACTTACAATGTTTTCTTGTGTAAGTCTGGAGATCTCAAGCTGCACTGTCGTCTCAATAATGGCTTGTTGCGCAGCTTCCGGTACCTGTGGAGGAGAAAGTATCAAGATTCATCTCTTTCATTATAAACAAATACATCAAAAGCAGCTTAGGCCCCTTGAACGTTTAAAAAGCTATTCTAAAACTACAAAATAGTTTTGGCTGCTTTAAAATTTTATCCATGAACCAAAGGTTTAAATATTTTGAATGAATTAATATTTTGACTGTGTTGAATGCTGAATCCATTCCTTTTTAGCATGTCTGTAGCTACACATTGCATAGCAACGATTTAAAAACTACTGTTAAAACTATAATGTGCTTAATTCCGTAAAGGCAGAACTGTACATATTTCGGTGTGAAGAACAGGACATTCCAAAGTACATCTCCGAGTTTCGAGTATGATGCGATTATCAGGCAGCAAAAGGCAGCACCAAGCATCATCAGGCTACAGACAAAATATGTTCAAAGTTGCCTCGTGATTACATAGAGCATGAAACTTGCAAGTAGGAACCGTCCTTTTCTTCCCAACAAAAGCGTAGCATAGTAAGACAATAAAGCACATAATAACACGATACTACCTTGGTTTGCTGTATCTTAAGAAGATCCCTCTTAAACTTTTCTTTTTCCTTTCTCAGCTGATCAAGCTCTTGCTTGAGTTTCGTGTTTGCTTGTTTCAACGACTGCACTTCTACTGGACTCAATACCATCTGTATGTTATCTTTAACTGGTGAAGTTGCAGTAGCCTTTGTCTCTGTTCCTGCAAACCCGAAACCCTTTCTTCCAGTTGGTGATTCATTTGATAGTTTCTTGTTAAGCTCCTGGTTTTCTCGCTTCGTGTTATCCAACTGTTCAATCAACTTCTTCATAACCTGTTCACTATCCAAATCGTTCTGTTCGTTTTCTTCTTCCCATACAATCTGCTGCAGCGTCGCTAGATGCACATTAGACTTCAACAAATGCTCATTTTCAGAAATTAGCCTGGCCTTTTCTGATCTCAAGAACTCCATGGTTTCTTCATCAACGACTCCTGAGTCATTCACGTTGGCTGATGGCAGGGGCAGTGACATTTCTTCCTTCATTTCATCTCGACTTCGTTCCAATTCGTTTGCAAGCATGTCCCTGTCTCTCTGGGTTTCTGCTAACTCAATTTTCAATTTGTGAATCTCTTCTTCTTCTTGATACACAACATCTTTCATATCACCCTCTATATATCGAACAAAAAAAACTTCAGCAAAAAACTCTATCGATTTTAGGGCTGAATTCAGAATTGAGCAGTGCTATACCCAAAAAATTACTGCAATGTATTCTCCGCAAAAAAGTATTTCAATATAGCAGATTGCCTTGTGGAGTAGAATTGATATCACAATCACCCTACAATTTCCCATGGTCAGATTCCTCAACAGGAGATTTCCCTTGGCATTACAGCAACTCAAAAAAGAGCTCCTCAAAGTTCCTGCGGGGGATGTGCGGGGGATGTGTGGGGTATGTGCGGGGGATGTGCGGGGGGAGTTGTGGGTCAAGAGTTAATACTGTTACGTACTCTTCTTTCATACCTATTGGAAATGCTTACCAGACCATACAGTGCATCAGATTACTCTGATACTTTTGTTCAACAAATCTAAACAAGCATTAACGTTGTTGTGTTTGTCTGCGAACAGAGGTGGACAATTGGTCAAATATTTGGGGGAGAGCAAGGCTATTGTTTTAATAAAATGACGACACATTTCTCATTGTTTCAGAACAGAAGACCATTGAACTCCAAAGTATTGAGGTGCGACCACCCCCCCCCCCCCCACCCCCCCCCCTTCCCCCCGAGGTATCTTTTGTATCAACCCTTAGGAGCTGTCAAAAGTAAAAGAACAAAGACGAAGATGAACTCTATTCATGAAAGAAATATTGTCCTACAAAGGCTTTAGTGTCACAAATCTCTACGAAAATGAGTTCTAATCTTATTCGACTCAACCATCCTTAAAGGCATTGAGTCATGGTAAATAGGCCTTCTCTATAGGGGGTCATTTGGTTTCGGCGTGATCGCTGCTATTTCATGTGATGTTTGCATCCGTTGTTGACAACTTGCTATTGATGAAAATTGTTTTGTCAATCAGTACGAGGTGAGTTCATGTGACCAGGTCCACGTTAACCAATAGCATCGCAGTCATGAAAATCATGACTCAGCGGATTTTGCACTTAGGGTATACCCAATCCATTATATCATGACTCAATGCCTTTAAAGGCACTAGGTCATGATAAACGGAGAGGGTATATACTCATGATATTTGTGATGTTGGTGGACCTGAGACTGATCAAATGAAGTTGCCTCGTACTGAATCTGTCGTTATCATTCAAAACAATGGCCGCCAAAATCACATGAAACTAGACTGATCACGCAAAAAGCGAGGGACCCTCTGCGGAGGATGCCTTTACGAAGAACCATTCTGCATACGAAAAACACACTTAAGCTGGGAACACGAAAAACAGGTTACCTGTTCCAGCAGAGCTGCTTTTGTTCAGTGCTATTCTGCTAGGGTTCGACTGCTCCAGTTTCAGCTCTTCTTCCAAATTCGTGTATCTTTGCTCAAGCCGTGCAAACTCTTTCACCATTTTCTGGTGGGAAGCTCGTTCTTCGTTGAATTCAGACAACATTTGTTCTCTCTGCTCCTCAAGTTTTTCTTCGATTTGAGCTACATTAATTCAAGAAATTAGAAATGGGATTACTGGTCAAACAAATAAACTATTACGAAATCTATAAAGCAAACTTTTCAAAAAATCAAAAAAATCAAAGAAAGTGATTATGTTAATCTGGAATAGAGAAAAAAGAAAGGAAACATTAGCCAATACAAGTGATCAGCGATCAAGGACAGCAATCATGAATCACATGAACGAACCATTAATCGTCTTTATCAATCAAGCACTTTTCAACTGCCGACGTATCGAAACAATCATTTGAATCACAGCAATCATTTGGAATCATCTTTGTTTCGATAACAATTAGTGTGAAACCATCGTTATAATCATAATTAACTTTTTAGCGAAGTTCCGGTTAAACTTAAGGCATTTTTTATAGAATGGCATTTAACAATTTTTCATTACAAGAAGCACCGCCAGAGTGGTCTAATTGTCAACATTTTTAAATTTTTCGACCAGTTTCGTAAATAATTGAGAAGAGAGTTGAAATAGTTGCAGGACACGTATCTATAGCAATGAGTTCTAGGCATATAAAACAGGCTCAACAACAGTTTCGTTCATAGAATAGGTATACATTCAAAAAGCGTCACTGACTTTCAGATGAAATGATATTAAAAAGAGTCTGAAGACAGAAAATCGTGGAGGCTGCAGGACTTTATTACAAACCTGCGTGCTGAGCTCGAATTTCGTCGTTACGTTTCTTAGAATCTTCCAATGCGGTTCTTAGAAGTGCGATCTCTCCTTTCAAACCAGTAATTTCCTGCGTGGAAGATATTAGTCACTTGTAGAAATGTGCTTATATTTATTTTGGCCTAAACTTTGAGACCTAATTCGTTGAAGTCGCTATCGTTGTAACTAGGAACGTCACCTCTTCGTTAAATGAAGATGGCATAAGAGAAAAAATCAAGAGCAGTCACTCTCCAATCACTTAATCACTCCAAACAAACAGTGAATCAACTACTACTGGACCTCAGTAACTACTAAATAAAAAATATATGACGGGGAAATATAAGGGGAGTAACAATGGCCCCAATTTCTCATCAGTCGGTCAATAAAAGTTTGAGTTTGTTGCGAGAATCATTAGTTTGTCTGTAAAACTGCCTGCTGGTAGGTAATATAGAAACGACAATTTCATCATCTTTTTCTTCTTCAGTGACCCTTATTACTTCATATGATCTTTAATCCCTCCCCCCCCCCAAACCCCACCCAGTCAGAAGAATCGAAATGCACCATTGAACACGTGCTCTCCATAAAGCTTAATGTTAACAGGCAGAAGAAGATACCAGATGCACACATTGACATATACCTCATTTTTCTCTTCCTTTTCTAACTCCATTTCCGCCTTTAGCGCTTCTTTCTCTTTGTTTAACTCTGCAATATTTTCTCGTAAAGCATTAAGTTCCTTTTCAAGAGTGGCAATCATCGTTTTCGCCTTTTCGTATTCTGGCTTAATTTCTCTCAGTGCCAGCAATTCCTTTTCTTTCAACTCCAATTCACCAACCTTGACGACCAGAATTCTTCTCTCTTTAACCTGAAGAACACAAATGATCTGAAGAATTAATCTGCAAAATCTGAAGCCCCTTCATAAACAATATCAATTACTATACTGACATGAGGCACCATTGGTCAGGTTATCAAGAGTGTATGAACACATACAGTGACGACGTAGATTCGATAATCGGTCGGGCTTGGTCGCCTATTTGATCAAATGAAGACTGACAAAACCTGCTCACTAGTTAATAACCCCCAGTCAAATGGGAGGTTTCAGGGCGGTGATTGGTTAAATTGCAGTCAATCAGGCAATTCTCTTTTTCTATTGGTTAATCTCGATCCGGATCTGGTTATATAGAGTCACGTTTCTGCTAATGTTGTTTACACTCTGATAGGCTTTTGGATGAATATCTTTAAAGAATAATGACGATTCCAGCAGCAGCCTTATGAGAATACGCACCTCTTCTGTAAATTTTTGCTGCAGTTCTATGATCTTGTTTTCCATACCCTTGTTTAATTTCTTCAAATGATCAACAGATCGGGCTTCAATCTAAAACACAAAATTAAGCGTGTTCTCAGAATAATGAACTCAAAAAAATTTTGGAACTAACATCAGCGTTGGAATGGCTACAAAATGATTGTGTGGTAATTAGTATTTTCTCATAATCTATTTCACACCCTACGCGCTGGTAAAATCTACATAAAACTCTCCACGATTTATATCCTTTTGATGCAAAGAGGCCGATACAAGATCAAGAGAATCATTAAGTGCGAGAATGGCTCAGTGATTAGGGTCCTGAATTACAGATCCAAGGGTCAGGGGTTTGAGTCCCTGATGGGATCAAACTTTCACGAAAAGTGAAGGAGTCGCAACCTCTCTTAAATTCAAGGCGTTGGAACCACAAGGTTTGGCAACATCGGTGGAAGGGCCAAGACACTGCTCGATAAAATTAACGTGTCCAAGAAACTATCTTCGGATGCAAGGTAGAAACAACACCAAAAGAGAAGGACAACAAAAACAAAATAAATACAGACAACACTGTTTTTCTTTCTTTTTAGAATCCTATGAAAAACGATGCTTATTCGACGGTTGAATGGAGGGATCGTTTCCCCAAATTGTAGTGAACGTTGATTATGTTCTCAAAAACGTTTAAAAGATAATTATCGAGACAAACCCGTTCATTTAGTTAATCATTCGCCATTTATACAGTATAAAAAAAGATTGCCTACCTTGAGTTTCTTCAGCTCCCTCCTAGCGTACATTCTACGCACGCAGCATTGCAAGAGTACAATGGCCCTTATACGTTTTACATAAAATTTTCTTCCAACGTAGCCTCTAATAGATGAAAAAGAAAGAAGTTGAAAAATATGATTGAAAGTAATTATAATTACTAAGTAAAGTAATTACTTGGTCATAATCTGTTTGAGGGTAAAAAGTTCTGACTCTTCGACGTTGGCTTCAATTTCATTCAAATAATTTTTCAAAGCATCTGGCAGAGGTGGAAAAAATTTTATTCTTTCTGGGAACCTAAGAATTTGGCTCAAAACTTTCTGCAAGATTTAGCGGGTAGACAAATAAACTTTCTGTTTGTGCCTATATCTCTATACTTGGTTGATGTATAAAAGAGGGCAAACTTAGTTTTAAGAAGTATGATACTTCTCATTTGAATGTTCAATCTGTTTTTATTTTGATGCTTAATTTGTTTTTTTTTCTCTCGAAGTATTTCTATAGAAGGTTAAATCGAATGCATAAAATTGTCAGGCAATCAACTTCTTAACATAATCAGTGTCATTTAACATCGGAGATCTTGACTATTGTTCCAAAACTGTCATTCTCAACATATTAGATATGCCTTTATTTAATGCATAAATGCACATAAGAAAGAAATCAACTTTAACTAGAAATTGATTCATTCAATCAATCATCATGATGGAAAATCAAAAGGAAAATCCATGCAATAATCTCCAAACATAGTTTCAGAAGAGTCAGGGGCAAAATCATTTAAATTGTATGGTGCATTTTATGACTTAGCCTAATCTCTTGACAAGTGAGAAGCAATATGTGGTTAAAATTGAGTCCTAGCATGCAATAGATTAATGTAACCAAGCATATTAACTTATGATAAATACTGTTCACACCATGGTGTCAGAAATGTTTTCTGTAAAAGTAGATTCCAGTCTCTATATTATATTATTCTCAGTCTTAATCATGGTTTGTCTTGAAAGCTCAGCTGCTAAAAAAATTCTGATCATGAGTGGCTAAGATTTCTGTGAGATGGTGAATGTAAATAATGTGCACCAAGAATTTCTTTCCAATAAAAAGAGACTAATTCCCACAGTCCTTTGGCAGCTCAAATTTAGCTGTTCACAGGCGAGTTGAAAATGAAACTTTCTGTTAATTTGAGTTAACATTTGTCACCAGATTTTTACATTTACTTTAACACTTCAAAAATTTTCTGTGAAACTTTCTGCTACATTTTTATCTAGAAAAATTTCTGGGAACTATGTTCCCAGGTTCCGATACTTTTTCCACCTCTGGCATCTGGACAGTTGCCAAGGTAAACGACCTATATTGAAGACATCTTTAAATAAAAAAACAGATATATATGAAACACAACGACAATATCATTTCGAGTGCCATTGCAGAAATCGAAAAGGGTTTCAACCTGATTTTGAAGCGATATTTGAAGAAGATATTTGACTAGACCTTTGCTAGACATTCAAGTAGATTTCAAGAAAATTTTGCTCCCATCTTCAGCGAAGTAGATTTTCAACGAATGGGTTGCTTATATATTTTACATTAGATTTTCTTGAATTAAGCAGAAATTAACTTGCTTATTGTTCCTTCGTCAAAGGAAAGCCCACTTCAAGATCTAACCTGAGATGCGAACAGAGTAAAAAAATTGAAAACTGACCACGTAAAATGTGAACAATACAAAACAGAGGCAATCAATACAAACCTCCAGTATCGCTGTATGGTGAGTGCCTTCATTTCATAGAGCAGTTTCATCCTAAGTTTTCTAGCCTTGGTACCTCGTACAAAGCATTGGATAGTGATGGCCGCGGACCGGATTCGCAAGAAGTTCTGCCTTTTCGTCCATCCACGCCAGCGTCGCTGAATTGTAGTCGCTGCCTTCGTTTCTCGAATGTGATGAGCTAATCTATGAGAGGAAGCGACAAGATATGTCGAGTGCAATGCTTGCAAAAAAAGAATACTGGCAACAGGTCCAAAAAAAATCATGTTTCAAAAAAATGATTGCAAAAAATATTTGAAACTCTTTAAGTGTTCGCCAACATGGCTGCAGAATTGTAGTACAAACGAAAACATCACCATAAATTGATGCGTTAGGGTAGTTTAACAAGCCCTCACCTTCGTGCCAGGTAGCCTCGTACCCAGGCTTGAATAATAATTGAGGCCTTTCTCATAGCTACGTATTTTCGGCTGCATAGCCACCCTTTGACATGCTTTTGAATAACAATACAGCTCTTCTTCAAGATATCAAGTCGCTTCTTTTCTAAGTAGGCCACCTTTGAAAAAAATTAGGAAATATCATTTTCAAACGAAAGGCTATCATCTATAGAGACTCGTTGACGGGTTGCCATCTAATTCAGTGGGTATTGGCTTTCTTTGTCAACGCTTTGATGTTATGACCACTTTATGTTGCCATACTACCAGGAGAAATAGGGTAATGAAAATGCTTTCAACACTGCTTTGAACAATAAATTCTTTCACAACATGTAAACTTTAATTCTATTTTGACTTTACTTACAGTGTGCGGCATAAGAAATCTCAAAGAGAAAACAATAAATGAAAATAATTTGTGAAATCAAATACTGCGCACATTGGTATAAGCAATACTATGCAGAATGAGAACTAAAAGCATATTTCATTCCAGAATTATATAAACATATAATTCATATATATAATAATAAAAAAAATATATATATAAAAGAATTATATATTATATATAAACATATATACAATAAAAAAAATCTAGACAATTAATACTTAAGCAGATTTTTAATGACGGTTACCTGGCCAGCACGGAAGAAGATCTTTGTCAGACCAAGTTGGAATTTATCAGGATCCTTGAAAAGAAAAAAATGCCTTGATTTTTTCATCAAAAATAATACCATGCCACAAAAAAATTTCATCGCCTCTAAACACAAACATAACATATCTGTGATATGAGTTCTTGTTTCTTTCTTTATCAAACGATTCCATTCGGTAACTGATAACCACATTTTAAATGTTAACTTGCTAAACATGAATCTTTTACATTTAAACAAATAGCAACAAACACTAGTTTAAAAATATACTAGCTTGCGTGCAGCACAATGTAATAGAGTATGCAATGTAATAATTACGTTTCGAGCAAAACCAGGTTGACTTGATAACGGGCTATGCTTGAAACGCCATAAATGAATTCGTTATATTTCCCAGTACAATTTTACTTAAATTCCTAACTTTACTCTTTTTACAAGTTTAAAAAACGAGATTTACAATGTTTTCTAAAAGCCATCAATCGAAGCACAAACTAAGCAATCCTAATTTCATTTTAACTTCGGTACAGAATTCAGCACAAAAGAAGATGGTTTTGTAATATCAAAAGCACCTTACGATCTTAAATGCACTGGAGATCATAAAAAACTGATGCATGACAAATACTGAAAGAGAAGGATAAATAGAAACAGCAGCAATTTTTTATTGGCAAAGGGAAGTCTACTTTTCTTGGAATCGTTAACTTTTTCTTGGAATTTGACAAGGAAGTCTATTTCTCTTCTTATTGTTAATATCAATACTGGCTATGTGGCCGATTAGAGCATGATCTAATCAAATAAAAACACGTGCAAAAGTGATCTAAACTGTCAACTTAACATCAACAAGGGAAGTAAAAGTTTATCACCTGTATGTGTTTTTCCAATATAACTCTACATGTGTCTTTATAGTTTTCCCAGTCTACCATACTCGATGGTATAATCATACGATATCGATAGAAAAATTCATCATAAAGCCATCTAGAACATAAGAATGTTGATCAGAATGGGAAAGCACAGGCCTAAGCTGAATGAAGGTGCTCCATAAAAAAAGCCGCTAAGAAACTTAAGGCACTCTATTTCACACCTTAAAGTAGAATTGGTATAACAGTATCATTGGAGGAGTGCGAAATGGGGGGAAACAGTAGCAAAACTAGAAATTGGCTCCCTTTTGGCATAGATAATGGAGATTTAGCCCCCATAGCACCACATCCCTGGGTGGAGGTATTTATTTGTATACAGAAAATCTGAGAATGAATATATATATATATCTGTATATCTCTGGCAAAGCCTGGAAGAACACGATCATATATCTGCAAATTAATGGAATGAGGCGTTTTTCTTTTAGTGAGATCCAGCTTCTCCACAGTACAGTGGCTGTGTTTTTGAGACTCTAGTTAACCCTTTTAGTACAGTGATTGATGAGAGAGAATAAGGGTAATGTTTATATCTATGGAAATTTACGAGAGTACTATCTATATACAGGATAAGATTAAGAACTGGCCGATTGATTTCGACATAATCTGTCCACATTCTGTAATATGTTCGGCCGGATATCACCATATTACACAACTTTTCACAGAACTTCGAAAAGTGCCACAGTGCCTAAATCTTCCAACAAGTTTTGTAAAGAACTAAAAAATATGATGCTTTTCTTTTTCCCTTCATAACTTTTTTAGATAAAGTTTCTAACGATGAAGGATTAATTCACTTATCTAAACTAAGTTTTAAACCATTTGGGCGAAATGAAGTAAATTGTAAAAGTTTCAATTTCATGTTGCAGCCTGGATTCTATCAACCATGCTCAGATATATCCCATAATATAAACATTTATTGATTTTAAGGGAACGAAACTTGGAGTCAGTATTGATGTTTACCTGATTACCTTATTATTTTATATAACGTTTGAAATACGACTTAGATACAATTTTTGCTCTTTTTCATACTTTGAGTCCTAACTCTGTGACATCAAACTTCGAAAAAATTCCTCAAAATTTATGTAATTAAAACCATGGTTCTGCGCAATTTGTCAGAACGTTGGTTCTTTGGGAGACTTACAGTAATTTGATGGCACCGATGGGAATTCAACAGAGCGATGGGATTATAATGGGACAAATGAGATTTTGACTGGACCGCGCTACTTATTCAGGTACCTTACATGCAGCAGGCGGTGTTCAAAGAGTATCATAACATACGATGTTCAAAGGATAAAATTTATCGAGGAAGGGAACTAGCAAGACCCTTTAGATCACCGTTACTCAACTCTTGAAGTTTGCATTGGTTGTCACCGATATTCTTCATTCTTTCGAATGAATTCTTAAAAATTGACTTGAATAATAGATATTGCCTCTTGAAATGAAAGCTTTCATCCCTGAAAAAAACATTAGCACGGTTGCCTCACTTTGAGATGCTCGGAACTGATCTACATATACAAGTATTGGTATCACCGATTACAAATAGCATAAAAAGCATACCTCGAAGGATAGCCTGCAGCACTTATACGAATTGTCTCAAGTACGCCGCACGCCCGTAACTGCTGGATGCTTCTTTTGGGGTCAAAATCGAAGGCTTCCTTTAAATCGTTGGGTTTTATGCAGCGGATGTAATGGGGAGATGTTGAGTTGAGGGTCTGCATCAACTTCGACAGAGAATCTCGGAACTGAAAAAGAACATCAATACTTCATTATTGATCTTCAGAAATAGTTAACATAGAAAATATGGGAACATGAGAAATCTTCTACTTTATTTTGGAAACCTAATTCAATTAGCTGATAAATCAGATCATTATATTATATAATTCATAAAGTTTCCAACACCTATCACCAGTTGGGAAAAACTGACTGGAAATTTGGAAGTATGATCACAATAGGATACAGGTGGAACATTGACTCGTTTTTTCTTATCATTTTCTTATCAATCGTCGTCTACATCAAAAACAAAAGAGAATCAAGTGCAGATACTTGAGGTTCACCTAATTCGATTCTCAATTCGCAATTTTGCTATATTTTATCTAAACTTAACTTTGAAAATAAGCTAGACTGAAAAGTAACCAACAAAAAGTGTTTGAAAAAATTTGATATCAGAGAGTTTTAGTCAATGAAATGATAAAAAGAAAAATGAGATTTGCTGGCCATATTATGAGGGGACCATCCGGGTTCTTGGCAAAGCTTGTTTTGGAAGGTATGATTGACGGAAAAAGAGACAGGGGAAGACAAAGAAGAACATGGGGAGACGATGTCAAGGAATGGAGAGGGGTGTGAGGGCATTGGGAGAGCTAAAAGACATTCTGAGGATAGGGATAGTTGGAGGGTCATGGTAGCCAACCTTCTGATAGAAGATGGTACATGATGATGATGATGATGATGAACTTTGATATTGCTATGTTTGTTAAAGTAATTCTTTGTCACCTTTTGGCTATTATGGGATAGCATTTACTGAGAGAAAATTACGTCGACAGGATCGGGTGAAAATTATTTTGTTATTATGCGAGATGTTTCAAATTTTCAGGAATGTTTTTAGCAATGTCTCCAAAAACAGTCTGAATTTACATCAATATATCTTATTGAATGTTTTCATTATTGAACCAACCTCAGATCCAACAGTCTTTTTTCCCTTTGGTGCTTTGGCTCCCACGCGGGACGACGTTCTTTTCCGCGGAGAAAACAAGTGACTGAGATCGTTCGTGCGGAAGAGTTCTGCCACAAGCTCGAACTATTGACAAAGATAGTAAGACACGTGAGCAACCGTATCAAGTAAACTGTAAACCATGCCTAGAAACTAGGATTGCAACATGTCCATATTCTCGTAGCGCCTAACAGGTAGACGAGAGAAACAATATAGGTTGTCTGCCACGTGACAACTTAATTCGCGCCATGAAAAAATTATATCCAGTGATACGTACGTAGATAACACGTTTTTAAATTAGGATGATACTCCAAAAAAAGATAATTTTCATCGATTCATCGATACATTGATGAAATTTATAACCATTAGCTGTTAACCTAGAAGCTAAATGTTAAATCTTTTTAAGTGCCTTCTTTTAACCTTGATGCGAATCAGTTGCGCTTAGGCCACAAAAATATGAAGTCGTTTTTCCATTACTTTAGGTTATCATGCATGTTGACAATAAAATGAAATGACATTGTACATGCTATGCATCGACAAAATCATCATCAACTTTTAATAGCGTTTAGTTTCCCATAGCTCTGAGAAAGGGCACTGTCTTCTAAAACCATTTAAAAACCACCAAAACATGTTTACCCATCTCATAGGAAACACTAATATTCACGATTTATATCAAAACATGATTGTAGGAATTGACATTATTACTGGAAACAAGAGTCAGGCGGTACCACTGATCAAAGAATGGACCAAACATAAGACGATAAACTTTCTAATGGTTCTGCTACACGGTTTGATATTTTGAAGATACCGGGACAGATAATGATGAAGAATAATGTAGGACTTGTCAGGCGGTATCATTGATCAAAGAATGATAACGTCCCTTCGGTACTTATTTTTTCACTTTCTCCGTTCGCCTTTTTCCACGCTTGTTGATATCTTATTCTGTAACCTATGCTAGAAAGTTGGAAACTTTCTGTGTACAAGAGATGTGTGTAGATGAAGTTAAATGTGAAGCTGTTATCAATTGATTTTGTTACCTCGCTGGCTCTTAGTAAGGACAAGTGCTCCTCGTTAACAGTGTCTCTATTTTTGCTGACGAAACCATCACAATCATATATGACGTCATCTGCATAATGGCGAATGATAAATGCTACATCAGACATGCGCGGTTTAGCAAAGTGCTGGGATTTGCCGAGATGCTGTTTGTAAAGTTTCCTTGCCCATGAGTCGTCGCTTCCTTTGGGCATCTAGTGGGAGAATACTTTCTGAATTAGTAAAAGATACTTACTACTAACGCAAATGAATATACGGGCTGAAAATAAGAAGAGGGAAATCGCATCTATCTGGAAGAACAGCAAATTGATATTTGAAAGGCTTCTTATAATCAATTCTTATCTCTTATTGTAAGTTGTTACTTAGATATTTTATTGTTGAAGGGTTTTCTTTATGTGTAAAGGATATCAAATGAAATGAAATGGAATGAAAAAGAGGCCTAATCAAAATGGTCTGATTGCCCATACCCGCGGTTGCTTACACCTGCGGTTGCCCAGACCTACCACTGCCCAGTCCCGCGGTTGCCCATACCCGCGGTTGCCCATACCCGCGGTTGCCCATACCTGCGGTTGCCCAGACCTACCACTGCCCAGTCCCGCGGCTGCCCAAACCTGCAGTTACCACTCAGTACTCGTTGGTTCCAAACGTTGTCCTACAACTGTTCCCTTTGCTTCCCCAAAAGAAATGTGACAGACCAAACAAGATCACTACACTGTTAATTAGAATCCAGCACATTTCATATACTCCAGGAAATAATATATCAAAATGATGCAAAATCATACAGGTTCTAATGTCGAGCCTACAGAGAAAGGTCTACCTTCCTGACCAGGCAAGTTAAAATCATGAGATTAAAACAGCAAAAAAAGGTTTTAAGCCAACCAACCCGACACTCTTCATCCAGCAAGTCAAGAACTCCAAGCTTTGCCTCGATCAAGTCAATGCAAGGCTGATTGTCGTAAAAGTCGATGAAACTCCATGAAATTTTTTCACGTACGTATTCCTCTTGCTCCAATTTGAAAACATGCTGGAGGAACAAAATATTTCAAATACATAAATCAGCAGAGTATTTCAGAAAAGTACATAAATATGCATAAACTATTACTTTCTCTTAAATCACCTTATGTCAAATTTTAAATGCGTAGGTAAATTATGTTATGTTACTAATTTGACAAACGAGGCATTTTACAAATTACAGTTCATAAAAAATTGCATAACAACGATGTTCAATGATGCGACAAAAATATAGGCCTACATCTTTCAGAAATGTAGCATTTATTCTATGGATTTGTTGTAAAATCGGTTCAAAAGTTTTCCGAATAATGAAACAGCACCAGCGTGAATGCGATAATACTCAGGATTATTTGAATAAATTTGAAGTTGGTTCAAAGTCTTCAAACAAAGTACAGCTTGAGATATTTCAACAGGGCATGAAAACCCACCGATCATGTGACCGGGCGGTCGCAGGACAATATTCACGATTAAAATTCTGCAGGAAATTTTCTAAAATAAACCCTTTGCAGGAAGCACCTCTTTTCTTTCGTATATTTAATTTATTTGCCCTGTACAGGTTAAAATGGTTTTTCTACGTAAGAGGTCTTGGGAATGTTTTTAAAAATTCTTGTTTCATAAAGGTTAACAGTTTTTCACCTGGCTCAAGAATCTTTGTTACAATTTGCAGAATTCTTGGAAATTCTTACAAATTATTGCTATGTTGATGTCCCCATGACCTCTACTGCAAATTGTGTATTTTAATGATTAAAACAAATTTTCTCTTATGATTTTTGCAATTGTCCTCTTTTCGGGGTTCTGACATATGTCTTTTTAAAATAGTTTGTTCAAAAATTCCATGGATACATGGATCAATCTTTTTAGGCCAATTTATTTGTACTGTATACAATTGTACTGTATTTGTACTGTATTCTATTGTATTGTGCTATATTGTGCTGTGTTGTTCTGTATCGTGTATTTATAGTGTTTTATAACGTTAAGTTTTGGAATATTTGTAATGTTGGGTGTGGAGGCAACTTGATAACGCTATGTTTTTTGCCTCCATCTCAACAATGCTCAATTCTTTTTGTGTTTGTTTTTATTTTGATAAAAAAAATATAGGCATTTATCCCTATCACCCAAAACCTTTTTCATCTGCATTCTAGCAACCTGTAAGTTCTGACATATCTCTTTTTAAAATAGTTTGTTCAAAAATTTCATGGATACAAGGACATCATACACGGATCAATCTTTTTAGGCCAATTTTTGAATGTTGTTTATTTCAACGCCTGCTCCTATCACCCAAAGACTTTTTCATCTGCATTTTAGCAACATGTAAATTTTGATAGCTAATATTCTCAGCACTTAGGAGGTTATTATTACAGCAAAGCCTCTTTTCCAGATCAATAAAGGCATTTTATGTATAAGGAATAATTTTCAGTCACCAAAACAGAAAATGAGTTCGTAGTGGTAGAAAAGTTGCTTAAACCTTTATTAATGAGCTTATACTTCCTTCTGTAGCCCATAAAACCTGTGAATATCATTACGGTTTTCGGAACCTAACCTTTTCTTCATTTATCTTCCCAAAATCTTGCAGGAAATTAATGCATGATTTTTCGCTCGGTCGCAGGGAGAAGGGAGAACCAGGGAGGTTGGTTCAAAACTTTTCATACCCTGCTTTTCACAATTTTATTTCAATAAAGATAAAATCTTTAAGCAATCTTAAATATAAAATCCTACATAGAAGATCGAATATAAATCAAACAAAATAAATCTAAATTTAACAGAGCATGTCATATGATGCCAGTCTTCCAGGATTTCGGAATATTGATACCATAACGGTGCCCAATTAAGTTTTTAGGGTAGTACGAGCGTGAGTTATACCCCAGCAGTTTCCAAACGATAATTTTTTTATTACTCTGAACATTATGGTTACACATTCTATTTTGTTTTCCATATTGAGCCAGTTCAAATATCACTTATCCATCATTTAAGAATTTTTGTTTTGGAAAAATGTTTTATTATCAAAGCTAGCTTAAGAGACACCTACCATGTTAAATTGTTGCTGCAATTTTTCGTTTGCATAATTGATACAAAATTGCTCGAAGCTGTTGACTTCAAAAGTTTCAAACCTGAAAAAAGTGTATATAATACAGTCAACAAATGAGAAGTGTATTAGCAATTAAAGCGATACTATTTTAGCGGAACGGTATTCTAATACAGTCAACACAGGATCTAGAATTTGTAAAGAATGGTGCTGTCTCTTAGAAGAGACACCTTTTAAACCTCTGTTTTTCAATTTTAAGAGCCAGTTTACATATAGTGAGCCAGCTCGCCAAAGAAGGCTGGAATCAATTTCAATATGCGAGCATAAAGAAAGGCCAGCTCGCCAGAGTGAGATGAAACACATTATCACGTAAAAGCTTGTAAACTATGACACTCGCAAAACCGATCTCATCTAGGCGGGCTGGCCCACCTCATGTTGACAGGTCCATAAGCATTTCTTTTCAGGGGGTAATGGCACATATGGTCAAATTAATTTACAAAAATCCTTTTTGCCTTATAACTGGTTAAGGAGAAAACCAGCTCTCGATAAAAAGCATCAAAGATATTGTGAATTTTTTAAAGACACAATTGTTAAGGAGACGAGCAAGAGAAGGTTTGTTCGATAAATGAGGCAACCATTCGTCCAGGAGTGAAAGAGCATGCGCACGGAGTGAAGTCGTTATTACGCATGCGTTCTGAATCTAGGATGGAAGGTTCCTTCATGCATTTGAAAAGGTTCTCTCGTTTGCCTCCCCAATAAATACCTCTCTATATGAAAATTTTTCAGAAATTAAAAAACCGCGAAACAGAAAAAAGTAATTCAAATGATATCTTATTAATGTCAACCATCCATCCCATCCACTCAGCAAGAAATAAACTCAATGCAATAATACAATGATAGAAAAAAGAGATTTTAGAAGCTCAGGTTAGGCCTTAAGTTAGAGATTATCTAGGTAGTTTCAAATGTATGTTATGAGTAGAAATCGTTCGATGCTGCCGTAAAAGAAACAATAACATTTCACGTTGCGGCTCTTCTTACCACAGTTTGACTTCGTTAAGCTTCAAGAAATTGTATCAAAATTTGCAATAATATGTACATGGCATTCTTGGGCAAAGGTTTTATAACATGGATGTACAGTTAAGCATTTTTTAAAGAAACACAAGGCATGTTTGTTAAATAAAATCGCTCTAAGCAGAATCCTAATATAATTTTACAAATATGTTTTGTGCTATAATCAGACCAAACAAGTTTGTTCTTTTCCTAACGAAAAGTGTTTTAATACAACCACATGTTTCCTCTTCTCCGTACTATTTCCGTACTATTGAAGAATGTTTTAATTGTATAAAACCCCCCTTTTCAAAATGATTTGCAAACGGACTACAGCGAAATTTTCAATGTAGGCCGTCGAGTCTAAACCACTGCGAATCCTAAACAGTTTTTCCCCAAAGCAAAATATTATTTCAACGCTCAAGATTTCTCTGCATTGTACATGTATTTTCAATAGAAAGCAATGTTTACGGTTGATTCAAAGAATGGATCTGTTTTCCTACGAATGACTGTCTTGAGGATGTAGACAGCGAATATTTGCTAAATACCGTAAACCCTAAATACAGTTTTATCCCAAAGCAAAATATTATTTCTTCAACGCTTAAGATTTCTCTGTATTGTACATGTATTTTCAAAAGAAAACAATTTTTATGGTTGATTCAAAAAATGGATCGGATGACTGTTTTCAGGATGTAAACAGCGAATAAGTACCGTAAATCCTCGAATTAGCCCCCTGGGGACTTATTTATTTTTGATATTTTTGGACGAAGCCTTATTCGAGAGGGGGGGGGGGGCTTATACGAGCAAGGGGCTTATAAAATCATTGTAGACAATAAAAAGACATTATTAAAAGACCTTGTTTATTTTAGTAGGAATTTCTTTATGAGAATTTAATTAATGCCTACCAAAAGTACGAATTTGTCGTGGTAATTCAATAAAAAGTCACAGGCAACCCGTCCAATTCGAGAATATACGGTAGCAGTGGGGGCTTGTTCGAGGGGGGGGGGCTTATTGACAGTTTGTAGTTTTACAGTGGGGGCTTATTCGAGAGGAGGGCTTTTTCGAGGGGGGGCCAATTCGAGGATTTACGGTAACTAAGCGGTAATTTCGTTCGTATCCAATTATAAGCCATGGATTTTGGTAGTTACTTCATTTTCGCACTGCAGCGCTGTATTTTTTGACAGGCCAAGAGGTACACTTAAAACAGGAGGGTTCTGTTCTGATTCTGATTCGCTGGTTCTTATTGCATTAAAAATTCTAAACGACATTCAACCTTGTAGCAAAAAGGATAAATACCACACTCGATTTATATTTTGTGCACGCACAACTAAAGGTGGCTACACGTAATCTCACACGGCGAAACCGCAAAAGAAAGCATTTTGAAAGATCTAGATAGATGGAAAGTCTAATCAGCTTCAGAGGAATTTATGCGACAAAAAGAAAAAGTCTTCCGGAGTTTGTGGTTAATGAATCTTGTCATGCGATGGATAGTGAGCACGAAGGGGCTAAAAAAACTTCCCCAAACTTCGCTTTAATCAACTTTGATTATGTATAGGCATGGTGTAGTCTTCGTTAAATTTTGGAGCAGCTTTTGTAAACCAAATCAAAATTCGAGATAAAAACCATTTAAATTGGATGTAACGGATGCCAAGGTTCTTTAGACTACGTGTAAGATTTTAAATAACTTCTGCGATCCCTCGCGGAAAAGGCGCGTCTGATTTTTGATCTCTACAAAGAAACTTATTCTTCTCTACCAAATCACAACAAAACTGATCTACCTAGCTTGACACTTTGCATTTATGATGAAAATTAGTAATTTGCAACATCTCAAATACTTAAATATGAATTTGAAAATTTATTTTACTACAAACCCGTAAATGTCCAAAACTCCAATGAATTGTTTTGGCTTCACAGTTGTCACCATTGCGGCGTTAATATGCTCAACAACCCATTTGAAAAGTTGAGCATAAATGTGTTTTGCAAGAGCATCCCGTCCGACGTTAGCCTGAAATAGAAGTTATAACAACGTTGCCAATGAGCTGCCAACCAAAAACAAGATTACATTCAATTAACGAGAGTCGCCGAGATGAAATACAAGAATTGATATATTAAAAACAGAGCTCCGGGTTAGTACTAGAGTTTTTTGTCGATTATACTTACCAAAATTTTTTTAAAGGTTTTCTAAATAAAAAGTTCTTAAGGGCTACAATTTGGATAGAAAAGAACAAATTAAACACAGGGCAAGGAAAGCCAAGGAAAGCTTTATCAGAAAACTGTGTATAAATGTTTATAACAGAAAAAACTGTTTACAAGAAACCTGAAGTAACATAACAATTCATAACATAACATAATATAGCATATCATATCATAGCATAGCATAGCATAGCATAGCATAGCATAGCATAGCATATCATAGCATAGCATAGCATAGCATAGCGTAGCGTAGCATAGCATAGCATAGCATAGCATAGCATATCATAGCATAGCATAGCATAGCATAGCATAGCATAGCATAGCATAGCATACATTTGCTGACTTTTAAATCGCAAGCAAATGTTTTCAATCAATGATAGCGTTACTGGATACTTCTGTGTACATGCTTGAGATTTTTACCTAAATAAATATTTGATTATCATCCTCCGGATAGACCTTATGGAGAAAGAGTAATTTCAGATGATCAGAATCCGAGTCGAGTTTAGACTTGGAACGGATCTGAGTGTACTATGAGCAAATGATGTTTCGAAAAGGTTTATATGACATACTTGTGAAGTGTTGAGAGGCACAATGTAGACCTCCCCAGTTGCAACAATCTTACGATTACACAACCATTTTTTGAGTTGCCCTTTGTCGATCCCAAGGAGACCAGATACCATGTGAAGATGGAAATCATCACTCTGTAATTCAAAAAGCGTCAATTTGAAAAACAGACCATCTGAAATCTAAGAAAAAGTCCTGTAAAATGTATAAAGAAACAAAACTAAATATCAAATAAAGATTGGAATGATAAATTTGAAAATAATTTGCTATCACTTTAAGTGAGCGTGATGGATAAACTCGTGTCGGAATTTCCACAGAATAGCAGAGCATAGCATAGCAATGTGGTTTCGACTATCTTCCCAAAAACCAAAAGACTGCAACCCAGCATACCCAGCATAACATGACATGTTAATAAAAAACGGGCCGACAAAGAAGTTGGGAGATGCATTACTGAAAAAGTTAACCACCTACAAAATAACTAACAAGCAACATTGTCTAAATTACATACTTTATCAACAATCTTGAGTAAACATCTTTCTGTTTGCTAGATAGTTTTGTTTCACCATATTTTCTGTTTGCTAGATTTGTTTGACCGTATGGTCAGAGGATGTGAAAAGTGGTTTCTTAAATGCACAAAGGAAATAAGTTAAAAGCAAAGACAAGTACACGACCATATTTTGCTCTTGGGAATTTTTGCTACTTTGCGACAGCCTTCTCAATAAGGCTCTGTCACAATGAAACACAATAAAGCAACCGAGTTACCCAAAGATTATTTGATGTATAACCCACGGGGTCTAATCAAATAATTGGCTCAAAATACTAATGACCTCAAAATACCGAAAACATGAAATACTTAGCATTCATCAAGATAAAAAGTATTTCATTCATTTCGTTTCAAATATCTAAGGAGGTTAGTCCTTCAGCAGTGCTGATTTTCAATAACCCTCCACCTAAATAAATAAACAATTTCCAATGGGTTGTTTGTGTGTATTTTGAGAGTTTTGTCTGGTAATCTTACGTAACGGGGACTAGGTAAACATTACACTTACGTCAATCTCCGATTCATCTTCTTTTTTGGCATTTTGAATGATCTGCACATTCCCAAGATGCAATATGGCTGCCAAAACCCGGAACATCATGCGCCTCGATTCGCTGTAAATACCAAGAAGTTCCATAGCATCTTTGGTTTCCTGGAAATCAGCTGCATCGTCCACGTTTTCTATATAGGCGTCCTCTCCTTGGTTCGTGTAATAGAAATCTTCGGGTGGGCCTAGATCAATATCATCCAGTCAAAATAATAATCTAAAGTTAACTTATACGCAGAAAAACATATTAACGGACACTTTCTTATAGTGGACATCCCCATACAACGGACATATACGTGGACATCCTTATAGTGGACATCCCCATACAGCGGACGGTGGAACCTCTATATATCGGACAACATTTAGACTAGTGTAGCGCAAGTGTAACTGTCCATTGACTAGGGGTATCTTTAAGAGTGTTTTGACCATTTGGGATAAAATTATCTGTCCGTCCTTGAAAGGTGTCCGTTGAATAACGGTGTCCGTTGTATAGAGATATCCGTTAATTGGCACTACTGTAACTGCAAAAAAAACAATATTTCTTCTTTATGGCTTAAATTTTGTAGAAGTAATCGCTAGACACCAGGGGCGGTAACTGTAGCCCAAAAGGGTTGTCATATATTCTTCACTTCTATCTTGTATATTTTAACATTGTGTTCTGGTGTATAGAACAGAGCGGTTCTAAGTTGCTCATTATAGAGTTTCACTTATAATGAGGTCAACAGGCAACTGTTTTTCTTGATCACATTAAACGTAAAAGTTAAACTTAGAACCAAGAAGCATCCTGTTCTGTATACTAAAGCATGAACAGCTCGCCCTATAAGAAAATTAACCACTTTAGGGAAAATTGGCGAAGCAGTCATCTTTGCTTTAAAATTTCAGTCCCGGAAAAAATTGCAAAAAGCAATATGAATAAAAGTCTAAAAATTACCCAAATTCAACTCGATTAAATCTGGTGCCTCATGGCTAGCACACATTTGGTAGAATATATGGTAGTTTCTTTCATCTTGCGCTTGAAAAACAACTCTTGATTTCTCTAAAAGATAGGTCCTCATGCTGGCACCAATGATATGATGGCTGGCGTTGAATGAAATCTCGATGTACTTCCCAAACCTCGAGCTATTGTCATTTCGAATTGTCTTTGCATTTCCAATCGCCTGGAAAAAATTACAACATAGGTATGCTTTCATAAAACGACAGTCCAAAGTGGTGATATTTTAAGGTTCAATAAATACTCAGTTATTTGGTTCCGAAGTCAACGATATTATGTTCAAATTGTTACAAAATTTTCCTTACCTTTCCTAAATCCTGTACTACGGCATTGCAACATTCTAGGGGGGTGGGATTCATATAGAACTCTTAAAGGATTGACTGTTTCTTTTGAAAACTTGTTTGAGAATTGTAGCTAAATAAAAGATTAACAGCATCGATTTGCTGTTCGTAGCCGTGTGTTTTGAAACCCAGCAAATTGTGTTTTTATGCCCTGAATGTTTATGCGCAACCGGTATGCTTTGCGAATATAATTCCAAAACTGGCCTAATATCGTACTGCAGGAAAAAAGAATACGGTCAATTTCTCAAGATTGCTGCCACAAAGCATGCCGGTTCTGCAAGAGCCTTTAAAAACGCAATCTTCTGATGCCGCTTGCTGCTACACGAAAACCGTTATGCATATTGCATCCACCCATTGGTTCCTCCCTAAATAGAAACGCAATGTACCATTCCCTGAATGTGCCACAGATGCATATAACCCTATATTTCTGGGCTGCCTTTGTGAAGTTGAGACACTGCCTCTGTGAAGTCGACATCATAACCTCTAGACAATTTTCCATCTATTCATCTGGCAAAACATGATTAGCAATCATAATCAATTGACAAGAGCGATTTGATCAAATGATCAATAATAAAATATATCTTTTAAAGATATGAGATCAAACTATTAATGGAAGAACGGATTACCTCCATGATCGGGTTCGAAGCCAGAACCTTCTTTTCGATGGCAGTCTCCGTCACAGATCCCCCAACATTTGCAAAGTACCTCATGGCAAACTTGGCACTGACAGTCTTACCAGCACCTGATTCTCCGGATACTATAATCGACTGGTTTTCTTCTTGGCTAAATCGATAAACAAAGCGTATTAAAACGGAACAGTGATTTGGGTGTATACGATAACCTAAAAACAATCAAAAAATCAAGAAACGATACTCTACATATTCAAATTCGTATTCAGTTTTGCCACATTAAAATCCTCCAGCTTTATATAAAAGCTTAAAAATTATCTTCCTATAAATTTTGCTTACCTTCCAATGCGTCGGGTTGTATGTTCTCAGCTCAATTTATTTTAAATTTCATTTTAAATTAGCTTTAAGTAGGGGTTCTTTTATCTTCAAAGGGATTCTATTCCAAGCACTAAGAGCATTATGTTAGAATTCTTTCTTTGAATGTTCTAAATTTTACCGTGGAATCACTATACTTTGTGAAAACCTTGTGCTATAGCGTGGACATTTCTAGGCACAGCCTCTTTACGATTTTACGTGTCATTATCCTTCGTTGTCAATTCTTGCTACCATTTACACGCCTAAAATTCGTAGATAATGAATGGGAAAACAAACTGAATTTGAAAATTAAGTCTGTCATCCTTAGATGTATAAACTGAAAACAAATCTAGAAAAAGAAATAACATTTCCGCAACAATTGCTGGTTTAACGACACTCGCTACAAAGGTGGTAAAAAAAGAGAGTGGAGACTACACTGAACAGTTAACCGAAATTTATAATACATCAGGGAACAAAAACTAGAAACTCTAAATTTTGTTTTCTGTCAATTCAAAATCCAGCAATGCAACTAGTTTTGAATTATTCATCAAAGGGCCATTGTTATTTTATCATTACCCATTTTGATTAGAATGCATTTCTTGACATAGGAACACTTTGTGTGAAATGCGCATTGGCGCTGAACAGCATCCGATAGAAGACCAATATCATATAAACAGACTACCATTTAAAGGCACTGTGCAGCTTGTTAGGTTACAACAGTTTAGTGTTAAGTATAGCAGAAATTTTCGAAACATTAACTTGATAACAATAATTAGCCTGCGTCGCAGATCATATTCTGAAGGATTATAGGGTCTTATTCTCCTTCAGAATTTGGTCTGCGACTAAGGCTAAACAACAATCAGATTGTTCGTTGAATTGAATTCATCTTTGGTTAAAGACTAATTGCTAACAATGAGCCATTGCGCTACGCAAGTATCCCATAATGCATTTTTAGACAGTCTGAAATCAATTTTTGTTGATCCATAGAAGTTTACTGCCATTGTTTGGATCGTCGCCACGCTTGCAAAGGCCCATTGATAGCAATGAGTCTTTAACATTCAATACCGATGCTAACTGTATTTACAGCACCACATTCACACACTTGTTTTCACCGCTGCATGTAGCAATATCTATGCCTTTATGGCAGTGGAACAATTGCGGTGTACATTAAAGTCCTTAACATTTCATGGAACCACAAAAATTAGACTCTCCTAAAGCCAATTTTATGTTAAATCCGTAAGGTATTTGCACTACAGCAAGAGCAAATCTTTGTTATCTCTATCGCATTATAGATTCGCCCTCGCAGTAATACGAATGCCATAGGGATTCAACAAAACAAAACTGAAAATGTCTACAAAAGACAAGAGCAAAAAGGAGTTTAACCATTGAGTACCGTTACATATTAAGGAAAATAATATTTCAAAACATCAATCCAAATTATTACTCTTTGTGTTGTTCCATTAAATCATTGAAGTTTTCGCATGATAGGCCAGTTACTAAATGAAGAGCTCAAACAAACGACTTATGAGCTGCCTTTGAATTCGTTAAACAGCCACTAGTTACGAGAGAACCCACAAAAAGGATTCCCCACCATGAATGAATGAATGAATGAATGAATGAATGAATGAATGAATGAATGGATGAATGAATGAATGAATGAATGAATGAATGAATAAATGAATGAATGAATGAATGAATGAATGAATGAATGAATGAATGAATGAATGAATGAATGAATGAAGGAATGAATGAATGATTGAATGAATGAATGAATGAATGAATGAATGAATGAATGAATGAGGAATGAATTAATGAAGTAATGAATGAATGAATGAATGAATGAATGAATGAATGAATGAATGAATGAATGAATGAATGAATGAATGAATGAATGATTGAATGGGCATCGTAACAGTTGCTTATGGCAAGATACAGATAAAAAGGCAGGCATAGAACATAGCTTGGTCAATGCTTTCAAAATAATATCTGCAGTTAAAAACAGGAGATTGGTACAAAGGGGGTTGGAGTAAAGCGAAGCTTCTTTTATTGTAAATAAACTCTTAAAAGGAAACTAAAGTAAAAAAAAATAAAAATTCCACCAGGACCGAAAGACAAGCTATCTGTGAAAAATTATCATTAACACTCTCTAGATTCTGTCAAAAGGATTGGAAATAAAAGTGAAGGGTTAGAAAAAATCCCCAACATTAACAATAGGAGCTCATTATTCTGCACACTAGACTAAGTTAAATAATCTGTATTTTATGGTATAGAATACATACTCGACCATCTTTCTGAAGGCATCTTCGGCAACAGCAAAGATATGAGGATCCATCTCGCCCATTGGACGTCCGGAGTAGGCAGCAATGATGTCCGGGCCATAAAGAGGAAGCTCTTCATACGGATTAATTGCAACTAAGACAATACCTCCAAGAAAAAAACGTAAATTGGTTCAAATGAGTTGCAAGTTTCAAACAAATGGGGCTACTTAAGACAATACTTCTGAGACAAAACAATAACTGGTTCAAATGCATAGCCAGATTCAAACAAATAAAGTTACCTAAGACAATATCTCCAAAACAAAACAGAAATGAGTTGAGAAGAGTTGCTTGTTTTAAACAAATTAAGTTAATCCGTAAGGAAATCAACCTGGTGGAAAAGTCAATCAAATCCAGTGATTTTTAACAAATTCGGCCAAGGGAGACATATCTTGAAAGAAAATAGCTGACAAATGCTACTAGCTACATGATCACTGTATGATATCTTTTCAGGGAGGGTTCAAGCCAAGCAGGAATGCATAAATTACACTTTTTGATGGGAACAACAGTTTCTAATCCAATCAGATATGCTTAGCAGAAAAAGAGACAGAAAATGGAGATATTTCTTCATCAAAACTTTGCTACGATCGACCTTTTGTTACATTCTCAGATCCTTATGATGCAAAATGTGTATAAACTGGGCGTAGCAGATGCTAAGCGTTTAGGGAGGCATTAGTTGTCTAAATATTATTGTTTCATTGAGATGGGACTGTCTGAATGGAGGCTGAAATGCGACAAATTTTGATTGATTAGGAGGTGGGTGCATAAACCACCCTTTTTGTCCAGGATAACATAAAATCTGTGCTGTGTGTGTGTTCAGCTGGAAAAAATTAAGTTTGACTGAATTCAGTCTTCTGCCGAGTGCCTATCTAGACCGAAGGCATATTTTGTCATGCATACATTTTTACAACAAAAACCTGTGTACCCCTTTATACAATTTTATGTGGCTCTTAAAAACTATTTGAATGTCTTTTTAACTACAAATTGATAATAAGTTTTCATTTTATATTTAAAATAGCTTCAATAGTGTTGCTATACAAAATATAATTTTTGTGCTCAGCAAAATAGATTTTGGCTTTTCAAGCAATATCCACTTTTGTTGGCAAGTTACTCCAAAACATCTTCAATTGTGACCCCTTTCTCTGACTGCATTTGATATTCCTGCCCTAGAATGTGCTGGAGCCAGGTATATTGCTATGCAAATCAGCCAATGACAGACTCTGTTTGAAACCATTCATACTGTAAATAGTTGACTTGGTTTTTATTCACTGCACTAAATGCCCAAACTGCACAAACACTGCCAGTTCTGGTCCCATAGAATTCAATTCCCTTTCAATTAAGTCTGCATTGTCAAATTATTATTCCATTTACTGTCAAACTCTGCTAACAGTCACAACATTACAAGCAGTGTTTGGTTTTACAATAACTGGTGTCTACTGAATAATTAATATTAAAACCAAGATCAAAAACTTAATTTGCTGTGAATAACATACCACAATAAGTATAGATTGCTTGTGAATTGATAAATCTCTCTTCCAAATTATGAAGGACTGCAAAATAAAAGAAGTTTTATTCACTTTCCTTAATGTGAATTTAGATTCAGAATTATAATTTTGAGCCCCCAGACCATCAAGAATAGTGTGTGCATTCCAAACTCGTTTGAAATCTTAACAAATAATTATTTCTCTTGACTGTTTTTACTTTGAAATTCCTTTCATTGAGAACTTTACTTTGAAATTCCTTTCATGCAATAATCAATCTTCATTGCAACAAACATATTTGAATTTACAGGCAACAGGATTACAGAGTTCATAGATAACCCATACTTCTGACAAAATACAATTTATGGCTTCAAAGTGGCTTTCCGTACAAGCTGTGCTCCTACTCAGGTATGTGCTGCTATAAAACTTGAAGAAAATTTGTATGAGAAAAGAACAAACTTTTTTACTCTAATGTTCTGAAATAAAATCATAAATTGCATTTAAATTAAGTTGTCATTGTATTCTACTAGCTTTCAATAAACATCTTGAATGAACTGAAGGTAGGTAAGAGTGTAAATAACATGCATTAAATTTTCTATGTGTTTCAGTAAGAACATACATGACAAGTTCTTTAGGTTGAAGAATGCTAGAGATAAATGTAATCAAGATTAAGAAGGACTCTAAGCAATAGCAAATTGCTAAATTATCCAAGGGCAGGGAGAGGGTGACTGCCCTTGCTGCCCTTTGGTGAAGGCCTTCTTGCTTGATTATTGACTTTTCTCACCTGCAGGTTCATGTAAATAGCTGAGGGTAGTGAGGTCATTGGCACCAATGAGAATCTCAGGATTTCGTAAAGGTGGAAGGCTTTTGATGTCAGATGAAACATTCACTGCTACCTCCTAGGTAAATCAGAAACATTAGTAGACTTAAATTCTGTGTGTGCTTACAAAATAAAAACAATTATGACTAAATATCAACTATAAGCTGATTTTTAAATGTAAATTCAGGATGTAAATCATCTAGCACCATTGCAGATATATTTTCTACCACAATGGTAAATAGTCATAGATGATCAGTTGCCAAAATGATGTTATTCATTAGCGATAAATCACAACCTATTCTTATATATTTTGTGCGGGATGTCTCAGCTATAAATTGATGCACTGAAAAAGTAAACTTGCACCGAATTTTGTAGAAAAAAGATATTGGTATTTGGGCTTTGGCAAAGAATAAGGTATCTTCAAACTGGACATCAGTATAAAACTGACTCCTTTAAACATTATAATTGGTATCAGTGCTCTTATATATATGCACCAACATTGATGCTCATTTCTTAGATCAATAAGTTCCGCACCAGAGCCCAGATAAATCTATTGCCATTGTCTCTTTTACAAGATCTGCATGTTCAATGACCTATTATACTTTGAGCAACAGAGTCTTTCATGTGATTCTTGATGACCTTGTAGGAAAAATTTCATACCATTTACATGGTTGTTTCTGTTATCTTTTAAAATTTACAACTCCTGTCAAACATTGTCTGTAAATCAAAATTTCCTCCATCATTTAGTCTTTAAAGGGAGGAATGTCTCTAGGTTGCAATGATCAGGAAACCAAAACTTTTAAATAAGTACGAGCCAATGCTCAGAAAAAAACTGAACATATTAAATTGGTAAATTATTCTTAACATCTAAGCATGTATGATTTTCTTTAAATTATGGGGAAAGAAAATTTGGATCATAAAATGTTACATAATAAGAAATTATCAGCTCTGCACCTTTTTGGTGGATTATAAAATCAAATGAAAAGTGTGTTTACCCTTCCATCTTCAAGCAAAATGTCCAATTTATTTTCAGTTGGGTCACTAGTTATTATCCCACCAATCCAAACTTGCTCTGCGTCTGGTATCCATACTTTTGTATCCTGACAAACAAGATAAAATTAATATATTAAATGTGTATGCCGTGTCTTGTACTACATCCAAAATAAAACCTTTTAATTTCATTCAATAACTTCTTTTTCTATCTATTTTCTACTCTTTTCTCATTTCCCTCCCTTTCCCCTATTCTGTTTTAGATTATGTTGTATCTCGCATTCTTTTCTATTTGTGGAATCCCGCCTTTTCTTTGCTCGGTTTGCTTCTTTTTGAGCCATTTGATAACAAGGACCTGCTGAAAACATTGTGTTTTTGACAATCAAACTATTTTATTTTCATTCTGGCACTAAATTTATTTGCCAACTATATTACAGATAGGATGAAGTCCATCTTAAAACAAGGCTTAAATTATGAGCCTTTGGCATCTTAAACAAATAGCCTTTAAAATGCCTCATCAAGTATATTTAGTCTGGAAATCTAGTGTTTTACTTCATGTTAGATTAAAATGTTTTATTGTGTTTAAGGATATGCTAGAACTTGACACAACACTGGCCTAAATAGCTGTTTCTTGCCTCATGAAAAGTTCACTGCAGCAAAATAAGCAGCCAGTACTGCTACTACCACTACAAGTTGGTCAATAGTTAGCTTTTAAACAAATTTTTGTTAGCTAGCTCTTTTAGGCTTTCTTAGAAAGTGCCAGAACTTAATCAGAAAGGCGCTCAGTCATCTACCTGGAAATGGTCATGGAGAGCAATTAAATGGCTATAATGTTTGAAAAAATGCACTCTGCTATGGCTTGACACCTATTCACATGATACTGTATACAAAAAACCAAACCAAAATCACATCCAGTGCGCAGGGATGTGGTACTATGGAAGGTAAAACCCTTATCTACTTTGGAGCCATATTCTACTTTTGCTACTGTTTTTGGTAACATTTTGCACGCTTTCCACTTTCTGTTCAGAGGTGTAAAATGGAGTGCCAAGTTTCTTAGGATCTAATTTTATGGACCACCTTAATGCATAGAGCAAACCTTGAAAATGCATTTGTATATATAGTTTATTTTCATGTTTTATGTTTGAATATCAAATACATATATTATAAGTTTCTCTTAAATCTCTCAAGTCAACCATGTTTAGTTTTAATTTCAGCAGGGATGGCGCATCTTCACACCCCAGATACTCTTTCATTTCAAATTTACTACCCTTAATAAATCTAAGTTTAGTCTTACTATTATTTTTAATATTATTCTCTATGATTATGATCATTTTTTCTCTAACAATTTTTTTTCACTGTTCTTTGGTTAAATTTTTGATCTGATTTTCTTTGAGGTTAATATCAATCAGTTTTATGTCACTAATCACTTCTTTATACCAACAGTTTGGGAAATTTAAATGTTTTTGCTCTTCATAAACTATCTTGGTCAATCTACTTTTGTTCATGTTTAATACTTTATGGAAGTATATAAATCTTTTCTCTTTTATTCTACATTCCATAGGCATGAGGCCACATTCAAGGACTTTTCCATCATATGACGCTGATATGACACTGTTTGCAGGCATGTTAAAATTATCTTTCTTTTCTTTGTGCATTTGTGCAACTTTTACATGAACAAGATGTTGCTAGTCGGCAGAAGAAGGCCATTGTTCTTCCTCTAAACCTCCTCAAAAACTGTTAGGGTTTTAATTATGGCTGTCTTTGCGATTAGCACACCGACAACCCAAAAAAATTATCCAAATGATGAGAGAATGCCACCTTCAGCCTTATGATTGTCAATGGTAAAATTTTCTAAGGACCATCTTACCCTTATTTGCTAACAGTTTTTGTTTGGTAACCTGGAACAAATATTAAATTTACATAATTTGCAAAATTGTGAAAATTCAGATAAGCTCAGACCTAAAGGAAATAGACCTCAAATTATAAATCTTGTTACCTGCAAAACAAAGTTGAAGGACAGAGAGTAACAAATACAAACATAAGAACTTGACGTTGACTAAAGATTAATATATGGTTATCTCGACATTTTTAACATCTTATGCTTATTATTTTACATCAATGTAAAAATTGTGACAGGCGAATTATTCCCATCAATCACTTTTTTGCATTATTCCCAATTCTTGTAAAGTTCTTTTTAACCTCAATGCGTCCGGACAGGCAAGAGGACCACAGCAAGGATAGGATAGTCTGCAGAAACATTGGTTCCTCTACAATGTATTACAAACAACATGTAATTACAGCATTTCTACTAAACTTCCTTTGAAAATAGATAGCTTTGTACAGGCAAATGATCAGCTAGTGTTTCGTTTCACTTTTATTTTTATTTTCATTAAGGCCTCACATCAAACTAATCTAGGTCATATGATATCAGGAGGTGAACGCCATCAGGTTCGAAAATGTTTATTCCATATTAAAAAGAGTCGCAATTAGATAGCAATAAAAACTTTTTATAGTACGAAACTGTAGGCCTACCTTTGTGTATAGTTCTAACGGATCCATGTTTGATATTCCTTATAACTGCATACTGCTTCTTGGGAATATTCTCAGCGTGAAATTAGGACATTAAATTGCAGGGCTCAAGCTCAAGATAAAACATTTGACCGCCAGTCAAAGTCAATTAATCCAGTAACTTGTGGTTGAACTGCAGGTACTTGGAAATACAGACTTTCAGCACAGATGTCTGGTTATTAAACACGGACAACCAACTGGTGAAAATGCTATATATTTAATGAGTAACAACTTCGGTATTTCTATACATAACGGCGGCCATCTTCCAAGTTCAAGAATCAAGTGTCGCGCCATGGAAAACAGGAAGTAATCTGGAACTGATAAACAAAAAGACAAAAGATCGAATCTGAACAATCGAAATAAAACAATGGCTTTGTCAGCAGAGCAGGTATTAATTGCATATAAATCTACATATAAACAGCTTTTCCATTTTTAGAAAAGGAATGTATTTGGCAAACCATTTACCAAGTCAAAAGGTTAATGCCGTAGTAAACCACCACGCAACACAAGATGCTAAAAATTTCTACCCGGACACAAAGAACAGTTTTTTATCGTTGTCATGGATTCATGCATACATTTCATGGCATTTAGAACTTAGAAGCATCTTATTACACAAAATTCGGATGCACTTTATTAAGGAATGCTTCTATAAACATTCCTTAAAAGAACCAAATCTTATAATCTGGATACCCTTCATTTCTCATGCCTTATTTCTCGATAACTTTAAATTTACGATTTCTTAAGTTTTGTATGTTTATACACTGGATAGATTGTTTCTCTTGAATGACAATGAATGGTCACAAAGCGGAGGTGATTGTCACTGATATCTAGAGCGTTGTACATGTCAATAAAAGAGGATCAGGAGAGACCAAAGTTACCTATGGAACTTATAGAAAAATTAACAAACATGATAGAAGAATAGGCCGAACTTAGGCTGTGAACGAGAGGCGAGTATTTCTCTCTCTTGCAGTCAGCATTAACATCCAATTTTGCCTTTGAATTTTGCCTTAGTTTTGCCATTGAATTTTACCTTTTCAAATATACTACAGCACTTCAGTTAAGGGGGGGGGGGCTTTCTCCTCGATCAGTTCAGCTACTGAGAGAGCTCCTCTTAAGAATTTTACTACCTACTTGATTTGTATTATCTTATATTGTAATAGATTTATATTTATATATATATATTGTACTTTGTTTAGTAGGAGTTGGTAATAGGTAGTGTAATTTAAAAAATGAAATGAACATGACCATCAAACTAGTTTCGTATCCTACTGTAAGCTAATCTCGAGTATGAATGATGGGCGGTTGTCAGAAGTGACTAGAAGTAGATCAGGACAGAAAGAGTCTCCTATTATGATAGAGGATGAGAGATAACCTGAAAGGTCAACGTGAAGAGAGCAATGAGATAATGCTTAGAAAGGCTGTGCCAAAAACATTAATGCAGAGTTATGGCGCCATGTGTAACAACCTTCTTTGAGATGTGTTTTGCAGCCAGCCACAATGTGAAGTAACATTTCTAGCATATGCATAAAGAGCAATCGGACGACTGAGTAATGTTCCATTTAGATAGGTTTTTTCGCGTGGCAAGAGTGTTGCTCAGATATTTGATAGTAAAACTGTGAATGTTCTTGGGCATGTTGCTTTGAACTGTGGTCCATATTTTAGAAGCCATAGGAGGAGAGTGGTCAAAGATGAAGGAAAGAACGGTACCTTGAGATATAAGATGGTTCTGAAGGTACTCTTTTTGTTTCGATTCAACAGCTTTCAATACGTCTATAGTATTCCTGTAAACATTATAGTGGTTGTTCATGCTTTGGCTGGTGTTCTTCCACAAATATCTAATAATAATAATGGAAACTTTTCATTTTGAATTCCAGTTAAAACTACAATTAAAAATCTCAATATTACATAGGTAATTTGTAACAGGCTATTTCGTGTTATTGCAAAATAAAACAACTACAATCGTAGTTTTGAGAAAAAAAAGAAAAGTTAAAAGGTGAGTAGCTCTGGATTAGTCCAAGTTTTGTTTCTACGGCAGAATATATAGTATGTGGTGTGTATGGAGATGCTTGAAAGTTTGGAGATGAGATAGCGTTTCTGTTGATGATCAATGGACAAATGTCACACATTTCGATGAATGAGCTGCAGGAGTTGCCAAAGATACCAAGTGAAACTAACTGACGTTTTAAGTCAGATATGAGGATGGCGTATTTCTCTGACTTTCTGACAGCATTGCAGTTGGGATTTGTTTTAAAGCCTGTGGTTGGCCCTAAAACCTACAGAAAGTTCTCCTTAGATTTGAGAATAATGTCAGGGCGTAGTTGATCTCCAGTTATGATAGAAGGGGAAGGAAAGCCTGGCAAATCTGCGTAGAGAGATGACCCATTTATTGCTTTGAAGGAAGTGGCTAGAAAGTTTGATGCAGAGAGTTATGACGCCATGTGTAGCGGCTTTGGCCGAGGTACACTTTGCAACTAGCAACATAGTGCAGAAGTGTTTCTGGAAGAAGACAGAATTCACAGTCAGGTGTTTGACTAAGGTTCCATTTGAGCAGATTTTTACGAGTTGGAAGAGTGTTGTTGGGATACTTTAGTTCTAAGTTTCGTTTAAAAATATATAGTGATTTGAAGTCTTAAATTTCAGAAGGTAGCTTCTGCCAAATTTTTTAGCTAATGAATCTAACGGTCTCTGTGCCATATGTCGTTGTTCTTGCACTGGACAAAATAATGTTGCTGTTTGCTTGAAATTCATATTTAAAATTTCTAGTAACAAAAACACCCCCCATAAGCATTAATGTTGGATACAAATTATTGACAGTTTGTATATCTTAATGATCGAGAGCAGCTGTAGCTTTCTCTGGTGAATAGACATTGGTTTTGTTTTAGTTAACAATTAAACAAAACAGGAAGGTGCTATCTTCGCATATGATCCAAAGTGTACGTTCATGAATCTTGTTTATTTTATTATTAAATTTTCTATCATGGAACATTCATACGAATGGGCAATAACTAAAATGAGACCTCAGAAATGAGGTCATTGCTAGAGCTAGCTAAGGCGCATCCATAAATGTTGGTATGAGATTTAGAGCATTAAGTTTTTGGCTGGCTTTTTGCAGAGGTTATCAACATGAGATTGGAAGCTTAGCCTTGTGCCAAAGGATACTCAAAGGAGTGTCTCTTCGGTGCTATCTTGTATTACAGACCCACAGATGTTTATAGAGATATCCTTCTCCCCAAAAAATAGAAGATGACAGTTTACTTCGTTCATTTTCATGCATTTATCCTCAAACCATTTCGATAACAAGCAAGCGTCTCTTTCGAGCGATTCTAATACTACTTGCGGGTCGGATACAATGGCGGCGTCAGCCACTAAGCTCTGGGGAGGAGGAACAAAATAAAAAATCTTAGGCCACGCCCTTTTCACACCAGAAAACGCCTATTTACCAACATTGAACGCAAATTTTACCTGAAGAGGTCGCCCATGGCTAGATTTTGGTTACGTAAAGGCGGTTTCAAAGTTATACGATTACATCACAAAAAGTACGCTGCCAAAATATTACCCCTCCAAGCATTTTCTCATCGAATTTAGACAAAATACAAAGTTGCTTCTGCCCCCCCCCCTGTTTCCTTGCAGAGCAAGGGGCCCAGCACTGAGCCTGGTGAAACGAACAAAGAGCTATTTACTGACTGAAAGAGCTATTTACTTTCACTCTTTGCCGCCTTTCATGCAAATTGCTGTGTAATAGAGTAATGGCGCCTTTGCTGAATCTATGTGCTGTGAGTTTTGCTATGAGGAGTTCATGATCTATTGAGGAGTCCAATTTGCTCATTTCTCATACGCCCATAGACTTCTGATTTTGGAGGTACAATAGTTTTTGGCCGATAATTTCCTTTTTGCAATGAATTTAGCTTTATGGCCGTAACATTACCCTCCTTTAATTCAGAAAGAAACATTTTGTTATTAATGGATTGGTTGAAGACTTTTTGTAATGTATCAAAGAAAATATCAGAATATTCCTTTAGAATCCTATTTGGACGCCTTATTTTGTTTTAGTTCTTGTAGTTTTTGGAAAACGTTTTCAGTTATAACCAGTTGGAACTGAAATTTTGAGGGTGGTCGTACACTCTCCGCTATGAGCTTACAGAAAGATAAGACTGTACTTCCTGATGGCATACCTTCTGATGGCATACCTTCTGATGGCATACCTTCTGATGGCATACCTTCTGATGGCATACCTTCTGATGGCATACCTTCTGATGGCATACCTTCTCATGGCATGATGGCATACCTTCTCATGGCATGATGGCATACCTTCTCATGGCATACCTTCTGATGGCATACCTTCTCATGGCATACCTTCTCATGGCATACCTTCTCATGGCATACCTTCTCATGGCATGATGGCATACCTTCTCATGGCATACCTTCTCATGGCATGCCTTCTCATGGCATACCTTCTCATGGCATACCTTCTCATGGCATACCTTCTCATGGCATACCTTCTCATGGCAATTTCAACAGGATATAGAAATCTCTCCGCAGAGATCATATTATCCTTAGTTTCAGTTATTCCCAATGGGCCGGCAATGTTAATAAAATAGTCATTAAAGATCTAAATTTTTAATATCTAAGTTTTCGTAATAATCAAATTTGGTTTGTCGCAAGATTTTACACATAGTATCCATATGCGCTGCGGTTATATGCGATTCTTACATTTGTTACGCAGCTTTGATCGAAGCATTGTCCTTTTTGTTAGGGTTTTTGTCATGATGACGAGTGCGTGTTCACCTCTGGTTTTGAATACTCAGTTTCCCCATTATTCATGTTACAAAGACTTTCCATGAGCGCCTGTTGGATCTATTTTCATCGAATTTGCGATAATCTCCTTTTAGGGGCCCCTTTAAACGAAACTACTTTTCAATATAGTAACAATCGTTGAAAAAAGTCCGATACTCCCGTTTCAACTGTACATGAGTTTTAAAAGAGGAAGATTTATCTGTAAGAATCAAATCAATGCATCTGGGATTATCTGACTTAAAACATGTAGGAACATTGCTTCCGTATCAAAATCGCCTAGAATTTGCAAAATTTTCATAGCGACTGCCGTAGTGGTCTATTTTTTCTTGTGCAAATTATTCTCTAAGCTTCCATATTCAATATCGCCAGGATATTTAGAATCTGAGACGAGACACGCAGTAATACCCAATCTAACTTGAAAAGTGGTTTCGTTAAAAAGGGCCGCTATAATAAAACAGGCCCGAAAGTGCAGTGGGAAAAGGCAATTGGGATAGATTTTCCTTTAAGAAGCCTTTTTCAAAATCACAAAACTTTTAACAAGCTCCCTTTGAATAAGCCCCACCTTTACATGCCAATTTTTTCGCTTTAATAAGCTTCTGTTGGGCCTTAATTTAAGTGCAAAAGAAAAATCCCCTCTTAATAGGGAACTTTTAAGAAATTTCCAATGCTGGGTAACTGACACAAAAGGGCATTTTTCTTAACGTGACACAACTGACGGCAAAAACAAAAGGAAAGGGACCAGTATACACCAGTCCTTGCACATCAATCCTTACTCCCATGCAGTGAAAAGTCACATATAAGCCAGACAAAACAACGAGCGTTCAGATCTTGGCATCTTTGCAGGAAAAAGATGCAAGCAAAACTGTCAAAGCATTCGTCGTCGAATTTTCCCGCGAATTTCATTTCTTCGCTTTGCTGTAGTGCAAAAAAATCGAACAGAGCACTACGACGACATATCGTCCACGTTTCGTAATAATTTTTCAATTATTCAAAATTTCGTCTATCAACTTGATGTTTGGTTTAAACCTACTCTAATGAGTGTCTAGATTAGTATGCCTCAGGGGGCCTAATTCAAGGATTTACAGGATTTTGGGTCAGAACATTATGATAAAAATGATTTCAAACAAAGTAATCCATGTGCTCGGAGAAGCCCAGTGGTGAAGCCCAGTATGCTTGGGCACAAAGTTAGTTATCCATAATCTCTATCTACGAAGTTCCTTATTTTTATTTTGTTGTTTGTTCTCAGAGTGTTGTGGTGTTCCTTATCTCATTCAAAGAGATCCATCCCTGCGGTAAATAGCTGCAACATCTCTGCTAGGCAACATCTCAAGGGCGTGGAACACAACGGTGATTGGTTGTGACAGCAGAAAGGGCAGTCTATTGGTCAAAAAGTATCTATGCCAACCGGAAGTACAGATTTGAGGGTATAAATGAACAGAATCGCGCTGTGTTAGCAGTTCGAGGCACAGAATAGAGATATTCTGTGTGGGGAGAGTGGAGCTAGAGAAGGTTTGGGCTGAGAACGCTGTGATCCTGTTCCAAGATGAAGGCCGTGTTGCTGTTTTGTGTCCTTCTTGGACTCGTCATTTCAACCAACGGTAGGTGCAGCCTTGCTTGCTATTATTTAGTAAAGACACTGGCGAAGAAAGATCCATGCACTCGTTTAAATTATTAAGATAGAGTTTTTGAACGATTTGATTAGAACGATCGTTGGTGGGGCTGTTGGATGATGCCTGTAAATTAAATGTATAGCTGCTATACAGTAAATAACCCCTGGCTTCACTGGTAAGTAAATGGAATTTTGGTGAAAAGCGCAATGTTTTTTGTTAATTTTTCAAAGCAAAGACGCCACGCCAAACGCTCTATAATCTGTGTTCTTACTCGCTATGTTACGTGCCGTATAAACCTTGAGGCTGAAGTTTATTCCCAGACAATCATTGCTCAAAATACCCTATTTAAAGAAAGAATAGAAAGACTAGGTCAAATACTTTGCTTTGTAATACAAAGTTAAAACATTGTTTGAATATGCAGCTTTTTATCAAAGTGTTCACGTAAGAAAATTCCTACTTAGCAAATGCCATTGTGATCTTTTTAAGTAACAATCTTCAATAGTTAAGCTTACACCGGGTTAAATTAATCTTTTAGGTGCAACTGTCGAGGAAAACACCAACGAGGTGGCGGAGAAGAGTGTTCCGGAAGAGGTTGATGTAGGGGAAGATTCTGCAAGCGAAGAAGAGGAAGACCCAGAAGCTGAAGAGCCCTCTGAAGACGAGGAAAGTGATGCTACAGAACCGGAAGAGGACAATGATGCTACAGAACCGGAAGAGGACACTGAATTATCTGAAGGTACTATAGACTTTTAACTTTTGGTCTATAGTTCTTTGGCACTTTTGTTGAAAACGACAAGATATTCAAATAGATATGCAAATATTCAATTCGATGTAAGGCTGGGCCGATCTTTGAGACGTTAAAATCGTGATTCCGGAATTGTCTTGGGCCCTATTGAATCATGCATATTTGAATCCACAGAGGAGCGTGTTAGCTACACGCTCAATTGACCCCAGATTCTCCTTGGGGCGTTTCTTTCTTTAACTTTTTAGGTCTTTCTTGATATTTGCAAATGGTCTCGTTTAGACAATTCTGAGCAAATAGCAAAAGACGGCTCTGTATCAGATCCTTCATGGCGCAGACGTTCCTGGCGCAGACGTTCTTGGCGCAGACGTTCCTGGCGCAGACGATCCTGGCGCAGACGTTCTTGGCGCAGACGGTCCTGGCGCAGACGTTCCTGGCGCAGACGGTCCTGGCGCAGACGGTCCTGGCGCAGACGTAGCGGAAAATAAGCAAAGAACTGGTTGAGAAACTTTTTTGCTCCCTAATTATGTTTTCCATTTTTAATTTTTGCATATTTGAAGCTGTTGACCAAGGTCAATAGAGAAAGATATTGTGTTGTTTGTTTTGTTCTCCTACTTTCTGAAAGGGTCTGCCATCTATTTAACTCTGGACATATGAGAAAGAGTTTGCGGAAAGTTGCGATAAATGTCGTTAGTTAATCATAGATTTATAAACCAGAAAAGAATAACAGTATCCGTTAGCAAAGTTGAAATCTTTCATTGACCG